TTTTCTCACTTGTCACATATGACTTGCTTTGCCCTTATACTTTGATAATATATTGATCTTTAATCTTGTTCCACTAAAGATATCCGTTACAATTTTTGTTTTATTTAACGTACACTGATGTTTTTTTTCCTGAGTTTGAGTTGAGATGAAATCAGCCACATAGTTCAAAATAAGTTTGATCCGATCTGACAGGCCCCAAGATTTAGCGATTTATGTGCAATATTATGCAAGCTATGCTTTTGTGTTTTGGAATTCGCAATGTAATAAACTATATTCATGTGTTAAGAACATGCCTTCAATATATAAATTCCTTTATAACAGTAACTTGTTAGTTGTTTTTGGATATTCTTTCAGTTTCGTGAGAGGTTAACCAAGATTTTAAATTTCCCCAATCATAGTATAACTTTTCCCTTATTTGGCAGAATTCCTCTATTCCTTCCTACATATGATGTCTGGACCGCAGACAGAAATGCTGTTGTTAATTAAAAGTAAATAAATTTTATTTGTTCTACGATCTGGTGACAGATTTTTATCTACATATATGGGATTGGTATTTATTAATTACACGATTAATTATCCTTGTCAAATGTGTAAACAGTGGTGAATTTTATTAATGTACAGACTTGGATCAAAGATAGCCTTTTCCCACACTCCTGTTATTAAATAAGTGAAAGAATCAGTCCTAAAGATAATAACAACTCTTTGTTGAACGAGATATGAGCCTTTCAAACTACCTCTGTGTATAATCCTGATGTTTCGAACCTTTTTGGGTAGGGAAGTTGACTCAAATTATCAGGAGGTTTGAAAAACTTTGGGAAAAAATTGCATTATTATTATTACATTGTATTGATAGTATTATTATCATTGTTGTTACAGCTTGTGATTCCAGGGTGCAAAGAAAGTCGGTTTTACAGTTTGCCATCCGGGCAAGTTGTTGCTAGTATGTACTAACCCAAGAGTCTTTTACATAGCCCAAAAAATTTTTGATGAGCATCATTGATTACAGTTCTTCTGTAACTTGAATTTTCCAAAAATTTTTACTTGCCCTTTGGGCAAGTTAAGAACAGGATTCACTAGCCCAATTGCATTATCCACTAGCCCAAGGCTATCAGACACGACTTTCTTTGCGTACTGGATTCTGTCCTCTAACATTTTGAATGGAGAGTTGCCGAAGTTGTTCTTGTTGTTCTTAGATTTTTGTCTGAATGGTCAGTGAAGTAACATGTCTAATGCTGTTTTTTTCTTTCTGTAGTTCTTCTTACAGGACACAAAAAGCAGTAATGGCACTTTTGTAAACAATGTGCGTCTCAGTAAAGGATCAGAGGAGAGTGAGCCTAAAGAACTCAAATCTGGTGATATTGTACAGTTCGGAGTAGATGTTGTGGAAAACTCAAAAAAGGGTTAGTGGTAGAGTTGCAAAGTGATGATGTCAAAAATTAAATTTTTAAAATTAATTATGGGATTTGTTGGGATATTTTGAAGGAACAACATCTGAAAGGCCTACTTGCCAAAAACTAGCGTTGTTGGGCAAATTGTTTCGGAGATACTAGTCCCATTTTGCGCTGATTACTCCACACAAATCCTTCTAAATTTGACTTGGTTACTAATGTTATGAACCGAGTCAAATTAAGAAGGATTTTTATGGAGTCATCAGAGCATAACTAGGCTAATATCTAAAGACAATTTGCCCTGGAATGCTAGTTTTTGGCAAGTAGGCCTTTTGGATGTTGTTCTTTCATAGTACCCCCAAAAATCCTGTAATTTCACAAATTTAATTTTTTATCATCTCACACTTTAGTACTCTTTTGGAGATCTTATAACCCTGGTCCAGATGTTCAAAAGTTGGATGGTGCTATCCACTGGATACTTCATTATCCACTGCATAATACAGTTGGATTTCCTATTCTTAACCATGGGATAGTGATTTATCCTGTTGATAGTGCTATCCAACTTCTGAACAACTTGGCCTGGTTGAGAATCAAATTTTGAGCACACTTGCAAACTGTGCAACAGGATTTTTCAAGCACTGGAAAATTCAGCGATTTGAGTTTGATCTTTACGTCACTCTTCATTATCAACTTCTCATTTCCTTATATTATTCTCTTTTTTGGGCCATGAGGGAAACTGTTTCCAACCAAGGAAACTTGCATCATTCAAGTTGTGTGTTAGCTATGCACTGCACCCAGTAGTTCCAAATTTTAGTGCCACTATCGAATGAAAAGCATCAGCTGCAATTATAGCCGCTGTATTAGCAGGGTTCGAAATATTATTATTTCCAGAGAGTCTCCGGATATGATGACTGGCCAAATTCATTTTAGCTCGGTCATGTATTGTTTCTGGCCGGTCCAATTTTACAAGATAAATAACTCTTAAAACAGGGGCCCATGGACCAAAACTGGCATTATATATTTCCAAACAAGTCATTGCGTAGAGCTTATAGCACTTCAAAGCACTCATTTTCAACAGTAAAAATAAATTATCGTACACATTAAATTTGTTTGGCACCTCCAAATATAATGATTTCTCGTGTACGTATTACGGTGTGAGGTCTTGATCCTAGAACTCTGTGAGTCATTCATGTTACTCCCCATTACAAGGGAAGAAAAGTTGTATGCATCAAGGAATTGTGAGTGGAAGTGCATGAACCCCGATGTCTGTTTCAATGCGCGAATAGTAAACAACAGTTCTAGTTCCATTTCACCCAGGATATTAGGTCAAAGTTCCGCAATACACAGCCACTTGCTACATACTTAGAACAACTGAAACAACTGAACAGCATGGAAATTTTAATTTATTTCATTTTCGATACGATCGAATGTGAGTGGCCAACATGACCAGCAAGACGAAAGGTCAACTGCTGAACTCTCCAATCAGTCTGGACATTGTCCATTGACTGGCTGTTATTTCGAGCCCTGGTTAGCCTCTGGACAAAAGCATTTCATTGTGGAAAGTGAAGAGTGAGATGAGGATAGGAGTGACAAATCTTTGTTTCATTTTTGTGGGGCTTGTACCCCATGTTTCATGGCCATTTTCATTGCTGTTCCCCTCTCAGTACATATCATAACAGTGCTCGTAAACTCATCCACCCACTAACTTTGAAGAAAAGTAAGAAAGTGCCTGCAGTTCTAGGTGTTGTAAGATGAAATGGTACATGTGCAATGAGACTGGTCATGCTAAGGAATTGTTATTGCCATGTTTCATTTGGAGTTGTTTTCCAAAATGTTTTGGGCCTGGCCTGTTATCAGTAGAATAGTTTATTACAAGTACGTTGTTTTGTCATGCCAAAGAGATTCTATGCAGATTTTATTATTTTTTTTCAGTAATAATAATATCATGTTTTATAATAATAATAATTGCTGCCCATGCAGGGCAAGCTCCCCGTTTTTGTTGTAAGCATCTGAGAACTTGATTTGCAGGGAATTTAGTCTGGAAATGTGGAAGTTTGTTCACTTATGTCCAGAAATGCATGCAATGGCGAAACTGGCGAAAAATCGCCAGCCGCTGGCGATTTGAATTGGATGCCAAAAGTGGCCCCTTGGAGGCTGGCGATTTTGGCAAAAATGGCGATTTTGGCGAAATTGGCGATTTTGGCAAAAATTGCCATGCATGCAATGGCGAAAATGGCGAAAAATCACCAGCCTCTGGCAATTTGAATTGGATGCCAAAAGTGGCCCCTGGAGGCTGGCGATTTTGGCGAAAAAATGGCGATTTTTTGGCGAAATTGGCAATTTTGGCAAAAAAATCGCCATGCATGCAATGGTGAAAATGGTGAAACTGGCGAAAAATCACCAGCCTCTGGCGATTTGAATTGGATGCCAAAAGTGACCCCTTGGAGGCTGGCGATTTTGGCGAAATTGGCAATTTTGGAAAAAATCGCCATGCATGCAATGGCGAAAATGGCGAAACTGGCGAAAAATCACCAGCCTCTGGCGATTTGAATTGGAAAAAGTGACCCCAGGCCGATTTTGGCGAAATTGGCAATTTTGAAAAAATTGGATGCATGCAAAAATGGCGAAACTGGGAAAAATCACCAGCCTCTGGCGATTTGAATTGGATGCCAAAAGTGGCCCCTTTGGCGATTTTGGCGAAAAAATGGCGATTTTGGCGAAATTGGTAATTTTGGCAAAAAAAAAATCGCTTGAGGGCTGGCGATATGTGGCAAAATATTCAAATTGGATGCCAAAAGTGGCCCCTTCAAAGTAGATAACTAAAGAGGTCCTTATAACTGTGAGGCAACAGTACTAAAAAAAAGTTCAAATTACTTGCCTAATAAGAGGCCCCAATAACTGTGAGGCAACATTTATCAAATACAACTGAATCAAATATATGACAAAACAGCTTTACCTAACTGTCAAACAACATTATTTTATCAAATACAACTGAATCAAATATATCTGAAAACAACAAATGCAAGTCGTTTCAGTTAAGCTAATATGTATTTGTGCCATGTACTTCACAGGTTAAGTAAACATTTCCTTACTTTCGATGTCGCTTGACTTAGTGATGTGATGCGCTGAAATATCACACTAGCATCATTTGCTTTTGTATGGTTCATTCCTTTCAAAGACTTACAAGTCCACTAATTACTCGAGGAGAGAACTACCAAGTCCTTGAAATCATAATAATTCCTTGCCATGGACACTCTAACTTTTGAGGTTCGATGTAGACCTTAACAATCCTCACTGGTTACAATTCTCTTCACATTGGTTCCATTAAATTGTGAGGCAGCCTTAAATCAAAAGCGATTGCGAAACGCATGGTTCCTGGCCAAAAGATGCTTTCACGATAACCAGCTAGTGTGTGCCCTTCATTCTTTTTTGGTTCTCCACTATACACATTATCTTCTTCCGTCGTTTTAAACTCTTCACTTTCTTCTCGCACTTACTTCCTTTGCTCTTTAGAGAAACGGTCCCCTAAAAGTAACGAAAGCCGGAATGTCCAGCAGCTTGCGTGCACCATTTTGAAATGTGTGATTTCGCTTATTTCCACTTTATGTAAACCTGCACGAAATGTCACTTGTGCCCAATACTTCACCGCATTTATTGAACATAAACATTGGATCAAAGCAATAACTTGTTTGTCTCTTTCATAAAACATATCCCATTCAAACTAATTCTGTATCTTTTCATCAACTAAATATATAAAAAGATAGTGTACGTGTTTGTCTCGTTCTTCAAAAATGTGTCCCTTTATTGCTTTATGAGGTGGGGCCAGAAATTTAGAAAATGTATTTTTTTTTTTTGCGCTGAGACCACCAAACCAATTCTCAGTACAATATGTGTTCCATTAAATTGCTAATGCTAATGCTCGTCGAAACACGTTACCTGGCCTTTTTACCTTCTATTTTACCAATTGCCTGAGAGTCCGTGTGAACGACATTAATCGTTTTGCTTACATAGAGGAGCTATAAACATAGAGTGACCACCAAAGTCAGCTGGGAATGATGCTAATCGTTTCTACTTACATAGAGTAGTTATCCAAAATCGACTATTTCAACATGGTCGCCCGGCGTCTGTATAACAACTACTAAACCTTATCGTTCATGTTCTGTGAAACTGCAATGAACCAGCTCGTTTATATATACTTATGCGATTGAGCGCCATTATAACAAACAGGATGGATGTACAAGGCAATACGGACCATCTAATTATCTGAATGCGTAGCCAAGAACCAACCTCCTCATAACATATAATGTTGAACTGTCGCTATTCAAACAATGCCTACAAGCCTGGAAAATTAAGGATACCTATCTTGGATTTTTGGGAAGAAAGTTGCCATGAACATTACGAAGATTACCATTTACTGATAATTGAATACAACTCGTTGGTCATTCGATTTGAATTGAGCAAGAAATTAGTTATAAGTGGTAATTCCCGACCGAACACTCTTGTGTGGGACGAATTTCAAATCACAAGAGGTTATCAATTAAAGGTAAAAGCATTAAAAACAGATTAATGACACTTAGTGTCATTATTAGTATACAATTATACTATTGGAAACATTTTTATATTAATATGTGGTTAACTATTTGGCAATTAATAGCCATTTCAAAAGGGACCCTTTGCTATGTCATTTCAATTTGTCTTGACAAATTAGGTATTTCATCGAGTAATTGCCATTTCTGCCAAAACACGTTTTAAGAACGAGGCCAACATGCACTCTATATTTTTTTTTTATTTGTGGTTGATGAAAAGATACAGAATTAGTACACGCCATTTTCGCCAAAATCCTCACTTTCCAAAGGGCCCCTTTGCCATCTCATTTGAATTTTTGTTGACAGTTTGGCGATTTGGTGATTAATTGCCATTTCTGCCATTTTCACCAAATACGCCATTTTCGCCGAAATCGCCACTTTGCAAAGGGCTCCTTTGCCATCTCATTTGAATTTTTGTTTACAGTTTGGCGATTTTGGCGATTAAGCGCCATTTCTGCCATTTTCGCCAAATACGCCATTTTCGCCGAAATCGCCACTTTGCAAAGGGCCCCTTTGCCATCTCATTTGAATTTTTGTTTACAGTTTGGCGATTTTGGCGATTAATTGCCATTTCTGCCATTTTCGCCAACACGCCATTTTCGCGAAATCGCCACTTTCCAAAGGACCCCTTTGCCATCTCATTTGAATTTCTGTTTACAGTTTGGCGATTTTGGCGATTAAGCGCCATTTCTGCCATTTTCGCCAAATCGCCATTTTCGCGAAATCGCCACTTTGCAAAGGACCCTTTGCCATCTCATTTGAATTTTTGTTTATAGTTTGGCGATTTTGGCGATTAATTGCCATTTCTGCCATTTTCGCCAAATCGCCATTTTCGCGAAATCGCCACTTTGCAAAGGGCCCTTTGCCATCTCATTTGAATTTTTGTTTATAGTTTGGCGATTTTGGCGATTAATTGCCATTTCTGCCATTTTCGCCAAAATCGCCATTTTCGCGAAATCGCCACTTTGCAAAGGACCCTTTGCCATCTCATTTGAATTTTTGTTTATAGTTTGGCGATTTTGGCGATTAATTGCCATTTCTGCCATTTTCGCCAAATCGCCATTTTCGCGAAATCGCCACTTTGCAAAGGGCCCTTTGCCATCTCATTTGAATTTTTGTTTATAGTTTGGCGATTTTGGCGATTAATTGCCATTTCTGCCATTTTAGCCAAATCGCCATTTTCGCGAAATCGCCACTTTCAAAGGGCCCTTTGCCATCTCATTTGAATTTCTGTTTACAGTTTGGCGATTTTGGCGATTAAGCTCCATTTCTGCCATTTTTAGCCAAATCGCCATTTTCGCCGAAATCGCCACTTTCAAAGGACCCTTTGCCATCTCATTTGAATTTCTGTTTACAGTTGGCGATTTTGGCGATTAAGCGCCATTTCTGCCATTTTCGCCAAAATCGCCATTTTCGCGAAATCGCCACTTTGCAAAGGACCCTTTGCCATCTCATTTGAATTTTTGTTTATAGTTTGGCGATTTTGGCGATTAATTGCCATTTCTGCCATTTTAAGCCAAATCGCCATTTTCGCGAAATCGCCACTTTGCAAAGGGCCCTTTGCCATCTCATTTGAATTTTTGTTTATAGTTTGGCGATTTTGGCGATTAATTGCCATTTCTGCCATTTTCGCCAAATCGCCATTTTTCGCGAAATTGCCACTTTCAAAGGACCCCTTTGCCATCTCATTTGAATTTCTGTTTACAGTTTGGCGATTTTGGCGATTAAGCGCCATTTCTGCCATTTTCGCCAAATACGCCATTTTCGCCGAAATTGCCACTTTCCAAAGGGCCCCTTTGCCATCTCATTTGAATTTCTGTTTACAGTTTGGCGATTTTGGCGATTAAGCGCCATTTCTGCCATTTTCGCCAAATACGCCATTTTCGCCGAAATCGCCACTTTGCAAAGGGCCCCTTTGCCATCTCATTTGAATTTTTGTTTATAGTTTGGCGATTTTGGCGATTAATTGCCATTTCTGCCATTTTCGCCAATGCGTGCATTTCTGGACATATCTCAGTTTGTTTTGCTGTTTTAGCAGTTCCCAGTCCCTGCCACATAGCACCCCAAGCAGCAAAGTACAGTGAAATGGCCGCCAAAATTTTTTTCGGAGAATTTTGTGAGCACTAAGAAAGTGAAAGTCTATGATTCTTTCTGAACACGCTTTACAAAGGAATGGCGATAAACTTGCTAGAGTTTCTTAGCACTATTGAATCTGCGACCTCTTGGTGAGACTTTCATGACTGTTGTGTGTGAGGCTGGCCATGAGTGCGAGTAGCCAGTGAACAGGCTCTCTATTTGGGGAAAGGGTGAAAAAATTGCTCCTCTTGTCGCTTGCAATTAAAACTTTAATAATTTGCTACAGTGCCTTTCAACATTATAAATGATTATCAGCCACACCAAGGCTGTGCTCTAAGGAAAATTGAAGGAAGCCCAGTGCTCTTAAACTGTAAAATCTAGGGTGCCCAGCATATGCTTTGTATGAAAAATCTGAGATTTTCTAGTCACCCAAGGGCAAAAGTTAGGTTTCAGGGGCCACTGGGCTCTGCCGGAGCACGGCCCTGCACATGCTACATATGCAGTACATACCAAGTGGCTCATCTTGTTTTTCTCTTACTTGATAAAACTCCTGCATCAATTTACCTTTTTTTTTTTTAATTTTAGTTACCCATGGCTGCATTGTTGCCACTGTCACCCTGTTTCTTCCGGATGGAAAAGAAGCCACAAAGTAAGTGAATTTCTCTAAAATAGCTTGCTCAGTGCATTATGCCCAAAAAAAAAAACGAAATACGACTTTGAAAAAGGGACAATAATTTATTGTTATTATTTTTTTTTTCAGAGGGGGAGTGCCAAGAAGCTTGTTTGCTTTGGTATGTCATTTTTGATAAAAAATAATAGTATAATAATGACAATCCATTTTTTAATTTAAAAAAATATAGAAAATTCCTGAAAGCATTAATACCTTGTAAATTCCCCAGGGTGCAAAGAAAGTCATTTTTAAAGCTTGCCATTCGGGCAAGCTGAAGCTGGCATGTATTACCCCAAACATCATTTCAACTAGCCCCAAAAACATTTGAATGGGCAGAATTGATTTTGTAGTTCTTCTATAATTTGAATACCTCAAAAAAAATTCACTAGCCCATTGGGCAAGTTAAGAACAAAATTCATTAGCCCAATAGCAAAATCCACTAGCCCCGGGATATCGGACACTACTTTCTTTGCATGCTGTTCCCATGTACCTTCAGGTTTTATCCACAGCCCAAAATTAATTTGAGAATACATTATATTGCCATTATAGACTTTGGAAGTAAATGTCACATGATAAGCCTACACTGGATATTTTTTGTTTTAATTATTGTTGCCTATAGAAATAGTAACAGAATATTAATTTTTACCTATACTGTGCATTGCCTTGTGGGGTTTTGTAATGTTTATGTTGTAGTTAATTTTTTATCTCAGGTAATTTTTATTTTTCCATTGTTTTTGGGTATGGTAATGTATGCTAATGAATTTAAAACAAATGAAAAATAAAAATTAACTGTAATAAAAAATTAACTGCAACATTTACTACAATTAAATTAGTTATTAAAAGTAGTGCTAATGTTTTTTTTTGCCCCAATGATATCTTTAATCATAAATAGATTTTACAAGAGCAATGTAGTAATACCAATGCTATTATAATTAATTTTTATCTCATCAATATTCAACACAACTGTTTGATAGATCTCACAGTTGCTAATCACTACTGTTCATGTGAGGTATGAGTAAAGCACATGATCAACCATCTTGAGTTTATAAGATTTCATCTCCACCATTTTGATAATATTTGATTACTTTCAGTAGAACATTTCTCCTGATTTGTTTTGTTTACCCTTGATTGCTCCTGGAATTTGGAATTTTGTATTAATAGAACTCTGTGCTAGCTCACATAACAAGTAATACCCATGATAATATTATTATTGTTTTAATAAATTAGAGGTTAAAAGGTCATTGGCCTTCCAAGATATCAAATTCGGTGAAAAAGATGCCAAGATGTCAGTTTGTTAAGTTATTGAAACATGTTTTTTTAGCTTTGATTGGAAACTCATCTCTATAGGTTGTAAATTTAACATAGTGAGATGTCATTTTGGATCATGTGTAATAAATTATTTCATTATGTCCAACAAAAAGAAAGGATGGGAAGCTTTTATGGCCAAAATCAGTGTGGCATTTTGTTGCTGTTGTATTTTCTTCAAATAAAGTAACAAAAAAATGACAACAGTGTCAAACCTTTGTCAAAATAGGCTTTGAAACTATCCTGACAGCAATCTGTTTGGCTAGTGAAATGAAATGGCAGGGTTTTCATATTATGTAAACTTGTCTTTTCATCAGGGCCTCTGATATTTCACGCGGTTGCGGAACCGCGAAATTCAGGTATTTCCGTGAAATCCCGCAAAATTCCCAAAAAAACGCGAAATACCGCGAAATCCGCCAGAAATATCTCCAAATACATGTTGGCAAAACATATTTAATACTTATCTTGGCTATTAGACCGGTTTTATTCACCCCAAACGTCCAAATTTAGCTTGAAACTTCGTCACCGCAACGAGTAAACAACGTCCCAAAACTACCAGGCGTTTTTAGATGAACGTTGCGAAAAACTGGGCACTAACTATAATGTTAATAGCTTTAACGCTCATTTCTCGTCTCGAGCGAACTGTTGTTGAAAGAGTAAATGATTATCCCTGTTAAAAAAACGTTCACCAACGCTGGTCATATCGACGCAAAATTGATCGATTTTAGCGAAATTTGCCAAAGAAAAACCCAGCGAAATCGGCTGTTTTTTACTGATTGTTTCTTGGCGAAGTTTCCCCCCCGAAATTTCCCGTGAAATCGGCTGATTTTCCTAAGAATTTGCCCCTGAAAATCCTTCTAAAGTTGACTTTTTTCCACCAAAATCCCACGAAATGGGCCGATTTTTCTGCGTATTTTGACTTTTCTCCTGCGAAAATCGCCCGAAATCGGCCGATTGTTCCGCGAATTTTGACTTTTTCCCGCGAAATCGGCCGATTTTTCTGCGAATTTGCCCCTGAAAATCCTGCGAAATTTTGCCTTTTTTTCCGCGAAATATCAGAAGCCCTGTTTCATATTATGCAATCAGGCATCAGGGGTGACTATCACCTACTTAAACATGAATAATACTCATAAGTATTGTTTGTTCCAAAACAGAATGAAAATGGCATCCAAGCCCAAGAAATGTGGCAGTTGTCCCAGTATCTTCAAGATGCATTGTATAGAGAACAAATGCTTGAAAATAAATTGGCAAACCTTCAACGACTTTTGTCTGACTCGCAGGCAGCAGCAGAAGAGAACAATCAGGTAAAGAAATTGTGTATGACAGGGTTCGCATGCACCTTGAAAGTCTTTGAATTTTAAAATAAAAATTCAAGGCCTTGAAAGTCTTTGAGAATTGCAGTCGGTGCTGGCAAGTCCTTGAATTTTGATGCTAACTTTATCCAACCCAAAGGAAAAGGAGCAAACACAGAAAGACCTTCAGGATAAATTTGCTCATGTTGTGGAAGAACTAAAAATGTCATAGACTCGAGGCTCTTTTTTGTGCTGAATGGAGTCCTTAAAAAATGGAAAATTTGTCCTTGAAAGTCCTTGAAAAGTCCTTGAATTTTTTGTTCAAAAAAGGGTGTGAACCCTAGTATGATACATGTACAATCATCATTTTCAGTGTTCACCCCTTGGTTGATGTTTCTCTATAAAAAGGGAAACAGAGCAAACATTCTAATATATTGCTGAAGACTACCATAACTTTTTTGTCAATATTCTACCTAAATTTATTTTGACTGTAATCTCTTTACAGTCTTATGTGCAGATTTGCTGTCTTGTTAATAATTATATAAATTTTGAGTTTGTTCTCCATCCAGTGCTTTGCTTGTCTTTTCCACTGATAATTATTTTTGTTTATGACTGCTGCTGTTTTAGGCATTTGCCCAAGAGGATAAATTACTGTCAAGATTGGAAACTTTAGAAAACCAGTTAGAAACATTAACAAAGGTAACAGAAATTAATTTCTACTCTGGTGTCCTCTGTTATTACCTTAAAGTTCCAAAAGAAATCCCTGGTGCTTATATTTTTCAAAGGCCCTTTTTCAGGGGCTTATTTGTGGGGGGGGCTTACATCGAAGGGAAATTTGGGTTTCAAAATCAGCTAGAGTTATACTGGGAGAGAGATTCTTGTCTCAAAATCGATTGGGCTAGCTTATAGTTGAAAGAAAATTTTATATCAGTAATTTGCAGAAAGTTTTTACTGAAACTCACCTTGAGGGCGTAGATCTTACTAAAACTCAGCCATTTAAGTACTTCGTCTATATTGAACAAGGAAATCCAAGCCAAGAACTAAGAGTGAACTACGAGGTCAGCAATATCATGTGACACTTTTTGATTGCAATCATTTGGCACATGTTATGGTTCTTTGGCAATGCAAAAGTTTTTGCTTAGTTTTATTTTGAATTTGAGGGCAATTTCCCAGTACAAGCCTCCGTGGGCTTATATTTGGAGGGGCGATTTAACGGCTCCAGGGTTTTTTGCATTATGAGTTTGGAGGACTTATTTTCGGAATTTTAAGGTATATTATTTTTGAGACTTATGGAACATTCATTGACCTTGCAAATCCAACTTTTTTTCTTGTTTGTATCACAGTATTTACTTCTGTAATTTCTCACTTTTGATGTATGTTTTGGTTTCTTAATTCTCATTGTTACTTTTTCTTAGCAGAATTTGACTGAAGATGATATAAAAATGGAACTTCTTGCTCTTCAAGATGAAAGACATCACTATGAAATGAGGGCAAAGGTAATGCTGTACCTGTCTTTGTTACACTTACTTTATAGAGTTCAATGTTGTACTCTGTATGTACAGTTGTACGTGTCTCACCTAGGGTGTGTTCGGAATAAGAATGTGCAAAAGTTTTGTTTCAAATCTGTTGTGCCATAATTTTTGGACTACTTAAAGGGACACGTTCACGGTTCAGCACATGCTCATTAATAAAAATGCTGTTTTTCTGCTGGGACATGCTGTATCGTCTATGCAAGCAGTATGATCTTGTCATAATGTTGTCAAAGAACCAATATGCACACTCCCCTGGTAGTCACTTGATCAACTTGGGTGCAAATAGCTGTAAATTAATCAACCATGGAATAAAACCTTCAGGTCAACAGTAAATTCAATGTTGGTAGTGTTGGCATAATCCACTAATTTTTTCTGCGATTTTAGTGCTCCTCCATCGTACTTCAGGTTACTCTGAAATGCACTTCTACTTTGAAATACACCGTGAAATCGCTGAGACACATGTGAGTGGGATTATTAACCGATATAATTAATAATAAATTGGAAAAAAGTAATTTAATTAATGAGCATGCGCTGAACCGTGAACCTGTCCCTTTAAACACTACATACAGATTTTTAGACATTACAGTGCAATAATGAATGCCACAATAAGTGATTTCTAGAGTTCATTACATCTATTCTTATTCCAGAATACAGTCAATCAAAATAGCCTTGAGGAATGTTTGATATTAAATATGCTTGTGAAAGGTGCAAAATTTGCAGTGTTACTGCAGGTGGTATTCTCTCTAATGATTTTTCTATTGCAGGAGTCATTAAAAAAGGTGTTACAAGAAAAATTGGAAGCTATTCAAAGATTAACAGAAATAGAGGTTTGTTGATTTTTCTCTTATTTCTGCATGGTCAGCTCCTTTAAGCATCAAAATCCAGGTGATCACCTTAACTGGTTTATATTCATATTATATATTTTTTTTCTTGCAATGGAACAGAAGTCCTGTAACAATGCAGAAGATGATTGTCAACATTATAAATCATTATATGAAAGGTCACAACAAGAGCTTACAGACTTGGCAGAAAAACATAAGCAGGTAATGAATAATGTTTTTTCATTGTACATGTATAATAGATTGTCATCTCAATTAAGCACTGTAATATTAAATCCAGGCTCAGATCAGCTGCGTGGCTGTTTTATGTTATTATTATTACTGTTTGACTGTGACAATAGACGGATCGAAACGCACCAATTATTACTGATTACGAGCCTTCATAGCCAATAACATTACAGCTTAACTGACAGACGACCAATGACATTGCGACGTAATTGACCAATCAGATCAATAACCAGAGTATAATACCATCAACTGACGTGATACAACTCACTTTGACTCTGAAGATGACTACGGCACAGGTTGTCGAAACGTCAGTCACTGTCAACAACAACAATCCTATTCAGGACTATGTTCACCCAGACGATCAAACTCAACCTACTTTTGAAATGAGTCCTGGGTTCAAGCCTTTCACATTATTATTATTGTTATTATTATTATTATTATTATCATTATTATTATTATTATCATCATTATTATTATTATTATTGTTATTATTATTATTATTATTATTATTACATTTCTATAACTTTTTTGTAGCCACCCTTGGCAGCAAGTTTGTGAGTTATAAAAGTATTTTTTTTGTGCTGGGGTGCAGGACTACACTCACCAAATGGCTAGTAATTAATACAGACACTAAGGGGGCCATATAAAGTGTCCGTACTAATGGGGTGTCTGTATTAAGGTGGCTGAACACAGTTTTGGCAGTTTGTGAGTATATATTATTTGCCAAATCATGGCAAGAGAAAGGTTGCAGCTCACAAGCTGAAACTTGGCAAGTGAAAAATATACTGATGAAAGATTTTGATTGACAGGCAAAATTTGTCATTTTCGTAGTTTCCATGGCAACATGAACGATTGAATACAACCTTAAAATTTCACTTTTGCTCAGTTTACATAAAATTCACTCATTAGATTTTCCTATAAACTTGCACACAGCTTACTATAATTAATCATTACCATTTGAAACTTATTTGCCCAAATTTTAACAGACGGATTTTTAGATAATCAAAAATATAATTGTACTGTAATTATCAAATGTGTCACAAAAATCGTCTGTTCAACTTCCATTTTAAAGTTCTCATTATTTAAAATACAATAAAAGTAAAAATTCTGCCAAATATCACAAAATTTTAATGAGTAGATTTTGAGAAATTGACTTCTCTGTACCTTTGCTTTTTTCGCCGCCATGTTTGTTTGTCTAATTTAACACACACACCGTCACGCGAGTTACCGCTGACCGCCCGCAAAACTGTGTTCAGCCACCTTAAGCAATTTAAATTTAGAGAGAATGTAACAGGGTTTGTACAGGTCATGGAAAACCTGCAAAGTCATGGAATTTGAGAATTTCATGTTCCAAACCTGGAAGGTCATGGAATTTAGTTATGGGTCCTGGAAAGTCGTGGAAAATTAAGTTAAATTTTGTTTGGTAGATTAGTTACTGTAGATGACAAAGCAAGGATAGTGTAGGATTAGGAGGAGTAATATTAAACACCTCGAACAGCACACATTTTGTTGGATCAGAGTTTGTTTCTGTTGAACTGTTTAAGGTGAAAAAATATGCTAAAACAAGGAAAACTTTGCAAATTTTCAAAAGTGACAACTGAATTTAAGGTCATGGAAAACTTGAAAAGGTCATGGAAAAAGCCATGAAAAGTCATGGAATTTGAAAAGCTCAAAAAAGTACGAACCCCGTATTAAGTGGCTGTCCGTAAAGTAGGATTTGACTGTCCTTGCAAAACAGTTGTAGTATTGACCAGTTCCCATCCCTTACATGAATACTTCAGTCTACTGAGAAGTCTCCTTACTTTCTTACTATCAGCGATTACAAGAGATGCAGACACTTCAAGAACAAGTGGAAGAAGCAGAAAGAAGGCACTCAGCTGTTGAAGGACAGGTACATTTTTGCTGGAGGGTTATCCGGCTGTTATCAAAAATAATCTTCATAATCATAAAAATTGTTTGTATTTTTAGGCTGTTCAAGATAAACTAGAGTTTGAATTAAGAGTCAAAGAAGCTCAACTTCGTGAGGCTGCATTGGCTGCAAAGGTTAGTACAATGTTATTATATAAGGATCACTAATAGTGGCACCGATATTGTTATTGTTGTTTTTGTGCTGATGTGCAATCTTTTGTTTAATGCAGGCAGAGTCATTGCAAGCCGAGTGTGACTTTACGAAAGAGCAGGTTGCTGCAATGAAAGGTAAAACCCACCACTAGGAGAAGGAATGATACTTAAAAAATCTTGGTTCTCAGAAGTCATAAAAAACGTTAAGGGCTGCCAGTGTTGCCCTGTTAGCATGTTAATACATGGTCAACTCTTGCCTTGTGGACACCCCACTATAACGGACACCCCTATAATATGGACAGCAACTAAATCACCTGCAAAAATATATTAGAGATGTTTGACTGAAATAAACTCCCGCTTTTACAGACTCTCACTAATGAGGACAGTAACTCAAGGTCCCTACAGTGTCCGCTATAAAGGGAGTTGACTGTATTATGTAAAGAGGGCGCATCTTGTAGTCCTCTAATCCAGGACATTCCATTCCATTCCATTATCAAGTCTCAAGGTTTTGTTTTGGTGTTCTTATTTCTGTCTTGGGAGTCTTGAACGTATTGCCACAAGGTGTCAGATTCTTAAACAAGGGCTCTAGTGTTAAGCAAGCTGCAGCAGTGCAAACTAGAATCTCTTATGAAGATTGTTTTTTACGCTGTCAAAATGTTTTGCATTAGTGGACAGGACAACCACAGTAACAGGCATCAAAGGAAGGAGTTTGAGTTTGTGTGGTTCAATTATTTGAGTTTGGTGATAAGTAAGTGGCAAATATTCCGCTATGATAAGCGGGCTGTTGGCTCAGTTTGACTGAATTGTAAAGCTAAATTTTTCTTTTACATCTGTGATGAAAAGCACAGTTTATTCTTCCTGTCTCTCGTTGGCAGAAAATCAATTATGTTAGGTTTTTGATGGTGCTTTCTTCTGTAATAGAAGCTTCGTTGCTCTTACATGTAAATGAAATTCATGCTGTTGGGATATTGTTCTAATTTAGTTTATTGCCCATATTAATTAGTGCACATGGAAAAAACAAAAGGTGAACTTCAGCAGCCAAGCAATGAATACAAACCTCCTGTCATCGAGTTACAAGGTATTATTTCCTTTGTCTCCTAGCCCTGATTATTGGAATCAATCAACCTAGGTTAAAAATTATTCACCTGAATGTAATTTTGACCTGTAACATTCACATGTATACCAGTATTACAAACAGGGCTTGTGAAAAACTTGAATCCAAGCTTGTCCTTTTACGAAGCTGCTCATATATTGTGCTTGCCCAAGGCCACTTCTTGCTAATCTTAGTTAATGATTTTGTGAGAGGATGACTTACCTGGACCCTTGGCTAGTAAGCTGTAAAAGTTACTTACCAACCAAGAAAATCTACTCGATGTGGACTACTGGATGAGACTTTTTTTCAGCCCTGACAAATTATGCATGTAAACCGATAGTCCTAAACCACTACTGGAATTCCCAACATGTTTGATGTTCTGAATAGGTGAAGGCCAGACTTTTATCACAAGAAAAGCTTGTATGCTGTAAACTTCTGATTATAAACCCCCCACCTCATTTACATGTATGGGCCTATCTATCTGTAAACAAGAAAATACATCTGATTATAAGCTTATAAGCTTTTTTTAGTCTGGTTATGAGCCTCCCCCCCAACCCCTAATGATATTGTATAAGCTCACGGTATAGTTGTAGTGCTTGTGGTTAGTGTCAGTGGTTAAAATATGGCTGTGGTGGGTGCTAAGGAAATCAGGAGGTGGCAAACATAAAAAAATAATGACCATAAAAATTGTAGAGGCCTGCGCAGTGGAAAGGACTACATATATTTGCTGTATACTAAACACCCTCTTTTACTCCCACTTCCCCCCACTTCCCACTCCCATACAACTAAAACCCTTTCCTAATGTCTGGTTATAACTGAGGCTGGTAAAATTTTCAGTGGGGTAGGGGGTTGGGGAGCAAGAAAGGTTGCCAAAAGCCACTGAGGATTATGTGTCTATTACAACTGATACATGATTTAAAAGTTTGGTATCCCTGTTGTGAATTTAGATTAAGTGATTATACAGTGCTTATTGTGATTTTTGCTCAGTGGTTAGTGTTGCCTGTGGCAGTGCAAGTTTGTTATTTTGAATGTCTATTCCACTGTTTATCTTTCTGAGTGTAAAGGCTAACCATAAAATCTTGTTGTTGATGTTTTAGCTTTTAGAGAGCAATGAGCTTTGTTACATGCACTGTGTATTCTTCTTGTGTCACTTTCTAAGTCTTTTTTTTACCATGTTTATTTTGTTTACCTCTGTGGTTGGTCAGCTCCATGGCAAACAGCCAGTTTGTGTAATATTAAGAGCTAAGAGCTTTACATGTCTGCTCCTCCATGGGTTTTAAACTTAGCTCCCATCAACAACAAAGCGCTCAAATGCAGCAAAATTTACTACAAAACAATATCCAGTTTTTCTGGTTTGTTTATTTACCAGGTAACCAAATCTCAGCTGTTAGTCTCAATTATTAGAATTTGAAGTGTTAATCTCATTTTATTCTCCTCTTTCTAGAACTGTTTTGTCATCTATTAAATCGATTATAGTAGTTTTTTTGTACATTGTGCATTTTAAAGTGCTGTGTTGTTGAAACTCTAAACTTATTTTTCAACTTAAAAATGTAAAACAGATACTCTGCTATCATTTTTGTTATTTCACTTCACAAGCCTAACATAATGTAACAGTAATTATAAAAATCTTCTTTGAGTTATTCGAGTGGCTGCAAACAACTTTCAATAATATTTATCTCTGAGATTCAGTACCTGTTAGATGTAGATGTATTTTTTGCTGTTTTATGGAATGGTTAGCAACTGTTGGTTTTCTCAAGTGTAATTGGTGTTATTTTTAGTTGAAATCATTAATATGCATTATACAGGTAACAGAAAATTAGCATAAACATGGCAGGTTGAACAGGTACTTCAAAGTGGGGTTAAAATGACAAGATCTCCGCAGTTTATTCATACATTACACAAGCTGGGCTCTCTGTTTAAATTAAATTCCTTGTAAATGAATATGAAATTGGCTGGATTTCAAGACTCAAATAAGAAATTATTATACTGTAATTACATGCATGGGCATAAAAATATTTAAGTATACCTACGGTGTATCTTCACCAAGTAGTGGGACAACTGTATTAAGTGTAATTTTTTTACCATAAGTCTTTATTGAGTTCTAAAGTGATGTCATGAAAATTAAATTTTTGGAATTTTGGGATTTGTTGGGATATTTTGAAAGAACAACATCTGAAAGGCCTACTTGTCAAAAACTAACATCGTGGGGCAAATTGTCTCAGAGATACTAGTCCCGTTTTGCTCTCAGACTGATGACTCTATACAAATCCTTCTAAATTTGACTCGGTTTGTAATGTTATGAACTGAGTCAATTTTAGAAGGATTTGTATGGAGTCATCAGAGCATAATGCAGCTATCAAAGTAAACCCCGTGGGGGGGGGGGGGGGGGGGGGGGCAAGGGGGGGGGGTTTGACAAATTTTAAAATTTTTTGATAAAATTCCCCAGGGTGGGAAACGAAAGGTCAATCAAAAGTGTCAAAAAAGCCCCCACCCCGGGGAAAAAATCTAAAATCTAAAATCTAAAAGAACATTTCATAAGTACGTTCTTACTACTTTTATTTAAGGTTTACGTAAGTTCCGTTAAATTACTTGCTGTAATTAAGTATTTTTTCTCTCCACTAGCATCTCTTATTTCGAACAACATAATCGCTCCAGGAAGATTGACCGTGCTATCATATTAATGAAACGTAAAATGCTTTATAACATCTGCTCAACATGTGGGAACAGGTCTGATCAGTGCCCCTTAAAAAATCCTCTGACTTTCATGGTAAAATTCAATTTCAATCGAGATTTACAATCAGATGGGAACTTGAAGATAAAAACTTTTTCAAAATAGACATTATCTGTTTAGATGACAGTGTAAAGTATCGGATTATGGCGATTAAAACAAATGAAAACTTCATACCTTTCTCCAAGAGCGTGACTTTCAGAAAGCCTCGAGGGACGGACTTGGTAACTGCTTCTGAATTGATACCAGGCTTACATACATACATACTTTATTGGCTCGTCCCCACTGGGCTTTTCAGAGTCAATTTTACATTACAAAATTATAAACCAAGTACATGACAATAAGAATATAACAATGATAAAAGAAGACAAAGGTCAATCAAATTAATTAAATTAATTAAATAAAGCAGTCATTAAGAAGCTTTTGCCTGAGTAAACACTTGAATTCCGTCACGGATGGGCTAAGTTTGAACGCAGGCTGCAACTCATTCCAGAGAGAGGTTGCTCTATATTGAAAGGTCCTTTGGCCGCTGGCAGTGCGGAAGAGTGGTATGTTCAAAAGTTGAGAATTTCTCATATTCCTTGTCGAGACTGTGGATCTTCCAACGAGCTTTGATGTCAAATACTCCGGAGCACAACTCGTCATGCACTTAAAAACCAGAACAGCAAAACGAAAATAAAGTTGTTGCCCTTTGGTAGCCAGCGCAAGGCTTCTATCGGTCAAAGTCAAATGTCCTGACCCCGGGGTCGCTTCATGATCAAAAGCCCAACATGGGGATAGTCTCAGGCATCAAATCCCCTCCCCTTGCCCGCATCCCCCCCTTCCCCCACGGGATTTACATTGATAGGTGCATAACTAGGCAAATATCTCAAAGACAAATTGCCCTGGAATGCTAATTTTTGGCAAGTAGGATGTTAATCTTCCTTTCCTTTTGGATGTTGTTCTTTCTTAATACCCTGGAAAATCCTGTAATAAAGTTTCACAAATTTCATTTTTTATGATGCAACACTTTAGAACAGTCTCTATGGTTACTACCAGATTCAATGTAAGGGTATACTAGCAGATCACTTGCATCGACTACCAGCAAATATGAATGATCTTAAGATACCTTTTCAATAAATAAGAGACTACTGCCCTTTAGCAGTTTCTTTCTTGTATTAAAGAGAAAGCCATTCTCCAAAAAAAATGCTATTTGTTCATTGTCAGGTCTGTGTATGTTTTTCACATGGCATGGCACTAAAATTAGTTTATTGATCACAAGTACGCTTCAAATTTCACTATACTATAGTGGCAACTTCAAACACAAGCATTTATGAAATATGTGGTTACACATAATTGAGTTTGTATAATCTTGAATCTGACACAAGGTACAAAGCTGATTTCATTGAGAAAGACTTGTTAAAGCAGTAAATTATATTTAATATCTAAATGTTTTGTAGAGATGCAACAAGAAACTAATTGCTGGGTTGTAAAATGAAAACATCAGCAAGCCTCTATGTCATTTGGTTCTGTGCTGTAGAAAAAGGCCACAAATTTTGCTCAAGGACTTTTTTTTGTATTTGTATATATCTTTTTTAAGTCTTTACATCACAACCAGATGTTTGTAAGTGTAAAAAAAAAAATTGAAAAAATTGTAAATTGTAATTTGTTTACCCATGGAGCACAAAGGAGTTCATAAAAACTCGTTGAAACATGTCCGTGCATTCAGATCAAATTGGAATTTGGAAGTGTTGGTTTTTAAGGAGAGGGGAAAACCGGAGTACCCGGAGAAAAACCTCTCGGAGCAAGGGAGAGAACCAACAACAAACTCAACCCACATATGGCTTGGAAGCCAGGATTCGAACCCGGGCCACATTGGTGGGAGGTGAGCGCTCTCACCACTGCACCACCCTTGCCCTATGAGCCCTTTGTAAGCCCTTTGCAGTCACATGTCGTGCTAAATACATAAAGCTTGGGTTCCAAGTTAGATAATACAAGAGGCAAAAAGAGCATGGGCAAATTAGTGATAAAGAAGTGATTGACTCATAAAACCAAGCTTTAATGGTTGTTGGAATGTCTGCAAACAAAAAAGGTTTGCATGAGCAAAGTTAGTGGACTGCAAGGGGTGCAGTCAAGCATAATTTTCCAATGTTACTTTGGTATTTTTTTCCTTCTTTCAAAGGACCATATATCAAAGTGTTAAGAGTTTAAAAGCTAAAAGTTGGCAGACCCACTATTATTTTGTTTTGTGCTCTTTTAAACTCTGGTATATTTACGGCTTTATCTTATAATTAACGCACGAGATAGGTCACATGACCACCAGCTGCAAGGGACCTACTTCACGGCTGCTGTTAAGTTTTGGAGAGCCATAGCTAATGAAGATTCACCTGTAACATCACACAAAAAATTATAGTGTTATTTTAAGCTTTCCTATTTGATGAGTTGTAACATACAGTGAGCTTAGTCATAACAGGTGTTATGTGGGTATTAGTGGTTATTATCCTGTCTTGTGCTATCCATGAGAAGACCTTTACATTTTACTTACTAAAATTACTAAAATTAATGTGTTGAAACTGCATTTCAATGTCATTCTTGCAGAGGAAACAGTTATTGAGGCTGTGGATGTTAGTAGAACAAGGGTATTAGAAACATCTCCAGACAGTTTTGAAGGTAAGTGTCACATATCGGTATCGGTAATTAACTGGTGAAGACAAACCATTCAGGAAATGTATGAACATCTTTTAAGGTCACAAAACAAAGTGCACCAGTTCTCACACACTGAATACGATTTGTCTGCCAAATGACAATGTGAGAACACTTTATTCACTGAAAAACTGTCAACCATAACAAAGGAAAAATTAAGAGAAAAAACCCTGCTTAGCCTAATAGACTGCTGTCAAACCAACACTTTTAACTGACAAAGGACAAGATAGTGGGAAAAGCTGTAGTGATGAATGGCAAGAAACAATGAAAACCAATACTCTGCCTCGTGCTTAAGTCCCATTTAGTGTGAGATAACTTTCTAAATCTTTTTTTGCCCCTTTCGCAAGCTCAGCCAGCAAGAAAAACATTTCTATTTCAGTTTGCTCTTGGAGGGTGATCATTTTGTAAGAGCTAACAGAAAGAGCAGCTCATTAAACACAATGGCTGAGTTCGTGTTTGTGATGTACGTAATGGTAAGTTGGTTAGCTGGTGTAAAGGTTTGAAGTCAGATATGTTTAAGTGCTCTCTTCTTCTCTCTAGACAATTCAAGACCTTTGGAAAATTCAGAGGATAGTAACAATTCAAATACAGATGATGTGAAAATTTTACAAGGTTTGCCATTTTATTTACAGTCTATCCAATTATTTTTTTGTTTGTTTTTTCTTTCATCAAATACTAAAGACTTTTCCTAAAATGGCTTTTTCACTAGTTCAAGTTGAGAAACTTCAAGGTGAAGTCGGAGAAAAAGAGAAAATTCTCAAGTCACTCCTAGGTAAGTTTTAAATCTTTGTGTTATTATATGTACATGTATAGGTGCACGAAAGAATTATTCTTTCAGTTTATGGTTATGGTTGGTTGACGAAACAAGTTCAGAACCTCTTGCTGCACTTCTGACTACCTTTAGCTTGTACAAGAGTAATATTATTACTTATCACTTACAATGTTTCAACAGAGCAAATAGAAGAAACGAGGTCTTTGCATAAAGAAAGTGAAAATGAAGTGCTGCGTTTGAAAGGTATACCAGTACATTAATCAGATAGCTTCAAATTATTAATAATATTGTTATTATGAGTGACTCCAGGGGCTTCAAGTCTGTAATCATATCATTGATATGAAGACTGCAGAGTAGGACATGGCTGTAGTCATTGACAGGTCTGACTTGTTTATCACGGTCGGTATGATTACAGACAGAATTTGACTGTTAGCTTGCCAATAAGCATTGTATCAGTTAAAAGGGTGGTACATTTAGTTTATTATTATCACTTAAAGAAAGAAAGGAATCCATTGAAAAATCCTCTTTTGCTGTGCGTATGATAATGTGTACTGTCCAATGATATCATTGTAAAGGCATGATGCATTTTGTCTGATTTAGTTATCTAATCAGGACTATTGTTAGCCAATCTGTTTCAAGATTTTTAGAACTACAGTGGATCAAACTCATTGGATTGAATAATTTCGATGCAGTTTGCCCGTCAAATAAAATTGGATTTACAAAAGAAATTGAATCAAATAAAATCTAACGTTCAATTTCATAACTCCTAACTCCCATTTCCTAAATGAAAGATTTTGATAAGTAGGTAGAATGTTCTCTGTAGTGTCAAAACATGTAGTGGTTTTGCAAACTGTAATGCTTCTCTTTCATTTCGAACTTCCCAAGTTACAAAATACTCTTCTAAAAGGTTAACTCATCATTTATTTTCTTTCTTTTGCTCACATAGAACAACTAGAGAAGTCTGCAACGACCACTCAGGAGGACAAGGAAAAGATCCAGTCACTTGAGGGTAACAGATAACATTAAATGTTTCTTACTTGTTCATGGTGATTGCACCCTTCATCCATGTTATAAATCAACAATGAAATTACATCTTCCTGGATAGATTGTCAAGCAAGCAGAAGTCCATGCCAATTTTGCCTCCAGGCCCTGGTTGCTCAAAACGTGGATAACACTCTCCACGGGATAAATCTCTATTCAGTGGATAGCGCAGTTATTGGTTTTCCTAATACTTATCCACTGGATAGTGATTTATCTCTTGCATAGCGCTATCCAGCTTTTGAACAACTGGGACCAGATATATATGCACTTGGAAGCAGGTTGTTTGGTTGATACAGGGTTAAGTGCCTGTTGAGTGGGTAACCTGTGGTGTCATTACCTTGATCTTAAGTGGGGTCCCTGTGTTTTTTGTTTTAAAGATGATTTTACAGTGACTTGTTATTAATTTATTATGATTTCAGAGCAAGTGATGGAGTACCACCTACAAGCCATTGATGAGTTGTCCATTCCAGATGAGAATAGTTTGGATAGTGTTGAGCACATGGATGCTGTTACATCAGCAATAACAAGTAATGCTGTAGCTTAGAATTCCAACCTTTTCCTTTCATTATTTTTGTTACGGTTTTGAAGACATGTAAGAGACTGTAGAATAATACTTGCTAAAATTTAGTCTGATCACAGTTGAACCATTCCTTTCATTTGTGTCCAACGATCTAACCAAGCTACTACCCAGGTCATGTAGCAGCTGCTTGGAAGAGAAGTCACCAATGATGTGTTTCCCTGACCCCAAACAATACTAAAACAATTGGAAGAATGACATGTCATTGTTTCCTGCGACCAATTAGGAGAGACCTTACAAGCAGCTCCTACTCTACCCTACTAACTAAGTGGTCAAAGCAGGTGACTTAGATATTTGGTCAGTGCTGTTTCTTATGATCATGGAACACAAGAGCAGTGTCTATCATTTCGCAAGCTGAAGATCATTCTACTTTTTTAATTTATCTACAGATCATGAAGAGGACCATATCATTGACAAGTTGGAGGTTAAAAACTTCTTTGAAGAGTTGGACCTTGTTAGAAGACTCCATGGTAAGAAAATTAATACGGTAAACGTTATACACTATACGCTGTGCACTTTACACTGTAATTTATTATTTTACCCTATACACTATACCACTCACATACTCATAGCTATCATGCTTTTCCTCTCTAGAAAATAAGAACCTGTTTAGGCAAACTTTATCCTGAAAACTATAGACTCGGTATATATGCTATATGCTATACACTACACCATGCTATACACGATACACTGTACATACTGTATGTTTGCCTTATTCATAAAAAAATGCAGAACGTCTGTATCCCTCACTAGTAAAGTTTATCTAATTTTGATGCGCTAAGTGATTTATTTTCAAAGCTTGCATATTGTTAAATAAACATGTTCATTTTTGCTCAGATCGCATCTGTGAAGTGAAGACCATGGCTGAAGAACGACACTTAATGATGATCAGCTGGTCAGGTGAGATCAAACTTTCCATTTCTCCCAACTTTGCCATCAGCCCTTCAAGCCCTATATCCACATACACATTCACATGACTAATCTCCATGCTTTTTCTCAACCCTCTCATTCCCAAAAGTCACCAAAGTGAAAACTAGACAAAATTTCCAAATTTCATTTTGTAATTACTGAAAAAATGAATAGTAGTACCTAACGTGCAAAGAAAGTAGTGTCCGGTAGCCCGGGGCTAGTGGATTTTGCTATCGGGCTATACTGGTGAATTCTGTTCTTTACTTGCCCGACGGGCAAGTGATGTGTCTTGAGGAATTCTGCTCGTCAAAAAGCTTTTGGGGCTAGTTGAAATGACGTCTGGGCTAGTAAATGCTAGCTTCAGCTTGCCCGAATGGCAAGCTGTAAAATTGATTTTCTTTGCACCCTGAGTACCAGATGAAAGTGCTCGCAAAGAGGTTAAATTTGAATGGTCACACTTCAGCATTTTGACCACAGACCGTCAAAACTTAGAAGCACTTTTCAAGACTCCATCTTTTTTCACAAGGGAGGGTAGCGGTTAAAGTATTTGGTACAGATCAAAGCATTATCCCTTAGGTCCCCATTTTTCAATAGAAATTCTCATAGCCTTTCCTCTTGATTATCTATTGTTATTGTTGGGAGAAATTTGATGTTGATCACTCTTGAAACTTAAAGGGTTAACTACAGTGTGAGGTCTCATGTGCATCCTGCATACTGTTATACAGTGAAACTTGTGTTAGTCGGACACCCACTGGTGTCATGTGCAGTGTCAAAGTGTCCTTTGCAGTGATAATTACGATAGTAATGTTAAGGTAGTTAGTTAGTTAGCTTGGTCAAGCGTCGGTTCGGATGATATGCATTCTTCCCTACCAATCATCTATGTCCAGCGTCGCTGTCCTGAGTTCTCTGTTTAGAGAGCTTTAGATTCCAAGACGAGGACGTCTACGAGAAAGAGATTTTCCCAATACTAAGTAGTGCACGCGCGCGAACCAGCGTCATTTTGGCGGGAAAATGTGGTAGCCGTCGTCATTTTACTACGAGTTTTAGCGAGAAGTTTTCAGATGTTAGGACTTTTATCATTTAACGATCGGGAGAGAGCTTCACGTAGCCTCCCTCAACGGAAATAAGCGTACTAACTTTTTTTTTTTTTTGGGGGGGCAGGGAAATTACACTGAAGTATTCCGGGGTGTCTATTTTTAGAGAACAGGCGAGAAAACAAAATTGAAGTGTTTTCATGTTGTTTAACAGTCGTGAGAAATTTAACTTTTTGTTCTTCTTTTGTTCTAGCTGATGAAGATGACGATGAAATTGTTGCCAATGGCAACGTGAAATTGCCGGTGCAAAAGGCAGAGAGCCCTCGTTCAGTCAGCCCAGTTCGTAAGTAAAAAAAATTGTTTCAAAAGATGCCATCTCAGTGCGCAAGCTCTTGTAACAGCACCTGATTTATATTCCTTTATCATTTGAAAGCTGTAGAATTGATAGTGTCACCGAAATGGGACAAAGAAAAAATATGAGGGGCTTTTCGTTTCTTTTGCAGACCAAGCCCGCAACGCGAAGCAGTTATTGCAGGACAGTTTACATAATGTGCAAGACATCAAAGGTAACCGTAAGATTCTTCACTTGTCAGTCTTTAAAGTGATAAATTCTAGAATTGATGTGGCCTGCTAGTAAGTGCTCTATTTCGCCAGGAGAGTGGCTCGGTGGTAAGGGAAGCGAACCGCGCGGGAACGCGTGAGCGAGGGTGGGAGGAAAAGGTGTGCTCTCCTTTCTTTCCCCCTTCCCTCTCCCTCGCGTTTCCTCTCGCTTGCCGCTCGCGTGTGACTTCTCACCATGTTCCCACTCTCATTCAAGTCCGCAGAGGCCTCTTTGTGTGGTAGGGAGACTGGGGAGAGGGAGAAATGAAAGCGCAGGGGAGGGGCGATGGGGCTTTTTCCAGTTTCAGTTGATTTATTTGCCAGAAAAAATATATTTATACAGTTATTCAATATATTACAGAAAATAATGGTTAGATATTAAAAATGACGTAAATTTCATAAGTGGACGAATCAGAGGTGAGGAAGCTTAAATTAAAACCGTGGGTGCTTATTACATGAGTTCCCTCCCTAACCTAAGGCTATAAATATAATCAATAAGCGGCGAAATCACTTTGAAATATATTTAGGATAAAAAGCTGGTAAAACACTTGTAAATAATACTTTATTTATGCTGCCTTTTCGCTTTTAGTATGTTTTGTTGCGTAAGCTCCCTGATGTGAACGGGCGAAGGTCTAAAGAGATCATTTAAATGGCCATATCGGGCAGGGTACATGCTTCCTTTACGAATACTTTTGGCTTTATTTTTTCAGGAGAATTCATTGAAATCGGTAGAATCATCGATAGCGAACACGAGGAGTCGAAGCACGTACAAGGTTAGAAGAAAATTCTTGTTCTGTCTCTTTCACCCAAAGTTAGAAATAATCCAAACCGTGACGACGCCAACAATATACCGCGGAATATATTTTTGGCTTATTCGTTAATTTTGCCGTGGTGTGGATGATGTCGATCCTTTGTATTACGTCATTTGACGACACTTCATCCGTACCTTTTTCAATATATTTCAAGATCAAAACCAATTTTCTCGTAACGGTATCTAGACATACTTAAGAGAAAAAGTTATGAGAATCAATCAAATGATCACTTAAAAAATGCTGTGATCTTTTAACAAAATCTCTGAACTTATTTCTTGAGAAATGTTTGGAGGAGAGTTTGGAGAATTTGCATGTGGATATTGAGGCTTGCTAAGGGTTACATGAAATCTATGAAAATGATGATCCTTGAAAATCGTGAAAGTTAATCGCAGAGCATTTTACAAAAACGTTAATTTGAAAAATAAATCTTTTAGATTTCGTGATTCACGGTAATTTAGTTGTGGTTTTATTACGAAGAGTTTTTTAAATACAACTCACCAAATCAGTCTCTTGACATCCTAAATTTCTAATTTCCTTACAAAATTATTTCCGGTATTAAAAAGGGGCTTTGTGTGTCAATATACGGTTCGATTTAAATCATCCACGAAACCTTTATTAAACCGTCAACCCAACCGTGTCAGTGTCTCTTCCCTTAATCATTCTCTTAGCAATTTTGTACTTTTAGAGGAAACATTTGTTTGAAAAATGTTGTCAAATGACATTTTCGTTTTTTGCTGAGCTTTTGGCGATTATTTTGATGATAAAAACTAGTGATCCAAACGAGAAAATTTGCATTCATTACTCGATGTTTTCCATCGAAAGATTATCCTGCGCAAATTATTTCATCACTCGTCTTTTTGTTGCTTACTATCACCTCAATAAATTTATGGCTTTTAACGATAAGGTTATTTACACGAAAAAGTTCTATCCTTGAACAAGATGTAAGATTATATTAAGGCACTTATATTTGTAACTATTGTAAATTCTTACCCGTTGTTTCGTCAGCCAAAACCGTGACAATTTGTATTGTTGTGTTCGTAAACTGTGACAATATCCTTTATGATTTATGTTATAAGTCGGGTGATCAAGATTCTTTCTTATTTCTGACTTTGTTGCCGAAAATGTTGCTTCACGCAGTATTAAGTAAGAAAAACTTAAGTATCTGGAATTACGTTATCAAGGTTGTTGGCTGAATGAAATCCTTAAGTGCTGCAAATCTCTTAAGAGCTGTTAATCAGTTCTTGTACAGTGCTTTTTACTATGCTTTGCTGGATGAAATCCTAAAGTGTGAGCATTCAAATGAAAGCTACTGAGCAGTACTTTCCTGTGGTACTGTTTATTATGCTGTACGAGGTGGATCTCACGTTTGAGTCTGTAGGTCTCGTTAAGAGATGATGTGGGCTTTTTTGATGTGCAAACATTTTCGACTTCGAAACAACATCATTTCATTGTTGCAGGGACGATTACGCTTAGAAAAAGTAAAAATAAATTGTTGATTGCATTTTTTGCAGGACAACTAAACGATACTCAACAAGAGCTCAAAGAAAACAACGAACTTGTTGTGGAGCTTCAAGGTAATGTCATAGATGATGGTTGTTATTGCATGTATTCAGCAAGTTGCCATGTGGATTAAATATCGTCCGGGCAATTAACACTAAAGAGGTGAAAAATGTTGATTTTGTTATCAACAAGTAAACTTGGTGATTTTAAGACTGTAAAATATAAATTGCTGACGTTGTGTTGTGATTTAGTTTATGTCGTTATTGTGTCGTAAAGCTCCCAGAAAGAGAATTGAGTAATTTTTATCCACCCCTCTCCCTCCCTGGTCTTTGTCATCCCCTTACCTTCCCCTCCCTCAGTGTGGAAGGTTGATTGAGGGTTGTCGTTTTACTTTCCTGTGACCTTGGGTAAAAACGAGAACTGAGCAGAAATTGATTCAGTGACTGTCAATTCTAACATTTATTAGTTACTTTTCTTATCAGAGTAGTTACTTTGTAATTATCAAATTTAGCACTCAAATCTAATGGACATGATTTATTTTTGTTTTGTAACTGCACTCCAGACATGAACATTTTTAACGGAACTTCACACTGTTATTTTTATTTATGTAATTTCAGAGGAGCTGAAAAATGCGCAGAACTATACTAAAGACTTCAAACAGCAAATTTTAGACTTAAGAGGTACATTATATCCATCATCACCATCTCACCTTTGTGTTGAATACCGTAAAAACTCGTGACTAAGAACCTGTTAGGCTAAAATTTGTCAGTTAGGCCCCCTCTATACAAGAACCCGTTTAGCGTAAAATTTGAAACAGGTCCTTATTTTGTAAACTGCATAAAAAAAAATTCTGTACACTTGGGCAAATAAGATAAGTCAACATTCAGAATCTTCTTTGGAGACGTAAGGTGTCTTATCACTCCAACTGCAAGTTAGTGGTATGCAGATTGTATATAAGGAATAAGCTGAATATGCTACTAAATAGTCTTAGCTTCAATGTATTTTTTTTTCTTCAGAAAATAAGAACCTACATAGCCTAAATTTGTGCTTATTACCATTTATATAAGAACCTGTTTAGGCTAACTTGGAAAAATGCAGGTTTTTTAGTCACGGGCTGTCACTGTATTGCACACGTTTTGCACAACGTAAATAGCAAATGCACATCATCCTTTAATTTTAGCTGCATTTTTTTTTATTGCTTTGTTAAGGATAAAATTCAAATACAGTACACCTTACCACTCTAGAGCGTCGGTCTAATGACCTTCACTCCCAGAAGTGCAAAAAAAGCAAAACTGAAGAACAGTTCCGCTTAGCCGCGTTAATTCTTTGTAGACTCTCCCCGCAAGTTTGAATTTCGGCTTGTAGTGGAGTCTAACAGTTGTGAGTGTGTTAAACTCGGGGATTGCAATTCATGTCCCTTCTTCTCCCATGATAAAAAGCGTATGGCTCTTGCGAAGTTTGCTGGACTAATTACCCTCGTCGGCGTTCTTGTTTTTCCCACCTCCTTTTATCGACTTATATTCTCCTTTTTCATTTCCTTTCGTTTCGTTTTGTTTCGTTTTTTAGTTTTATTGCACTTTTTTTAGTTATGGCATGAAAACATGTTTCTGGACTTTGCTTGATTCTACAGATAGGTTACTTGAAGAACAAGAATTAACGAGAAAAAAAGAGGAATTCATCGCTCAGTTGAAAAGTAAGTTCCGTCTGGTCTTCGAAATTTTAAAAAAGGATTTAAGCTGTCGTTGACCTTTGTAGTGATTCAACCATAATTGTATCGGAGTCGTTATGTAACCTTTCTGAACCCTGGTTTTGTAGGAAAGAGCTCCACTAGAGAAAAGCGTAATTTCATGCGTTTATTTCGGGCAGGCTAAACACGCGAGGGCGTAGAAAATCACCCCTCACGACGAAGTGTTACTCTTCTGACCGCGCGTCGCGTCTTCTCGGAGGAGTCGATTTTCCACGAGCTAAGAGAGTTCTGGAAGTCTTCTCAACCAATCAAGAGCAAAGCCAAAACTCTGTAACTTTTTTGATGCATTGTCCCGCGCTGTAGACACCAGCTACGCGTATTGTAGCCTGCGTAGCATGGCGGTTTTGTCGGACGAACTACTGAGTGGCGTAGCCGCAAAGGCGCGCGCGAACGAGCGGCGAAGCCCTCATCTGCCTTTATTACTTTGCGCGCCCAACCGAAAAACCGCCGTGCTACGCAGGCTACGCGTATTGACTATGAATTCTGATTGGTCCGTCAGGTTGTTTATAGCTTTCGTGATTGGCCAGTGTTGTAAACAACCTCGTTTCCAGGGTATCTCTTCTTCCTGTCCCTTGGAGCGAAGTTGCGTCATTTACTTTGTATTTCTTTTACTGGCACTCGGTAGAGAACCACTCTAACTTGGTGATTATTTTTGCAGGAGAATTCAATGAATTGGTTCGAGAAAAAGACCTGCTCTCTCTGGAGAGAAAGTGCGAACATCACGCCACCGAAACGGCTATAAATAACGCCCGGGAAATGCAGAAACAAGCCGCTAAAAGTGCGAAGGATGCCGGAAAAAATAAAGGTATATTTTTCATTGAAAGTTGTAAGCTGGACTCGAAGCAAGAGAGAAGGGAAGATCGTTGGGACGGGAGGGGAAGTTTGATGAAGAACATGACGAATGGAGATGTTTCAATATTGCCGGCCCTTCGTGTATCCTGTTAGACATCGCAGGAAAATAACCGGGTTTTGTCATAAACGCCTTATTTTAATACGAATAAGTCGACCAAAAAGTGAGCAAATTTATCTCCAGTACCAGTTAACTACCTCAAATTATTGCCTCCACAGTAGTGCATTGTGTCATGGTATTGTTGTTTTTTCTATTACAGTGGAGCTCAACGCAGTTACAGAAGACAATAAGGTCTTAAAACAGAGGATACAGATCTTAGAAAGCGAGCTGAAAAAGTGAGTCCGAGAAACCTTGCATTTTTCTTAACATCACCCTTAAGTGCGCCAAGTTACATCCATAGTTTCAATTGTGTTATGTTGCTAAAATGAGACTTGTTGCTTTTGGGCTTTATTTCTGAGAATCCGTTTTGATACAGCTTAGCTTTTTCGTACCCATCCCGCTTAACGCTTTTCTGTTGAAAAAAAATTACCTAGGACTTGACATACGAAGACCTTGTTTCTCCCTGTCCGTTATTTGTTCTCTTCTGCTTTTGTTGTTGGTGATGATGCCGTCGTTGATGTAAAGAATAGCTTTATTTATGGTTATTTCACTAATTTTTTTCGTTCTGTTTTTCCCCGTTCAGATATCGCAGGGAAAACAACCGTTTAACCTCTGATCAAACTCGGCTTCAGGCCACCTACCGGGAAATGGAAAACCAGAGCAAAATTTTAAGTGAAAAGATCGCCCGACAACAGGTTTGTAGATGCTGCAAAACTCGCTCATCATTCGCCATCGTAGTTTTGTGCAGTGTACTAGCTTGTGTTGTTTTTGTGTCGCAGACAACGTTGCAAGGCAAAATCGAAAGAGAAATAACTGAGAAAAAACTCACAGAAGATCAGGTAAACAACCAACAAAGCTACAACTGGATTTTTCCTAACACGCTAACAGTGTTAAAATGTTTTAACTGGTTTTCTAACGAATGTGTCTGTCGCTTTCAGCCGCAAAGTGTTTTTCCCGCCCTGTACATTTTACGTACGTCTTCCAACCCCACATTCTTCTCGCCCATTTAAAGTGAATCCTGCCAAAATTCACCGGTTATCGAATCCAGATTTCTCGGCCATAGGCTGCTAACAACCTTTTGCTCGTAAGAAATAAAACTTTTTCCCTTTCTTGTAATTCAGGCTAGTGCACTCGAAGAAAGACTCCAAGAAACGGAAACTAAACTAAAGAAGTCTCGAGAGGAAGCACAAGATAAAATTCAACAACTCAATGATGCTAATTCTCAGCTGGTGAGTCTCTAATCTCGTACCCATATCTCTTGTTGACGGTCTGATCTGGTCAAGTAAGAAAATTCCAATTTTTTTTTGATTGGCTACTTAAACTGCCCATATTTTTGAGGGATTGACGTGGGCGAGCTATGGCGTGTGCAATTCATATTTTGCAAAGTCTCCAGTTTTGTTCAAACATGGGTTTTCGCTGAATAAGTAAACTGAAGTAGTTTTCCGTCTCAATATAAAATCTTTTTATCTTTTCTTTTTAAATTTTGTCCTTGTGTTATTAAAAATAAAAACTTTTGAAAAGGACATGGCGTAGAAACTGACGCGCACTGTGTTGAGCTTTAAGCGTGCGCTATGTTAATTATATTTAAACTAACAACCGTGTTGAGTCTTACAAACAAGGACGACAACAACAATTGGTTGGTTCATACTTAAGCTGTGCGTATAACCACCTTAACACGAAACTGCGTAGAAAGTTTAATCGTGGTTGTCTTGTGGCACACAGGGATCCCACACTGCATTTCTGACAGCTTCTTTTGTATATTTTCAGTGGATGTACATTCTAGCTGGAATATTTGGACTAATAGCCTTCATAGCCGCATTTGTGTTTGATCTTATTCAACTTCATCCCGGTGGACGTACAAGTGGTTTGTGGAGTTAACGAACGTTTTTGCGATGTAGTTAGCATCACCTTGCACTCGAGAAGCTGACCAGATGTTTAATGCCTTACTTAAAGAAGTTGTCCCGAAAAATCTTAAAATACCTGTGAATATAGCCTTCTCTCCTCTGTCAGGGTGCAAGGAGAGCCTCATGGGCGGTTCCGGGGGGGGCCGCCTCCACTTTAGACTCGAGATGGTAACTGGGCCAAGTTAACTTTAGCAAAGACTTCTACTGGGGACAGGGAAGAAGAAATTGACCAATAGCTCTTTAGCGCTTTCGCACTCACGATCCCAGAATTTTTTTGAAGAAGGCAATTTCTACTAAAATTCCCGTATTTGCACATTACCAAAGCACGTGTGTATAATATTATATAAATATTATACGTGTGTAAAATATTATAGAATTGTTTACATGTAACTGAAAAATTGCCAGACACATTTTATAATACGAATTAGTTGCGTCATTGTTGTACTGTTGTTTTCTTTAGATTGTGTCTTCGTTTTAAGACTTCATACGCTCTTCCTCCAAAATCTTTCATTTTTGCAAAGAAATTTTTGTCGTTTGCTGACTCTGCGTCACTTTCGTACAGCATTTGTAACATTCAATATACGCGGTATGGAGAAGCAGCTGGAACAAATTCTGCGAGAATTCACGCGTGGGAATTACTGCACGCGGGAGGTTCCGCGCGGCTTTGTTCTCATTCTCGTGTGTGTTACTGCTTTAGAAAATTGTTGTCTTAGACTCGTTCTGTATGGTTAGTATTTTATCCTATAAGGGGCGATTCAAGCAAAGCCTAATATTAATTAATTTTATAACGGTTTTGCATGTTACTGTGAATGAAGCTTTTATTGCTAAATTGAACGTCAGAAGAAAAAATATAAAATATAAATCACTTATCGTTTTCTGTATTAGTGTATATTTAGAATAATTCTTTTCGAATAATCAACCCTCGTTGGTGTTTCATTTTTCGCTCGTAGCCTCCAGAAACTTATTATAGCGTTTACATTCGTGTTATCAGCGGCCGTGTTATTTTCTGGGAAAACAGAAAGTGTTTACAAAGTGAACAGATTGGTGTGGAAGAACAATATGGAAGCCATTTCATTGTTTTAGTATACCCATGCGAAAAACGCTTTATTGATTTTTGAGGAGCTTTGCGAGACGACCCATTCAAATTCCAGTCTCTGTTCTCCCCTCCCCCCTCCTCTGTTCCAATTTCCTCTCTCCCACCCCCTAAGGAGGACCTTAGACTGATGTTCTCAGAACAAGAACCACAGAGAGCTTTAGATTTGAGGACGAAGACGAGTACGAGATTTAACTTAAACGTTTTTTCGTGTATTCTCGAAAAATATTCAACCCGGAAACCTTCATTATACTATTTTCCACCTAAAAAATTAGTGCGGTTATTTTTAGAGGAGGAGGTTTAGCCCTTTCCCGGGCGCAAAATGATTAAACTTCTTAAGTTTGATAACTTGTTCCCGCCACTACGACATTCTCACTAAAACTCATAGTAGAATGACGACGGCTATCACATTTTCCCGCCAAGATGACGTTGGTTCACGCAAGAGCACTACTTAGTATTGAGAAAATCTCCTACTCGTGGTCGTCCTCGTCTCAGAATCTAAAGCTCTCTAATATTTAAAAGTCCCAATCACGGAGTAGGACATTGACGTCAAATAATAAATAGATCACTAAAATTCAATTTGCACTCAATTTGTACCACGAGCATCAAATCCAAGACACCAACACGAGGGGCAGTCGAGACCAATTTCGAGATGCCTGGATTCGTAGAGTGTTCGATGTATCTTCTCATGGGCAATAAATCTTGAAACTTTCAAGAAGAACTTTGCATGATCCATGATTTGTCCGCTCTCCACACTTCGTTAACAAGAATGATTTCCTTTGTTCTATCTCATAAATTAATAATGAGTGAGAAGTTCCATACGAAAAGTTTCTGCACTGGCCACTTGACACTCCGGATGTGCCGCAATTTTTCCTTCGAAGCACTGCGGTTCTTACGCAAGGTACCAAAGCCTTTTTTCTCACGTGCGTCGGGATGCTTCGTTGTCGGCTGCATACCGAAAAATCTTTGGTGGAAGGCGGAAGCAACGAGCGGCGGACGGAAGTCTCCGGTAATTTCAACAATTATACAAACGATTCAGGCATATGCACTATACGCTGTTGGCTAGAGTAGCGCGAGCTTACACTCGGGGTACTGGATACAGGTGTGAAATAATCTCTGCTGTATGGTAAGAGATCAAATCCCGCTTCTAAATAACCATTATGATGGCATGTACAAACAGGTGAAGTGTCCACTGTCACGAAACTGTAACTATAAGGGTCATTCGCAGTAGAGGAGAGAGGTTTATCCTCCAATAAGATCCCTTCATCTAAGTAGTTAAATTGATAGTGTGGCCTTGAACAAGGCATTTTCTTTTTCCTTCTCCGGCGCGTGCGTGGTGTAGCGAGTCCACTGGTCAGTGTTGAAACATCGGCGCTCACTGCTGTAGATGTTTCGAGATCGAATCCGCTGTTATGTTTGCCTAATGGCACTGCTGATCCGTTACTCATGGTATTTTTGGTATACTTGTTAGCTTTCATGCCTTCTTGGATGATTTGTTCGTCAATGTTGCTTAGAAAATGAAGAAAGCAGGAGAAGAAATCATTATGTGGTTTTCAGAAAGCCAACTGCCGCGTACTCTTCCACGCTTTGGACCGATTACAAGCGCGGGAGAAACGCGCTTTGGTTTATTTTCTTGTTGGCGTTATTTATTTTAAAAAAATTCACCCAAATGTCTGATTTGGAAGAACGTATTCCCTTTTAATGATTGTAATGTTATATCAGGAATATTGTAATCATGGCTTTGGAAGTCAAGAGGGAGACTTTTCTTCAAAAGCCGGGCAACTATTTCAGGGATTCTCAGGCCGCGGGATGCAAGCAGCAGGGTTCGAGCGCAAGCGAGGGTGCAGAGGAATGAACACGTCTATCACGTTCTCATGCAGCTGATTTTCCCTCCCTTTCAAACGCCTGCAGCGTAGCCTACAGAACTGTTTGCAGTCAGTTTTTCTTGCGAAATAACCTTTTTTGTTCAAAATTCAGGACGACAAGATGAAGCGGTGCGCTAGGGCACCCGAAAAAAAAAACCTTTCTTCTCTCGCGCAAATCCCTTTCTGTTAACCGGCCAGGTTTCGCAAAAAAGCTGGGTGGTCTGCAATTAGTCTACGGACACGTGCCCATCGAGATTTCATATAATGAAAGGCACACTCCGACTCCCGCTACTGAATTTCCTTTTATTTATTTATTTATTTATTTATTCATTTATTTATTATTCAGCCAAATTCAGTCCGAACTATCAAACAATTTTAGTATCAATTTTTTTAAATACCTCCGAAGATGCCTGTCGTATGCCATGAACATGACAGCTAGTAACCATAACAACAAGAAGAGAAGAGGAACGACTATCATGGCGACTGCTTCACCGCCTGATACCTGGATAAACAATCAAACAAAACAATCATTCTCTTCTAAGGTTGGTTAATACCACGTAATGAACAAGTAAATAGACATGACGCATGATTTGCATGTCCCAAGGGTTACCTTAAGAATCCGTACGACGTCCTCAAAGTTGTCCGGATCAAAATAACATGAGAATGTATTGTTAGGCTGCAAACAACAAAGTATACAAGAAAGATTACTTCATAGAAAGTGCTTTTAAAACAGGAGAAGTCAGAGACCACTAGCAGGCTTCATATCAGGGCATGTCCAAGTGCACTCTGAAGATTTGTCACGCCTTCGTATAAAGGTGATTTTAATCCAGGGAGGGGAGTCACATTTTGCCAGGTAGTAATCGGCCCCTGGTTTTACAAGGATCAGAATAACATTCTGGAAAGCCGCTTACCTACCCTTCCCCCTTGAGACCTCAATTAGGGGCAAAATGACGGGTTAGGGGAGGGGGAGGTGCAGTCTCTCGAGATGATCGCAAGTAGGAGCGAACGATTGAGCTCTCCCCAGTCCTACCAAGCATCCACTCAAGTAACTGATAAGGGACTCCCTCAGCCTCCGCCTCAGGCGCTTCGTTTTTCGTACACAGGCGAGTGCGAAACGCGAGTGACTGATGACGAAGCGCAAGGGATCGTGGGAAGGAGTTCTTCCCGCCTTCCTTTGCGCGCAATGGGTACGAGGCAGACACTCCCTAAGACCCTCTTTGATGCCAGAGGAAAATAATTTTCGCGCTAATGATTGGTCATTGGCTTCTACGCAATGACATATTACAAGGCCTTTTTATTGGGTGACAATTTGGACTCAAGAGCAATCCCAAGGTCTTCTCTATAGCGAAAAACTGAGGACGAGGCCCTACGCTGCCAAAACAGAACAGAGGCAATGGAGTCGAGAATGGTTTAGTACGTTTGGCCGGCTGTTTGAGGTATAATCTACTGCTCACCGTTCCGTAATAATTCAAGTAAGTTGTGTAGCAATCTTGAGCTGATAAATCTGAATCCCAAGCACACTTGCTGTATCTTCCAAATAAGTCACTGCTGCCAAACGTGAAGGAACACTTCAAGAGAACATGGGAGAAAGAACCAGCTTGAGACGTGAGGTAACGTGAACTACTTAGGTGTAAATACAGTAATATGATGTAACCATTAAGTGAAAACCTTTCCCGCAAGCACATTTGTAACCTAGCGTGCGAGCAAGTCTCTATACCATTTGGCCGTGCTAGGCGAGTCGTCCGAGAACGCGGAAGAGCGACGAAGCCGCGAAGGGCTTCCCCTTTCGCGTGCCTTTCGCGCTTTAGTGTATGGGCGACATTTCACGATGTCCCTCAAACGGAGACCTTGCTCGCAGGCTAGCACATTTGTTATTGAGTTCTCTTACAAATTTTGTCTGCACTTTCGATTATGAGCTCTCTTAGTACAGAAACGTAAGAAGAAAACGGGCTGATCACTGCTAACGTTAAATACTTTGTCGAGGTTGACTGTCGTGCACATAACATCTTATCTCCAAAACGTAATTTCCCACTCCAGATTCTCTAAGGGGAATGGCTACAGTTTCTGAAGTAAGGAATTCCATGTATATTTGTATCGGGGTATTTCGTAATTGGAAATTGCACCAAGTTGACAGTGCATGTAACAACTATTGCTAAATCCAATTCTCCAACCTTTTCACAGTGAGACAAGGCTTGTTCGTTTTCCATAAGAACGGCCTCAAAAGCTGTTGTTTTGTTTACTCTGTAGGTTACCTGTGGAAAGTAATCATCACCTGGTAAACTAATTTTCGTTTTTAATAATCTTCATTAATAGTCTATAACACATCAGAAGTGGAGATACTTGTATTATTTATCCAAAAAGCAATGAAAGGAACAGATAAACAAATGTCTGAACTAAACTGTATTAAGGACGCGTTTCACACATACAATCTTCCTTACTCGCTATCTCCTCTACTTGCGAGTGGGCTTCATGAAGTTTTGCGTGATTGACGAAACCGCAAGACGAGATGTCTCGAACTAGCCTGAGTGACAGGCGTTTAAAAGGGAAGAGACAGGGGATTTCGGGCGCCTGAGAAGCGATCTCGCGCCCAAATTCTCTTCCGATCCCTTTCGAACGCCTGCCACGCAGCTAGTCTCGCACTTGCAAGTCACTCGCGCAAAACCCGACGTGAAAACCTACAGGGAAGCAACTCAAAACCCAACACGAGAGCCACCGGATTTAGTTAACGAACAGGCAGCACTCGAGCCGTTCCCTTCTGAATTGTTCTACGACTGCCACTCTTTGTTTATCAACTCAGATGACAATAATCAAATTGTTATAACATGATCAGTTACTTACTATGATTTTTAGGCAGGGGACAAACTTGTCTGTTCTATGACTGCACGATCCCTCCTCCAACATCTCTGTCCGATTCACACGGCATTGTGTGGATACTAAGCCTTTTCCTGATTTTATTCAAGCGATAAATAATCATCAACTTCACAAACAGATTTCAGTTAGTATTGGTCTTGCCTGTTACAGATGAGGGGCGGATCGGGGAGATCCAAGTGTGCCCGCCCCCCTCCCCTCACATCTTACCCCACGGCAATATCCCCGGCTGAGCTGGTCAGCAAGTCCCCATCCTCACAGGTGGCGATTTTCACGCGCGCCTGAGTATTTCGCTAGCTCTGTGGAAAATGGGGGATTCGCAGGCTAGAGCGACACAAGACCCGAAATATGGGGCGCGAGATACACGAGATACACGAGAATCATGAGAAAGGAGGACACACAAAACGATACTAATACAACAACCAGCAACGAAAAAGTAACTTGCGTTTCTGTAGCCTGTTCACAGAACCTCTGATTTTCTCTTTTGAGATGGTCGAGCGCGCGTACGGAAATAAAACCCGGGGGGGGGGATTTTTTGACCGCAAGCGCAAGGGAGTGGGGAATGGGGAAAAGAAAAAATAGACGAGCGTTCTAAAACGAGCTCTAAGGGAATCCAAGACAAACTTGGATTCTGGATTCCACGTCACGAATTCCGGATTCCAGGTACTGGATTCCAGCCTTTGTCAGTAGCACTTGGATTCTGGATTCCAATCGTTAGTGGATTCCGAATTCTTCAGAGTTTGAGATGTATTCCGCATTGGAAAACCCAAGATTCCAAATTCCACAAGCAAAAATTTCCCTGATTCAGTCCGGAATCCGATTTCCCTCATATGGGCCGATCTCCAGCATAACAAATTTTTGTTGACAGAGAGAGAGCCTTGCTGATGTGCATTTCGGCAACACTGACAACACTTGAGCAGCGCCTTCCCTTGACCACTCATCATATTCAAGAATGAAGATTTGCAACAGGAACTGACAAACCAGGACAAAGCGCGGTCTTGCTCCGAAACAGAACGAAACAGAAGTCATAAAACCCATTTTGTACGGCCGGGGCAGGGTATAAATCTCAAGTTGCTTTTTGATAAAGATCATTTTGTCGACTTAAATTGTGATAAAGGAACAACTGATACCAGTTCTAAAACTCTCGGCGATGTTGGAAGTTTGTGAACTAAAATTGGCTATGAGAAGTTTAAGGACTGCAGTCAGGTTAGAAGACTACGCTCAGGCCGTGGTGGTAAATAAACTCGAAATAAACTAATCGCAAGAGGAAAGCCAAATTCAAACAGGCAAGGTCGTAGACGTTAATTACTTCGAGAATAAATCCCTCTTTACAGTGTCTTTATGCAAGCCGCTTATTAAAACAATATGGTCGTTGTTTCTAAGAAAACGGGTAGAATAACAAGCGAATAGAACGTTTGCGTGGGAGGCTAGCGAATAACAGAAACACAGCTTTACTCGACAGCATATGCCTAGCATATTATAATCGAAAAAGATTAAAAGTCAGTTTGCTTCTCAAAAAGGCAGTAACGACACTAACCCTTGTACTTTCGCTAACATTCGTTTGTACATTAATTGTACAAAATCGCTGAACATGTAGAAATCAAAGGCTCCCCGAAGCGTCGATTTAGCTTATTAAAATATCTATTGTTTTCACACAATAACGTTATACTAAAAGGCAAAGTTGACTTGATATTCCTGTGAGATGGCACGATTGATTTCCTCTCGACGGATATTTAATATATCAACTTGATGGGAAATTTCAATGGTACACGCGCCTGTACAGTAACACTGATTTTGAACAGCGCTGTTGGCATTACCGGCGTGATCCTTGCCCGAACTTAACCTTAAGTGACTACACAACGTAGAAATTTTGCATTTTGGATTAAACATAACGTTGCAAAATGGAACAGAAGGATGTAAGGGTCACAGAGATTTAGGAAATGACTGTTGTTTTGAAATTGGGCTGACCCTTATAATGAGCTGCCTATCTTTACATAGAGGTGTCCGAATTCTATATAGAAATGTCCGCTAAGTGAATTTTGAACTGTGTAGACTTAATCTCGTCGTAAATACAGCTCGAACACTTTATGCAAGATTAAAGTCAACACAGTCAGCACTTGGCTGGGTTATTACCCTACAAATTGCGGGAATGTTTACAGTGCGATCATACTCGGTTGTCTGCCATAAGCGTTTTTCGCACGCGCGCGCCGAACAAAGCACACAGACTGACTCTGAATAAAAATTCGCTTACCTTGAATATACGGCTGAACCACATAAATACCGATCAATATTAGCAATATGAAGATTATTATCACACAGGGAAGACAAAAACAGAGCGGACATCGAAGTCTGTCGGCAATATCTTCCCTTAAGAGTTCATATTTACTCATTCGCGTTCGACGTTCAGTTCTTATGTCAGCCTTCTCCCACTTCGACAGACGTTTAGGCGCTTGCGGAAGCGTATCGGGACGAACAAAACTCGCCATGTTATAAAGTTCGCCCCCTAACGAACACCAATATACAACGTTTTGTCTCCTAAGACAGAAGTTGCATGGTACAAACACTGCCGATACGTTGAAATTAGGTATTCATAGCGCGATCTGTCATCTACGAGAAGTGCAGTCATATTTATGAAGTACTTGAAAGGTCTCAAAATGCAAACATTTCATTGGCGAATAGTGTAATGATTAATCGCCCAATACAAACAAAAATTTAAAATTTAAATTAGTTGAACTGCAATGGTGTCACGATTCCATTCATAAGGCAGTCATTTAACTGTTTTTGTTACTAATGAGTTTTTTTCTGTACCGTATAGCTTTTTAACATCACTTGAAACTTGCCATTGATTTGCCTTTTGAAGTTCCTTATATTATACCGATCCAATAAAGTATCGTAAGTTTAATAATCTCAAGGTCCATTTAACTGCAGTTATCAAAAAGTTAATTAAAATCTAAAACGATCGTGCTCATGAATGAAACAAAGACATTTTAACGCTTAGCTATTAATCAATATACCGGAAACAAATTATCTAAAAGAAAACTATCCTAGTACAACGGCTGTCTAGGTCTACACAGCTGTTACACAGAAAAAAATGAAATTATTGTACCTTTCGCTTCGGATATTATCTAGTGATATGATATTAAATATGTTTGACTTATGTTGAGTTTTTCCCGGGAAAAAGCTCTGGGAAAAAAGGTGGTCACAATGATAGCAATCTCGGTACACTATAGGAATCATATATGAAGTACCTACCAGACGAAGAAGAAGAGAGCCGTAATGTAGCAATATTTCGACCTAATTTCGATAAAATAAAATCATACTTGGCACCGTTGGCTCCGAGGCATCGCGGAATAAGCTAAAAGAGTTTTCTGGAGGCTTAGGGATGAACAAAACATTTCTTTTGCCATTTTATTCCCGCAAGTCTCGGAGCAAAGTATGCAAGAATTTTAATATTTGGTCTACAACAAACCAAGAAAGACCTGTTTTCGTGCATTGCAAATTTATTTATCAGGACTTTTATGGTCGCCCCATTTGAGGGAATCCTGAAGACAGTGTTGGATTCAGGATTCCGGCCGTGGATTTCGGATTCCAGTCACTCAATTCCGGATTCCGTTAGAGGGATTCCGGATTTCCAGGGCTAAATTTTGGATTTCAAAGCCCTGGATTCCCTCATCCACAAGCAAAAATTTTCTGGATTCCCCAGGCAAAAATGGAAACGGGCTTTGAGAAAATCTCACGCAGCACATTCTGTTGACCATACATGACATATCTACCAAAGCGCAGTAGTTTTAAAGACCTGGGGGCCGTTTCTCGAACGTCCCGGTAACTTTACGGGCCCGAAATCAAATATTCAAATCGAAATATAAAGAATAACAGCGCGGGTCCTGGCTAGCAAACTACACCATTTTGTTTCATTAACTGACAGTTTTATCATGTTAGATGCAAAACTATTGAAACCTCGATCTTTAATGTAAATGGAGACAGCTTACCGGGCCCGTTAATTATGGGGACTTTCGAGAAACGGGCCCTTGGTTTCATTATTCTGATTACTGATGATCATGTGACTAATCCCTAGACATGGCATTTCTTCATAATACCGTAAAGTTCCCAAAGTAATGACCCCCCGAAAGGAGAGACAATTCGAAACTAGCGATAAAATTTCACAGGTGTTAACAAATGCCAAAAGTTGCGACCCTCCAAAAGTAGCAATAGGAGATGGCTTATAAATCCGAAAGTAAAGAGGGTCGTTACTTTCGGAACTTTACCGTATGCCGTGACGTCATGTAATCAGTATGAACATGCAAAAGTCGAAAAGTAAAAAGTTAGGCTCCTGTTTATGTCCACGATTATGTCACCATGATGTCTCAAAGTGTGAACTAGCATTAATCACAAGGTAACAAGAATTATAGAGCGACTCGTTCCGTTTGACCTTGAAATGATTGCCCACGACTGACAACCGACGATAAAAGACGAAAAAGAATATAAGAATTTGTCTGGTTTATTGATCAAAAACTGCACGCGTCTCCTGCTCGGTTTAGCAAACACGCAACGTATTTTCAGCTGCAGAAAGATTGCTGAAAACTAGTTTTCCCTACCTTGCAGAACAGAAACTGGGCTGTCGACTGGATTGAAACGCTACTGAACTGTGATTTTTTTCCCTCATCTAAGTGCTTTCTTCGGCAGGAAAACGAAAAGCCCATGTTTTGATCTCATTTCACTGATCTATTGGACGATAACAAATAAGGAAAACTTACGTAAACCCTTATTTTAAGTTCAAACGTAAAAAGCTTTTGCAATATAAAATATGCGTCAGTATGACAGGACAGACGAGAAAAGTTACCAACAGACTGCGGGGCAGCTGGAATAAGCCGTTTTAGTCCGGAAGTCTGGTTTAATCTCTTGCACGCGTGCCAGGCCGCCATACACGAAAGTTTGCCAACCAATGTATTACATGGAGACAACTTCAGCGTAAAAATGAATTTTACAAATCCTCGCAAGACGAGTCCGTATTGTATTTCAAACTATTGATTTTCTAATAGAAACTTTCTCATTTATGTGTTGTCTGGCTGATAACATACCGCCTTTTTTGGCCGAAAAATATGTCTACAAACTGTGACTTAAAGCGTTTACGGGTGGTTGCGACAATCGACCAATAGACAGTAAGCAAGTAAAAATTCTCGTTTGTAAACGACGCCCCGGCCATAGTAGCCTAACACGTACCAACCAAAAAATTCTGGAATTTTCCTTTTTTACATCGCTGCCATGAATGTGCATCAATTCTTCGAGTTTAATGGTGGATTTGTTGGCTAGCTTATCTGGCATAAAGATCGAAAAAGAAAGTTTTCAGCGAAACTGTATCTTGTTTTCTTTGCACACAGACAGCAGGTGCAGTAATTTAGTTTCAAGCATCGTTCGACAAATTTTTGGGCGTCAAGAAGATGGAAGAATGACAACGTACACAATAACTTAATTCATAACAGCGTACGTAGGTATCTTGTCTTTTTATTTATTATAAGTCTAGTTCTGTCTTATTTATTTTATAATTGTTCTTTCCTTGGCACATCGAGAAGAACTCAAAACTGCAAACTCGGAACGTGTTTTAGCTTGGAGTACATAGAGATTTTTTCGATCAGGAAATAATATAAACGGGTTTGTCTTGTGCTTGTACGGAAATAAAACTCAAAACCAAACTAATGATATCTACTTCAGACTGTTTCGCTTTCTTCAGGGCGTAAATCATTCTAGCACGAGCTGTTAGATTAACCTGTTGCAGTTTATAGCAAGTATTGTACCAATAAATTATTATTTTAATTAGCATATTATGATTGTGTTAAAAATGAATCATGTTTCAATCACACAAGTAATCGTTTTACACGTTTTCTGAAAAAAAGCCAAATAACTTCTACTTTAGCGCAGTAATATATTTTCTGGCACAGTTATAGCCACTGCTAGTCAGAAATACTTCCGTTGAGAGTTCATGAGATTCCGGTTAATTGAATTTTCTTAAACTCTCGAAAATCATGTGAGTTTCCTTAAAGAACAGCAATTAAAGATTTCTTTTCATCTATAAAAGCGAAAAATATGCTTAATCTGAGAGTAGCATTAACCCACTAAGATTAAAAATGAGTTATATCGTTCCTTGTTCTTTTTTCGGGAAATTTAATATTTATAATCATATAATCAGAAATTAAAATTACAGAAAATATAAACAAATGTTGCTGAAATTTTAGTTTACTTGACAGTAATTCATCGCATAGACATTTGTAGCTCCACTTGCAAATAATTCTTTTTGATTATTATGGCTTTTTAAATCCCAGAATTTGAAAACATATTATCAATATCGCTTAATTTTTTTTTTCAGATTAATATTTATATTTATAGAATCAGAAAATTCTAGAAAATGTCAACAAAAAAAGACAGAGAAAGTTTTTGGTTGATTTGTGACATCTTTATTTTGTTGAACTGTGTCCCACATCATATACTCAAGTTATACTGTAACATAGATAAATTACCTCACGGGGAAGAACGTTTTTAACAGCGGTTTGATCATTGTCAGATTTAGAATCATCACCGTAATCATCGACAGGTAACTACATATTTAAATTTTAGCTCTCAGAAATATAGTAAGCAACAGTTTAGGGTCGACCTTTAACAGCAACCAAACCGGTATAATTTTGGCATGGTGTGGAATGTAACATCAATTTCCAGGTTTATTTTCCCTTTTTGCCGTATGGCTCTGGAATCTTGAATCTGTGGATAAGGTTATGCACCATTGAAATTATGAAAATAATGCCACTAAGCAAGGATCCTCGGGTTCTATAACTGTTGACTCTGTGGATGAAATCCTTAAGTGTGACCATTCAAATGAAAGCTACTGAGCAGTACTTTCCTGTGGTACTGTTTATTATGCTGTACAAGGTGATTCTAACTTTTGAATCTGTGGATGAAATCCTATGGTGTGACCATTCAAATGAAAGCTACTGAGCAGTACTTTCCTGTGGTACTGTTTATTATGCTGTACAAGGTGGTTCTAACTTTTGAGTCTGTCGATGAAATCCTAAAGTGTGACCATTCAAATCAAAGCTACTGAGTAGTACTTTCCTGTGGTACTGTTTATTATGCTGTACAAGGTGGTTCTAACTTTTCAGTCTGTGGATGAAATCCACAGTGTAACCAATCAAATGAAAGCTACTAGCAGTACTTTCCTGTGGTACTGTTTATTATGCTGTACAAGGTGGTTCTAACTTTTCAGTCTGTGGATGAAATCCTAAAGTGTAACCAATCAAATGAAAGCTACTGAGCAGTACTTTCCTGTGGTACTGTTTATTATGCTGTACAAGGTGGTTCTAACCTTTGAGTCTGTGGATGAAATCCTAAAGTGTGACCACTCAAATGAAAGCTACTGAGCGGTACGTTAATTTCCTGTGGTACTGTCTATTATGTTGTACAGGGTGGTTCTAACCTTGTGACTGAATCTTTTTTCCTTTACTTGCACAGAATGACCTCATACAGGTATGTCGCTGTCCAGGACGATGACCCATTTGAACTCGATCGAAATCAGAACATTACCAAACGAACAGAAGTGCTTGATTTTAGTCAAACCAGGCTTTCCGACGATGACGATCGGGTGGAGACTCGGTCGACTGTAATCCGTGTTCGATCCCAGAGCCTCAAGCACTTAAATGAACGAGTGGAAACTGGATCAATCTCTAGATCTAAAAGCCTCAGGGATGTAGACGACACAGGGGAATTTGCAAGCGTCAAGGCTCGAGTATCTTATGTTGATAGTTGGAATCCAGTGAACCCGGTCGGAAGGGGGAGGATCGCAGAGAGGGTCAAAAGCTGGGAGAATAATTTAGACGAGGAGGAAGCCGGCTCTTGGAGGGAAAGGAAAACATTCAGCTCAGATAACGGGATGGATCGACGAAAAGTTAGTTACAATGGAACGCGAGCGAGGGGCTATGATAACTACTACGGATCAGGGGAGCCAGACTGGCGAAATGAGAGATACGAAAGTTATCAGTACAACCGTGACTCTGCAGAAAATTTGTATGGTGCCCGAGATGAGGTAAGATACTGGGATTGTGCTATGCAAATAAGTGTTAGTTCTTAGTTTGAAGCTTGTCCGGGTCTTCTTTTTAAAACATGCAAATATCGCACAGCAAATAAGTCTGGGAAAGGTTATCGAGGCAATGGTATGGTAAATTACTTGGGACTTATGTTTTGTTCGATCAAATGCAAGTTTGTAATTTGAATGGTAATTTGTTTACCCACGAAGCATTTAAGAGTTCATAGGAACTCCGACGTTGAAATGTGTCCGTGCGCTCCAGATCAAATTGGAATTTGGAAGTTTTGGTTTTTAAGGAGAGGGGAAAACCGGAGTCCCGAAGAAAAACCTCTCGGAGCAAGGGAGAGAACCATCTCACAACTTCGCCAGCTCTCCAACGTGCCACTAACAACAGAGTAGAATAGGGGTTTGCTTTAGTGTTGGGGTACTATGCTGTGTCTACTGAGGTAAATCAGATATTACTGTAACCAAAACAAAGTTTAGTTAGATGCTACATCAAATTCGATCTAGTAAAAACAGCTGCGAACAGCCGGGAAGGATTAGATTGAGGGCTCCTGATTGAGAAAAATGTGTAAACATATAAGCGCTTCCAATTTAATTTTAATAACTGCATAGCAATTTCATGAATCATCTGTAGGCGTCAGGCTCAGAAATAGATCTTCAGCATCTTTGAAGCTGAATTTAAATTATATGTGCATAATGCACAGCCGCGAAATTTTTGTCATGAAATTGGCATTTTTGCCCCTGATTGAAAGCTTTTTCCAGTTTCTTGACTTGCTAAGAACATAAAAAAATCCTCTGTGGAAATTTAAGGATCTGCTTTTCTCTCTCTCTCTTTTTTTATGGCGTTCCTTAACTTCACTGACGCATTTATTCAGTTATCTCTCCAAAAAAACGGCTTTTAAAAATTCGGAAATGTTTCACACCCCCTGAAAATAGATCATTCGTTTTCGTGGGTGGAACTTCAACAAGAAATTAACGATTATACTTGCCATAATCCAGTTGAAAAGAATTTAAACCTTCCAACCATTACAGTGCCGGATCCAGATTTCCAAAAATTTTTTTCGGCCTTTCGGGCCTCAATTTGGTCTAAAAATAAGGGGGGCCCGGGTCCCCCGCCCTCCCCCCGGGCCCCTCCCCTAGATCCGCCACCGCATTTTCAAGTCAAAGACATTTGTTATGTCACTGGCTTCATTTAAGGCTTAGCTTCGCTTAAAAGACGATTGAAAATTTACGCACTCAAAGATACGAAGTTAACAGGGCAGGCAATGATTTTTCTCTATTTTTCGAGTTTTGTGAAAAGTCGCAGAGTGTCGGTTGACTGTCAATAGGGAGCTTAAGCAGCGACGTTTTTGAGCGACGCACGTCAACCGGAAGTGAGGTATTTTCCCTCTTAACATGCCTTGATGATATAAAATTTGTATTCCTTAGCTTCTTTACTGTTATAGAGGCGATTTGACTGAAAATTTGCGCGAAACCACCGTCAAAATTTGAAAAAAGGCCACTTCCGGTTGACGTGCGTCGCTCAAAAACGTTGCTGCTTAAGCTCCCTAATAAGTATGCTGTCGCGCCGTACACGAAATTTTCAAGGTGTTTGTAAATATTACGCTCTCAAAATTAATTCTGTCGTTGTTAAGAGTAACAGTTCTGCCCGACATCTTATTCATGCAAATTACCTAAGCATTTTATTTAAACAATTCACTTAGACCTTTTATAATGCAAATCTTTATTTAACAAGAAACAATTAAACAAAGACAAACGAGTACAAAATTTTACAATGCACCATGGCTTTAAAAATACTCCTAAGGATTACTTAACATTGTAGTCGGAAGCAAGCGAAGTAGTTCTGCAGATTCCAGGCATTTTTCTCTTGGGAAGGGACGCTATTAGTCCATGACAGTCCTTAAGTTTCCAGGCATCACACAACCCGACAAATCATGCAGTGCGCACGCACACTCGAAAAGGACTGACCCTCTCTCCACAGGGGTCCTGTTTGTCTGACCAAAAGGAGAGCGGGCTCTGGGCTCGCTGAGAGTTCTCGTTGGCTAAAAATAGTTTCTAAACCTAATTTACATAAGCAAACGTGAAAGTATCAGACCTTAACAAATTGTAAGAAATTGTAAAACCACAAAGGATTGGATTGGTACAATACGGTAGCCCTACATTCGTTTTCCCTTCAGTTTTAGTCCTATAAAGCAGCTCTTGTCATAACTTGTCACGTCCTGCTTGTCATAATGAAGAGAGGAAAAGTCGGAAAGAGACACGCGCACATCTTTGTCAAGATCGTGGGCTACATTTGTCACGCAATTCAGAGAAAACTATCCATTGTCGCATGACTGATGGGTGATGATGAAGTTTTTTGACGTTAGAGCACGGGGATTCGCTTTCGTGATTACCAGCGCTCAGGTGAAAAGTTGAAATTGATCCATAAAAATACATAATGTTTACTTAATAAGTCGCTGTCCAATTAACCTTGCCCTCTAGTTTTATTTTCCTCTGATTTTTTATACGGCGATGGAAGATTATAACGGCAAAAAAGAAAACTAAACATTAAACCAGGGATAAAAATGAATGAACACAACACTTTTAAAAATCCTGTACGTCGCGTTTGGTCGCGTTTTTCCTCGCGTTTTTCCGCGCGTTTTTGCGCCTGGTTCTTTCTCTCACTACATTTGAGAAAAATTCTCTTACAGTTAGATGCCACTGTGTAGTTTAACTGTAATACTTTAATCACAAAATGAAAATATTCTATTTGGCTTCATTTATTAAATCCCCCGCCATCATTAAATCTATGTCTATACGTCGCGGATCTCTAAAAACGTCAATTGCTCCATTGCAAAGTTCTAGAAATTTCGTGAAACTATTCAATTCGACGGAACGTTGCCCTTTCAAAAGTATATTGGTATACTGAGCAAAGATTATCAAACAAAACAAATATACAAAGCTTTAAAGAAAAATCAAATCATTGTTTATACTAATCACTGTTTTAAAAGGTGGGCAACGAACTGAAAAATTGCTTGACCAACGCCAAGCCGAGATAAATGTATAAATTAATTTAAGGCGAGCACCGAAAACCCCATTTAAAACAGGCGCTTTGGACTAGTATCCCTTTCGAGTCAATTATAACCGCTTATATTGAAAATTCTTTGCTGCTCCAATATGTCAGTGACAATATATCTACCGCATAGTAAAACAACAAATTTGTTTTCCATAAAAACAATCGCTGACCTTAGGGAAAGTGAAAACTGCTAAGAGACTGGTTATTGTGACGTAATGAATATTGTCGGACTTTCAAGTATGATAAATGAGCGCCTCGGAGCAAATACTTGCTAATATCACATAAATAAGTTAAGAGTTGTGAGGTCTGAGTTTGTTGTGCGGAGGCATTTGGTCTTTGGGAAGTTCACAACAGCATCATGGCTAGGTCACTAAGAAACCTATCGTGGAAAGGACAGAAGGAAGAGGTGGGTAATTTTGATTTACTTCGTTTCGACCCGCCCCCAATAACTTCCTCCAGCAGCAGAATTGCATGAGATGCAGTGCTATGAAGTATATGGGATGCTAGTCTATCACAAATACAAAGCTCGGCTCTGATACGATTCTGCAAACTGCATTTTTGCTTATTGTTCAGTGCAGACAAAAAAAAGTAGCTAGATAAATTTGTTTTTCCAGCGGCGATTGCGGAGGACAGGTTCAGTCGTGTAAAGACACGAAGATCGAAACTATCAGATTTAATAGTGTTAACAATCGCTTGAAAAATTTTCAGCACGACCCCAGTTTGCCAATGCCAGCAGTCCAAAGTTACGATCATTTGAGAAAGAAAACTCATTTCAACTTATCGTATTTATCTATTTATTTAGTTATTCATCATATCAGTACTTGGTTTTCCTTAAAGGCATTCACAATAAGAAATTGCGGTTGCCTCCCTTTAATTTTATGTAAATCTTTCTGTTTTTTTACGTCCAATATCAATCTAGCGTTTTCTTTAAAAAGGTCACTGAGATAGGTTAAACTTAGGATGACAGGGTCTTTTTTTTGTTTTGTTATGAAAACGTACTTGATATACACCAAAAGATCAAAGGAAATCAAACCCAAAGGCACCGTGGTTTTATTTTGCCTTTCACCCGATTTGGTCCACTTCAAGACCGGCAGAATAAAACTGTATTTCCTCTAATAACAGCCGGGAGCCATTTATATTCCTTTTTTCCCTTGCCTAGAGGTTTTTTTTTTCATCTAGAAGGTGCGATTATTCGAGAAACGGGAATTTTTCTTACCGCAAGTCGTTCCTTTGACGGTTGATCTTACTAGCCTCATTTTACAAATGATACAAATAAACTAAACAGGGGCTTCCTAAATTGTGGATTAAGGGAAGGGGCGGATATTCGAGGCTCCTTTCGATAAAGGTCAATCCTATATTTTCACCAACGGGGGTCGATTTTTCGAGGGGGCAGTCAATCGAAGTTATTCAGCGTGCTTTAATTAACCATAACGACGACGGTAGACTACGAGCAGTCTCTCTTTCTTCTTAGTCGTTGGAGCGAAACTTGCCAGAAACGAAAATGACCACGCGCGTGGACGGAAGGCCCTCGTTTCTCGTGTCTTTGCCGCCCGACGCTCGCGCGCGCATACACTCCCCTCACGATATCTGAAGAAAAAGAGAAACTGCTCGCAGTCTATGCACAGGGCACCCACACAATCTGTGTTTGTTTCCGATTGTTATTTTATAGTACATGTACTGGATTTACCGTTTGCTTCACCTATAGCGATATATCGTTAAGTATTTATATAAATCAATGTTAAATAAACGTTGAATTACGTTACCTCCGATATGTTGCCGTCCTTTGCCTAAAAATGGTTTTTTTGAGCGATTTTGAAGGATGTTGAGTTCGGCGTTTACTATTCCTGTTGTTCCCTATGGCGCGTGTCCAGGATGAAATGTGATTAAACAGATCTGCTTTAATAGTTTCCTACTTTTTGTAATAGGGGCAACAAACGCTTGTCTATTTACAAGGTCAACTAAATACGTTATCAGGCGAATAAAAATCAATCGACTTTCTTGATGAAAAGCTAAATTCTTGAGACTAAACTTCACAGAGATGAGTGAAACCTTCACATTCATCATAAAAGTGTTACGTAAGTATCAATGTCAAACAGAGCTAGTAACTAGTAACTTATTAATCTGCAAATTGTAATAACATTGCCTAAAAACTGGCCTCAGCCTCTTCGTGTCTAGCCTTTTGATTTGAAATACGTACTATTGGCAAGGCGCAAAAAAAAAAGTCAGGTAACCTTTGATATTTTACTTCAAACTCGTGATTCCATATGTTTACACAGTGATAAGAGCATTTTAAACGCGGGCTGTAAACGCCAGCCTCCGATCAAACCGGTAAGTTTTCTTGTAATATTTGCCAAAACCAACAAGATTTAAATGCTAAGGTGAGGGAATTTAGAGTATTCAGCAATGGGATAGACGTTGTTTTTATACCTCGCGCTTAATTGAAATTTACTTTCAAAGAACCTCAAATGAATGGCCTTTGATCAATCAAATCAGAATTCGAGTCTCTTTCCTACAAGAATTACAGCCATGTTCCAGGTGTTAGTTGTTAAAGATTTGCTTTCTAATTCGCAAGATTAAGACAGTTTACTAATAACTAACCTTATATATATCGGGTGGATGACGGTCAATGGATTATGTCCCTCTTGAAGAGCCAACAGAATAAGGGTGTCTCGTGCCGTTGACTCGCGAGGCACGCGCGAGAATCCTCCCACAATTTATAAGTACCAGGAATCATTTTTGGCTGTTTATGAAAGAATATGTATTGTTTCAGACATTTTTTGCAAAGCTTGTTTTCTTGCAAAAAGAAAAAAGCCTTGCTCTTGTTTAATACTTTTTTGACCTTTTACTCAAATTGAAGAATCACTTTCCAATGCTTTATCAGGTTGAATACTGAAACGTTCAAAAGAGTGGTAAGAATTTTCGCTTTATTTAATTTTTATCTTTTTTTAAATTGCCAACTTGTCATATACTTTTAAAAATCACGTCACTAGAATATTAAATTTTTGTTTTTCCGTCAGCTTCCTTCGCTAACACGATAACATAACCATAAAAGAAGACCACGTAGAGTCTATTAAATTGGAAGTGTTCTAGATAATTCTATAATTTCATTCGCTATGGCTTACGCCCCTAAAAATAACACAGAAGGCTACTAAGCTACGTGCATTCATGAAATGTTTGTCATAGCTCTAGTCTGGAACGTCGACTGTTACCGGATTAATGGCCTTGATTTTGTTATCGTGAGCAGGATATATTTTAAGTTTACGAACGCAATGACGAACATTTTTATGAATTGAGTAAGAAAGGTGTTTTGCTTTAAACTTCCTCTTCTGGTTTGTGGAGGGAGAAATGTGCGAATTTATGAAAGCCTTTTAGTAACTTCAAAAGTCTAAAAAATTTCCCCAAGTTATAAATTATTAATAACGCAGATACTATCAGGGGAATGACCTAGAATTTCCGCGCAATTTTTAAATATTAGATATTAAAACTTTTTTAAAAATACCTTTGTATAAATTCCAAAGAACTTTCGCGACATTTCTAAATTTATCGTGCACTACTTTGCGAAATATTTTAGAGGATGGGATCTCCAAATTTCTCATTTCTCTTTTTAAATGTATTTATTGTTTAAAAGATGAGCCGGTGGAAATCCTGCCTACGTGATATCAACATCCGGCCGGTATGGATGGAAATTTAATGTCTTTTTTTCAGGGGTCGTTTGAAATAATTAGTTGTACGTGCTTGCATTCATTACAGTTTGAGTCATTTCCTACAGTTGATCCCAAAAAGAAATTTGGGTGGTTTGTTTGCATGCCGCGCAGTTCTGAAGTCCTTGTTAGCATTCGTAAGGATCTATGCAATGTTGAGCCTCCGAAATGCGCTTCCTGATATTTCAAATAGCGATATGTCATGCAAGCTGGCGTGACTTCCGCTCAATTACCCGGACCAATGCATATGTTGTTGAATATCACGCAATGTTTGAAATGGAGATTATCTGGTTAATTCTTTGTTTCTGTACAAGGTCACGATACAAGAGCAAGGGAAATATGTCATCAATTATAATTCATTGATTTTATTTCAGTTAGTCCAATTTGTTTTTGATATCTCGGTTGTCTTCGTTTGCATGCAAGACCCAAGTTCTGTTGGAATTAAATAATATACTAATCACGCAATCGAGCATATTCTCTGTCAATTTGTAAACCTTTTAAATCAACGTAAAAAAATCGCTTTTCGCTTGAAGATGTATTTCTAATCATTCTTTTTACTTTAATGCCGATGAAAACTTCTGAAAGTTAGAAAATAACATTGTTTTACAACACAGCATATGTCGAGAAGAAAGGTTCAATAAAATGCAAAGCGTTGATAAAACACAGATAAGAAATCTATCGCCATGTTTGTTGATGTATAGAATGTTTTTGTTACAGCAAAGTATTAATCACACGAGGAAAACCAAAGCGAGAAGAATTAAAAATGTTGCCGAGCGATTCACGAAAATTGGTAAGCTTGAGCGAATTTCGAATGCGTTGCGTGACACGTCGTTGTTGGCGCAGCAAGCAGACGACTCAAGACAGACCCACTACTCTGCCGGATTTGTTTTCATTGACGTACACACCGTTATGTGACATAAAGAATATACGCCTTTCCTGAGTATTGTATTCTAAGACATTCTATTGGTGTTTAGCACATTTTTGGCGATAAGAATTTCCTATAGGGGCTCAAATCGCAAAGTTTTCGGCATTCCCTGTACTCTGGGCCCTACCCTGTCCCTTATCTAAGAAGGTACAAAAGTGGGCTAGAGCGTCCAGGCTGTTCAATTTGATACTTGTACAACTTTCGCACTGAACTTTCTTTTCTAAGCTTGCAGGAGTCAAGTCAAACAACAATGAATGTAAGAATTTCCACTGATGTGACGCTTTATTATGGCTAGGTGTCGATCATTTCATGCTGGGGCAACAAATATGAATTATTCAACGAGGCCGTGATTGGCCGTCTCCCAGTATTTATGACAACTTACTAAGGCGATTTCGGGGCGGTCAAGCTCGAGCTTTGCTCTTCATAGCGACCGTGCTAGCTAGACACTGTCGCTGATTAGTTGTTTAATTTCTTGGTCTTTCAGCTCGACACGAAAATGCCTGATACAGATCCGACTTCGGCGGACGCCGAATGGAAAAAGATTCAACAGAATACGTTCACAAGATGGTGCAACGAGCATTTGAAGTGTGTGAACAAGTACATTTACAATTTGGAAACAGACTTGAACGACGGCTTAAAACTCATTGCCTTACTGCAAGTACTCTCGCACAAGAAGATAACACGATACAACAAGAAGCCTTCGTTCAGACCGCAAAAAATGGAGAACATTTCCATCGCACTGAAGTTTATCGAAAGCGAGAACATTCGCTTGGTGAATATCGGTGAGTAAAGAATCGAGCGTAATTATTTTTGTCCTTCTTGAATGGACGCCAAAAGCGTTCCTAAATTCAGCTAAATTGCATTCCTTAAATAATGTAAAATTTTTATGATCTGTTAGTGACGGGCAGTAGTGTTACGTTAATCTTTTGGGTTTTATGTAGCTTCTTTCATGGAAGCCATTTAAATGTCTCACTAATCAAGCAGGATTCGGGGATGTAAATATTTCCCACTCGTTTACATTAGCAAAACTTTGCAAATGCAAACAGCAAGACTACTAGATGTAAGTCCTAGAGGTGTTAATGGGACCGAATTCTGCGTTACATCGTACTACCATATTTAGTCATTATTCATGTCTGTAGACACTGACCCGAATGCCTAAAGAACTTCAGTTGACTGTTGTTGTAAACACCAACAAATGTTTGCCGTTCAGTTCATTTATTTAACGGTAAACGTTCGAAATATCCGCACAAACACACAACACAAAGAAGCTCGGGAATAAATTTGTTTAAGTTCGTGAATTTTCCAGAGTTTACTTCAGATGCTCTTGTTGGGGCGTTAACCTTCCATCCTGTTCCATCTCACGTATTTTTTGGAATACACTGCACAAACTTTGAACAATGCATTATTTGCCGCATAATTCTGGAATTTTCTTTGTGAAAGCGTTCATTAACACACTCAAGTTAAGCTTAACCTATAAAAATTCTATCAAACTCACATTTTAATACATCTGGAATTATATCTCTAGTGATTTAAATTTCGTAGGAGCCTCAAATTTCCACTGAACCGTGTCCTTCCGTTTCGTGAAAATCGCCCCTGGTGACCGTAAATTTAATTACAAAAAATCACACTATAATCGCATGCTGTAATTTTTCTTATACAGTTTGTTAACTGTGCACTTTCCGTTCTATTCCTTTTTATTTACACCAGGATTTACATTTCCTAATTTCAAGTTTACATACCCCCAAAACAACGTTTAGCAAGTACGTGTTCTGTCTAGCGTGGAAACATGTACGCACTCTGAACGTTCAAGCAGATAAGAGCTCTTTAGACAAAAGTCGTTTTTACTGAAGTTTGTTTGGATTAGATAGAGCTAAGACATGTTGAAAAGAGGGATTTTCGAGCGTGATGAAATGCCTTCGTCCACAGAATTGCAAATATTGTCTTTCTCAGCAAGCAAGTGAAGCAGGAGTTTTGTTTATTCAACGAAGCGTGTCGTTGCAGATTTCACTACTGGAGTTAGTTAATCAAATATATGTGAAAACCATGTTTTTTATTTGTTAGAATTTGTCAGCAGAAGTAAGTGTTATATTTCACTGAAGTTCTCTCAGCACCTTTATCCTATACATAATGATTATTTTTGGAAAAAAGCACCCGAACGTTTTGACAGAACGTGATGTATGATCTTACAGAACAATAAAAAGTCAATTAATTTTGTTGGTTAACTGCTCGCGTCTTCAAAAGAAACAATCCTCGAGTAATGTTTATTTTAACATGAACTGTGTTCGTGGTTTTTTGTGACTGGCTAACAGAAGTTTTGCTTGTCAAGACCTGTTTCTTAGAAAAACATGCACTCATTTCTGTGTAATTGACAGGGGTTTTAAATTACTCTCGGAAAGAAACCGTACAATAAGAAACACATTCACTGCTCTTTTCTCATGTTAACATTCCTCCAGTCACAGTACTTAACAGTTTGTCAAGTCTGTGAATTATATTTTTAAGTGACTATTCAAATCAGCCTTTCCTTCCTGTGGTGTCAATTTGTTTTTGTCCTGTCTACCATGATATGAAAAATTTAACATAAATTTTCCTTAATTGACATTCCCAAGAGAGCTAATAAATAATTGTTTTGCACAGATTTCACCTTTGGGACGATTCCATTTCTTCCCATTGATTTATTCGCATTATTTGCAGCATATATATCCTCTCGACTCATTATATATTTACGTCTCATGCAAAGCTATAATTATATGAAGTTATTTGTTGGATATTGCTGTTGAATGCCAATACAAAGAGCTTTTATTTAATGCTCAAGAGAAACCTTTGTCTGCTGTTACAGAAATGCTCCATAGAGTTCCAGGAGTTTGAGAAAAATTTATACCATTTTGTAAAGTCACAAAGCATAAATTAGTCAGACAAAATTCTCAGGAGACAAACCATATTATCCTTTGTTGCTCCTGCCAATATCTGAGGAGTGCTTTCATTTTCAGTTGTAGAACAAACTAGATCCTGACATGGGGTGGGTGGGGGGGTTTGCTTGTTTAGGTTTAGGGTGGGTATAATGTCACCCATGCCTCCAAATGTGAACCCCATTTCAAGATATTAAAATCAATAACACCCAGTTTTGAGGAAAAAGCCAAATTTCAGTAGTGGACCCTTGATATAGCAAAGGGCCAAGAGACTGGCAAAATATGTCTGTCTGTTATAAGAAGGTTTCGTTACATAGAAGTTGTTTTTGAATTTTCATATACTTTACTATTGCTGGGGTAAAGAAAATCATTGGTTATAGCCAGGACTTCGTAATATAGAGATTCGTTATTGTGATGTTCCACTGTACTTGTTCTGAATATTTTATACTCATTAACATTTCCCTTAACGAATTTCTTTTTTTTCTTATCAGATGCAAGTGATATTTTTAAAGGGAACATCAAACTTATCCTGGGTCTGATATGGACATTAATTCTCAAGTATCAGATAAGTATGCCTTATCTAGATGAAGAGGAAGAACAAGGTGGCCAAAAAATGACTCCAAAACAAGCTCTTCTGGCATGGTGTAAAAGCAAAATGCCGGAGTCCATTCCGATGGATAATTTCAACAGAGACTGGAATGATGGACGTGCCGTTGCTTGCCTTGTGGATGCAGTGGCACCTGGCCTTTTCCCTGAGTGTGAAGACTTAGATCCTAAAGATAAACTTGAAAATGCCAGACAGGCAATGCAAGCTGCTGAGGACTGGCTTGGAGTGCCACAGGTGAAGAACTTTTAAGACCCACAAAATGCTATAATCAGCATGCATATATTCAATGCAGACCTTTTACAGTGCTTTTAATGCGAACTAAGGGAGGTTTGCGGGAGGATGGTAGAGCCAAGAACTGTATATAATAGTTGAGTAAAACATGTAACCACACAACAAGGCACTGTCAAGCTGCTTACTCAACAGACTTACCATATACTTACCAAAGGATGGGCAGGGTTGGGAGCATGGCACTTTGTAAGCATGAGTAACATAAAGTTACTCAAACATGGCCTGAATAGCCTGACCTCAACAGAGAAGCTGTGAATTCCCAAGACCCCTGCAAAGCTTTTCGAGTGCACGGTTAATCGCAGACAAAATAGTGTTGGCCCATAATGTCGCAAGTTCTTCTTGCATCCTTTGTTAGGATGAGCAAAAGTTCTGCCCAATAGGCCAGGTGAAGTAAAGCCTGTGTTTTGGTTGGCTGCTTGCCTGGTTAGGGTTTCCCTATAGCAAATCCATTATCAAACAAGCTTGTTCGGTCTAGCCTCTGTCGCAGACATAATTTAACTTTGGTTAGTAACATCTGCGAAGCAGCACCGATATCCTTGTTCTGGGCACCCAGTGGACTCAACGATTTGAAACGTACTTCCGGCAATTGTTACTGGAAGTGTGTTTGACCAGAGAAGCTTTAGAGAAGCTTTATTTGTTTACATTCACAATAAATAAAACTACAAATACAGACTACCTGCGAAATAGCTGAGCTAATCGAGGCAGGCAGCATGGAGACGTGTCTATTACATTATACAATCTTATTCTAATGACATGAAGATATACGATTATTACAAATTTCAAATTCCTTCCATCCTAATTGGTAAATCGACAATGGCATTCTTAACAGTTCAATCATGGCAGGTACTCAAATCCTAGTACACAGATTCTGGCACTGTTTCACGGACAGACTTAACCAGAGTTTAGTTTTGTTTGTGGTGCAGGCTATATATTTTGGTCAAGTTAGTTGGGTATTTGAATAAATCTTCCTTGATTCAGGCAAAGTAATCTCCTACCTCCTTTCCATCTCACACTCATTTTTTGTCTCAAGCATTTTTCTCATTTTGTATATTTTTTATTTGTACCTCTGCAGGTTATAACACCAGAAGAAATCACCAACCCTAATGTTGATGAACTCAGTGTCATGACATACGTCTCATACTTCCCTGAGGCAAAACTCAAACCTGGTGCTCCCCTGCGCCAAAGGACACACCCGTCTACAAAGTGCTCAGCAAAGGGTCCAGGTGTGGAACCCAAGGGCCTCGTTGTTAAGAAGCCAGCCGATTTCACTGTGTTTACGCAAGGTGCAGGAGCTGGAAAGCTGGGTGTTTCAGTCTGGGGACCAGGCAAGGTTGAAGAGGAGGTTATTGTACAAGACAATGGAGACCATACATACTCATGCCAGTACTTCCCTCCAAAACAAGGTGAGAAAATCAATGTGCCTTGTTAGCTGTTTCTGAGTGAGATAGAAGGTTCAATGTGGGACATATTACGACTGGTCATCAGTTTGACCCTCTGAGTTTCATCGCAATCAGAATTAAGGAAATCCATGTTTTCTTCAAATGTAGGTGTTGGGCAAAAGCAGGGCTGGGTATAGCAGTGCCCTTAGGCCCCTTTTTTGGGAAAAACCTCCTTAACTTTTGTCGGCAAAGAAAAAAATTCTATTATGATATTTACTTTTTTTCAGTTAGTTTGTGATCAGTTGTCACTGTTTTTTGTTACAGGAAAATATGATGTGCATGTTAAATGGAATGGCCGACACATCCCTAAAAGTCCATTCAGAGTAGAAGTTGGACAAGATCTTGATGCGAGTCAGGCATACGCATCTGGACCAGGATTGCAACCTGAAGGTATCCAAGCTGGAAAATACACAGACTTCACTGTTTACACCAAAGGTGCAGGTGAAGGGCAGGTGTCAGTCAAAGTTATTGACCCACGTGGCGGTGAGGATGTGGACATTATTATTGAACCTCAAGAGGACTCCCAGTACTTTGTTGAGTATCAACCTGTTAATGCTGGAAAACACACAATCAAGGTCATGTTTGGCGGCCAGCCTATCAGTAAAAGTCCTTTCCACGTTATGGTTAGTCCACCACGTGTTGAGCCCATCCCCAGCAAAGTCCGCGTGTTTGGCTCAGGTAAGAAGGCAGTGTTATGTGCTCATTCTCTCTCAGAGTCAGTTGAATCAAATTAATCCTTTAAGCCCTGAGATTGATCAGCATCAAATTTCTCCTTGTAATATCAATGCTTTGTAAGACAGAGTGGTCATGAGAATTACTGGCATGATCACACAAGGTGAATTTGCTTGATACTTTATCAACTTCTTCCCCCTACTTTTGTAGGAAATGAATAGGGGCAACAAACGAGAATTCAACTTTTGATCTTGGGGTATAAAGGTCATCTCTTGCCTTCCACCTCTATACGAAAACATTGTGTCAGTGGAATTGAGTTTTACTGTTGCTATAAATTTATAAATGACTATCATTGTTAGTGCATAGGTTTTATACTATAGTCAAACTTCAAACCTGTTCTACGAAATGAAATTTTTCAGTTCTCCCTACAAATTAAATGCTAAGTCAACTCTAAGTTCTTTTTAGACAGTGTGTGATGACAGTTAAAGTACTCACTGATAATAGTGAGATACATGTACATGTGATGGTACCAATAGTGATGGCCAATATAGATTAATGGTTGTTCTTGTATCTTGCACCAGGTGTTGAGCCAACTGGGTTAAAAGCAGGACAGCGTGCCCCATTTACAGTCGATGCCAAAGCTGCTGGTGATGGTGAACTGGACGTCTTTGTTGAGGGTCCACAAGGTGAAGAAAAAGTTGACATCAGGAACAATGGTGACGGCACATACTCCTGCATGTACTACCCTAACAAGTTTGGAAAATACATTGTTAATGTCACATGGAGCTCTGTGCAAGTTCCTAACAGTCCTTTCAATGTGAAAGTTGCACCAGCTGTTGATGCAAGTAGAATTAAGGCTTATGGACCAGGCTTGGAAAAAGGTAATGTGATGGCTTTGTTTGATTTCCATCATTGTGACAGGTGTGCAGTCTGATAGATGCTGCCCTAACTTAATGGAAAGCCACAATGATATTGCAAGTTTCAGCTCACAGTCGTTTTAATATTTTTATTAATCCTTGAAAGGGTGCCACTCATTTTGGGATTAAGCTTCTAGTAAAATGCCTCTGCAAAAGTATTCTACATTACTGAATAGTAGTACCTGCAAATCTTAGAGGAACAAAAGAATGGCCATCTCTTGCCTCAGGATACATTACCTTCAATGGTTGTTTTTTAACAATGCTTAAATCTTTAGCTATTGTTCTGTTTTTGGTTACAATTGAACTTGTGTCGGCTTGCCTTCTACTCTGAGACATTTTGAAACAATTTCTTTAGGGCAAGGAAGTTTTCAGGTGAACTTGTAAACATTGACACCACTGGGCAGAAAAACGCATGCAGGAATTAACCCCTTCACACCAAAAAAGTTTTCAAGAATTTAACCAAATTTCCAATTTCATCGTCTAAATATCTTAAATTCAAATACCACTATGTGAACATGCTGCAGAAGAGTTTCATATGAATGATCACACCAGAGGATTTCATCCACGAACTCCAAAGTCATAACAACCATTATTCATTCTGGGAATTGAAGAGGTGAATTCCTGGAGGTCATAGGAAAAATTCTCCAAAACTTGGAATCATCAAATTTTTTGCAATTTCTTTTTTCTTACCTTGTAGGTACTGCTGGCAAGCCATGTGAATTCACCGTGGAAACTAAAGGTGCTGGAATTGACAGCCTTGGTTTTGCCATCGAAGGACCATCACAGGCAGAGATTCACTGTCAAGAGAGATCCCCGGGTATTTGCGATGTCCGGTACTATCCAACTGTGCCAGGAAAGTATGCTATTCATGTCACATGTGGTGATGAGGACATTCCAAAGAGTCCATTTATGGTACCAATATCCCCAGCAGGAGATCCCAGCAAAGTTTATGCCAAGGGACCTGGTCTAGAACCTGAGGGAGTTGTAGCAGGTACTTATTAAACAGCATTAATAAGTAACCCCCGGGATTTTCTTCAGAGATAATATTACCCCTGGGAGATCCATCAAAGTTTATGCCAAGGGACCTGGTCTAGAACCTGAGGGAGTTGTTGCAGGTACTTATTAAACAGCATTAATAATTAACCCCCAGGATTTTCTCAGGAGATGATAAATTACCCCTGGGAGATCCATCAAAGTTTATGCAGAGCAACCTCCCTTTTTGTAGCACTGGCACAATGCAGTTTTAAATTATTATTCATGTCGTTGATAACCCAACCTCTTCGTAACGGAGAGTGAGGGGGAAGGGGGTGGGGAGAGGGGTATCCCTGGGAGTAATTTTACCATTGGGAGATGCCAAGTGAGTTACCCAGATGAGCACTGAATGAAAAAATGTTAGGCGAACTGAAGTGACAGTTTTCTAGATCCATGACAACTTACTACAGGACGTAACTAATCGATAGAAATCGATCATCGAAAATGTAATCGATTAATCGATAACACTCGATAGTACTCGATATTTGTCGATTGATTAGTCAATTTAATCGATTGAAATCGATAATCACAAATTTTTTGTCGCATCTATGGAAATCGAAAATCAAAAACGTGATCTGATCTTATCATAACACTGCGTAACACTTACCTTCAAGCTTACCTTCGAATCCGCTTTGTTGATAAAGATGATGTTACTTCCTTCTCCAATGGTAGCTACTTTTCTTATTTATTTTTTTTACCAGGATCACTGCTGTAAATTTGTACTCTAGAATCGTCAGAATCGTGGTGAATAGCCGTAGTCACTAATGTAGAAATTGGCAAACTGTCGTCCGTTCTCCGAGAATTTAGAAGGGTATTGTTCGAGCGCTTATTGGGAGACAGGCATGGTGGCTTATTTACGGAGCGCGGAGAATCTTCGTCCGTTTTCTTTTCGATCATTGTCGAACAAATCGATAAAATCGATAGCTAATTACAGAAATCAATCAAAATCGAAAATCACAAAGACGCGAGTGATCGATTTCTATCGATTTCCGATATTAATCAATTGATTAATATCGATTACGATCGATTATGTTCGATTTCTATCGAGTATCGAAAATATCGATTAGGTACGCCCTGCTTACTATGTGGGGAAAATACGGCTTTAAACTGGAAGAAACCACAAATTTCCCTAACCTCGGATGTTAAACCTCCTCTTCTCCGCAGATAATCGCATTTGCTGTACATTCCGCTCTTTGATTTTATGCACGGTGGTCGAATAAACGTTTCTCCTCTTCAACAGTTTAAGCGTGAAGACTGGGAACTACTATTATTTTTTTTCGGGAAACATTCGTTGATCTTCGTTTATTCGATCACTCCGCGGAAATAATTCGTCGATACGAACATACTATTCGTCATTGGACGGTCCAAGGTATTTAATTTATGGTAAAGACAGTAGTGACATATTGCCGAAATCTGTGCCCCGCGCGCGGCGTAGAAGTTTACGGAATCCATTTCGTTCAATATTGACCTTGGAGTGGTTGTCTTTGTAGGTTTACCCGCGGAATTTACAGTCTTCACTAAGGAAGCCGGCGATGGTGATGTCGATGTAAGAGTGATTGACAACAATGGAAAACAAGTCCCCGTGGACATCAAAGACAATAAAGATGGCACCTACACCGTGATTTACTACCCCACCACCGTCGGTGCATACACCGTAAATATCACTTTCAATACTGAGAGCATCCCTAAAAGCCCATTCAAAGTGAATGTTTGTCAGACGAACAGCTCTGCATGCCGCGCATATGGGCCTGGGCTCGAGAAGGTAAGAGCCGTAAAAGTGAGAGAACCGGAAGTGGGTTTTTTGCACTCGTGGGCAGTGGTTTTGCCCAAATTTTCCCGCAAATCGTTTCTATAAGAGTGAAGACACTTAGCAATAAAAATGTGATAGCGTTAAGGGAAGTTAAAGGGGAAAATTTCTCCTTTCCGGTTCAGAAGAGTTGTTAACCATTTTATACTACTACATGAGAAATTTCTGCAATTTGATTGGCTTAGAACAGTGGTATTTCAGCTTAATTTGAAATACCTACATGTGAAAATTACAAACCTTCTAAGGGTAGTAGTACAAACAATTAATGGCATGATTTGTACGTGATATTTGGCATAAATACCACGAGTGATATTTCAATATATGTCTGCTCATCCATAGCCGTTCTTTGTGTGTCGTCAAGCGACGATCCTCCCCAAAGAACGGCTGTGAAGCAGACTAGTCGGTTCACGGTTTGGATAAATGGGTAAATGGTACGCAATATTCACGGGTACCCAACGGCAATTTTCGGGAAAATATCTGTTCGGAAGACGATTTGACATCTAGAATTTTCGGAGCATTTGTCTGATATTCAGAAGTGGCAAATTTCGTTCGGTGAACAGCGTCTTTACCATTTTGCACAAATCAGTGCAATTTACTATGAAAAATCAAAAGCGTGAAACTGTCATCAAAGATGAATTCAAAAGACTGAAAAACGAATGGCTGTTTGGAAACATTCCGACCGACCGTGAAAACAGGACTACCGTTTCAGACGTTCCGTCTTTTCCTAAAATATTCCACATGAAAGACCTAACCTTCGAGCAAGCTTTCGCAAAATGTGATACGACAATTCGGGTCTTTTATAGCCTGCGAACAAGCTCTCCTGGGGTTCCCAGGGGGTACGGGGGTGGGGAGGGATAGCGTGCGACCTTACCCCGGGACCCCATGGGAGCGTGCTCGCAGGCTACCCCTCCCCACCCCCGTACCCCCGGAAACCCTTGGAGAGCGTGCTCGCAGGCTATGAAACACCTGAAATGTGGGGTCACATGAAGTGTTTTCAAAAATAAGTTGTTATGTTTGTGAGGAACTGATTATCGCAACCGGCGTACCTTTGTTGCAATCATAAAGTGAAACAAACTTTTGCTGTTGTTTTTTAGGGATTTGTCGACCAGAATAACGAATTCAAGATCGAAACCAAAGGAGCAGGTGAAGGAGGCCTGGGACTGACAATAGAAGGACCTTCAGAGGCTCAAATTGAATGCAAAGACAATGGCGACGGATCATGTGACGTGAAATACCTCCCACCAGACCCCGGCGATTATATGATCAACATCCTGTTTGCTGACGAACACATTCCAGGAAGCCCTTTCAAAGCGCGCATCTCGTATCCGTTCGACGTATCCAAGGTGAACGTCGAAGGACCTGGAATTGAGCCCGGAATACGCGCCGGTGAGCCAGCGGATATTGATATAGACACGCGCATGGCGGGAGATGCTGAACTGAAGGTGGAAGTGGTTGATGAACTGAACAGCCCGGTACAATGCGATGTTGAAGAAGAGGAATATGGAATATACGCCGTCACCTACTATCCGAAAAAGAAAGGTAAACTGGTCTTCAGTCTCAAGATTATCTAGCAAAAAGTTCGTGGTAGACTGACGTTGAATCACGAATTATTCAATTTTAATGTTTGAAGACGAACACTCCGTGGGGACGATTTTCAACTAGACCTAAGCGCGGGAAACAGGAAACTAGTGCAAAACGCGGGAAAATATAAAACTGTAAATCGTGCAACCAAATTTGCGCGCACACTAGATTCTTGCATGTGCCAAGTTAAGGTAGACGCGAGGTCTTAAAGCCCAGGAAGGGTTGCCAGAATGAAACTTGTCGTTAGTGTTAGTGACCAGATGTTTCTAGAGATAAAAGACCCAATTATTTATTAATTATTTTCAGGTGGCCACAAGGTCAACGTAAAGTATGGTGGCAAGCATGCGCCAGGAAGCCCTTTTAAGGTGCCCATCTCGCCCAAGTCCGACGCTTCCAAAGTCAAAGTAACGGGGCCTGGAGTGGAGAAAACAGGAGTACAACCTGGAAAACCTACATGGTTTATTATCAACGCTACAGAAGCTGGCAAAGGAGATGTGCATGTCAAAATAGAGCCCAGAGGTTTGTTTTAATGGCAATCGAAATACTCTTCAATAGTTTTTGTTTTAGTCCGAGTATTTCAACAAAATAGTGAGAGCTACATAACTCTAGGGAAGCGTGAAATTTAACCTTAAATATATATACCTTTGCTACGGGGATCCCTGAAGATTCTTGATGAAAAGCAAGTGGTGATCGGCATGTAATTTGTTCTTATGATATCCAATACATTGCCAGCAAAAAGGTGATGAGAAGAAACAGATGTACCAGAAAGAGGATGCGTTTTTGATATAAACCCAAATCTTCTGAACTAATGTACAATAAAATGTATAGCAGACAAAAAGGAGGATTTTTAATTAGATCTTGAGAGTCTAAGGGTGGTTAAGTATCAATATCTCACGGACTATTAATTTCAATCAAGAAAGACAAATATCTACCGCACCGTAAAAGGATATTGAATTGCTAAAGATCCGCTAAAACGACGGTCTCGTTTATCTTTATCTAGGACGTGGGCGTCCAGTGGACGTAAAAGTGACCGAGGAAGGAAAGGATACGTTCAGATGCGAGTACGAGGCTCCTGAAGAGGGAGAATACAGAGTGGACGTCAAGTTTGATGGGTCACCTGTGCCTGGAAGTCCCTTCCCTGTTGAGGTTGCCAAGCCAGGTGACGCGGGAAAATGCAAGGCACAAGGCGATGGACTGGAAACAGCTATTATCGATCAGCTGGCCGAGTTTGATGTCGACTGCAAGTCCGCTGGTGAGTTTTGAATAGAGGAAAGAAAACATAGGCACGTATTACGTCCCAAAAAAACAAGCTCGAGTGTTGTTGTTATTCAACTGAAATTTTTGAGGCGTAAAAGTTTTATCCATGGTCACTGCTATTTCGTTTTGATGCCAATTCATTGTTAGAACCACTGACAAATAACCCTGCGGGCAGAGCTTTCTTTTCGGCATGGCTTTTAGAATGTGAGGAGTCGTTTGCGTCGCTGTCATTCGCTTAGAGGGCGTAAATAAGCCAATTATTCGAATGACAGCGCCGCGAGCGACTCCGCACATGCTAAAAGCCTGGCCAGAAAGAAACCTCTACTCGCAAAGTAATGATCAATCGTTTCGTCAGGTTCAAGTAACTGGTTTTGCGTTACCAAGGTGTTCATTATTAGTTAAACCGAAATGTTACGTGACACGAACGCGTGCCAGCGAAAATTGCCAGCTGCGTGGAAACACGTTACGCGAGGCTGATTCTTTGTCAACAAACTTTTTCATCAGGAGAGGGACAGCTAATGGCGACAGTTGACAATCCTTCAGGCGCTCACACGGACACATTAGTAACAGACAATGAAGATGGTACCTACTCCGTATCCTACACACCATTTGAGGAGGGAATTCACACCTTGAGCGTCAAGTTTGGAGGGGATCACATCCCTGGTAGTCCTTTCAAGGTGAGAGTACAGTTCACATCATGTTCTTTTTAGATTACGCATTGTTACGCAACGGTAAACAGCTTTGCGCAATGTGACACAATGTCAACGCTCTGGAAGAATGTGTCCTTGACTTTAAGGTTCTCAGTCCTGGAAATTGTTGCACAAAGAGATTAATTGCTATTCGCCATGCGTACATCCTTTGTCTCAGTATAAGATTTAAGTCAGCTTTTTTTATAGCTTCACAGGGTTGTCACTAAGATTTCAAGTTGCCGGGTAAATACAACAAGTAGGCGGAGAATCAAATGGCTAGGGATTTCTTTTGGTTCTATTTTTCTTCTATTTTCCAATAAAAGTAGACGGGGGCCACTCTCTTAGTAGCCGGGGAAAATCCCCAGCCCCCGGTTCTTAATGACAACCCTGGCTTCAGTTGTGGTAGTAGCGAAGATATTTTATTTTGCTATGTTCATTTCAATGGGGCGAACCAGTCGCAGACTGTGTCGTCATCGTGTTGATGACGGGAGAAATTAGATGGAAATAGCAAAATACTGCATAAAATTAACCACTTTACTTCTTATCTGTCTCTCAGGTTGATGTCCTTCCTCCCACCGACCCCTCAAAATGCAAGGCTTATGGGCCCGGCCTGGAAAAGGCCCTCGTGGACCGTCCGGCAGAATTCACCGTAGAGACAAAAGGTGCTGGGGCTGGGGGCCTGAGCTTGGCCATTGAGGGACCTTCTGAGGCTAAACTGACGTGCAAGGACCATGGTGATGGAACATGTTCTGTGAAGTACACCCCTGTTGAGCCTGGGGATTATGAGATCCATATCAAGTTTGCTGATGAGCATATTCCTGGGAGTCCTTTCAATGCCAAGGTTTGTCAGCGGAAACTGCCGCATTTCGAATTCATCCTTTTGTGAACAGTAGTTGTCCAGTGCTATAAACGTCGGCTTGCAGTGTCGCAGTATGTGAATGTAGAACACAAAATGTGTTAACAGTTCCAAACGATTGATGTTTAGCACTTGCAAGCTGTGCCACGCCTTCTTTTGTTTTTAAGGGAGTACATTTTGCTCTCACTTCAAGGTTTACTAAACTCATGGGATGTGATGTTCAGACTGTGGCAGTGTTGCGCTGTGTTTGAGATTCACCGCTTTTAACCCTGCAATCGGGAATTCGTGTCGACCCCTCCTCGAATATCATCGTTCTAAATATATAACGTCTGGTGGAGCGTCATGAGCGACCACCGAACCAAAACATCACATTAAACAGTGCAGTTCATAAGCTACCACAGCCTGTAGGCGACAAGGCTGTGTGCCAGGCTCTCAAAAGGAAGAGAAAGGGGGAAGATCGGGTGCCAGAGAAAGCAACGCCGTCCAGCTAACTAAAACCAAATCGCCGCATTTGGGTGGACGGTGATTGGACTGTATTATCTTGGTATAATTTTTCTTTCTTTTCCTCGCAGGTGACTCGCCCCATTGACGTGAGCAAAGTGAAGTGTTATGGTCCCGGTGTGGACAGAGTTAACCCGCTGTTTTCCAAGGCTCCTCAGGAATTCACTGTAGATACATCAGAGGCGGGTGATGCGGATCTGGAGGTTACTGTGGAAACACCTGACAGAAAGGTCCTTAAACCTGAACCTGTTTGCGAGAAGGGCGATGGCGTCTATACGGTGGCTTATACACCTGAGGAGGAAGGTGAGATACGGGGAGTGAAAAACCACCATGATGTCATTTTAATGTGTAAGAATGGAATAATCGCGCTATGGTGTGCTAGATATGGGATCATGTTATATCGTATCACTCAATGACGAGAAGAGCAAAAAGTCTGCCGAATTACTGATTTTTGAAGTCTTGTAGATGCCAAACAGCCTTCCTAAAAAAACTACTATACTCGTTACAAATCGTTGAAACAGGACCCATTTCTCTTGAATTTTTTCCAAATTTCTTACATTCACTCTTCACACCTTTGTTCTCACTTAAATGTGCCCCCTCACCTTTCCCAATGTTAAGCCGAGCGTATTTTGGAGCACTGAAATGACTGCAAACCCAAATCAACATTGGGGAGCGGAAAATCACACAAGTGTTTCAAGATTTGTGACGAGGATTGTAGATTTAAAGCTGCATGTAGGGCGTTTGCACGATGATTGTCGGGTCCAACGTGTCATTCCGACGTCATTACGGCCTGGGGCCGGTTGCTCGAAGCCTGGTTAGCACTAACCGTTGGTTAAGAGATATCAAAATGTATAGGTTTCCATGGTATTTAACGCTGGTTAGCACTAACCATGCTTCGAGCAACCCGGGCCTGTTTGTTAAAATTTCCAGGCCCGTGTTAAAAGAAAGCATGTTCATGGATGTATTTATTAGCTAGCCCCAAACTGAAGTTGAAAATAGAGTGCTGGAATAAAAAAACTTTTGTTTAGCGATGGAGGCCCACAGGGACAGAGAAGTGCAGTGAGATAAGAACAGGGACAGGATAGAGCTCCTGGCTGGTGAGAATTCCGTTGTTGCGCGGGAGAAAGGTGGCTTAAAGAAGTTGATTAGTAAGGAAACCAATGATGTTGGCGATGGTGGCAGTGATGATGATGATGATGATGATGATGATGATGATGATGATGATGATGATGATGATGATGATGATGATGATGATGACTTGAGTTCCTGTTTTCTTTTTGTCAGGTCGTTACAATGTAAACGTGAAATACAACGACAAGCATGTCCCTAACAGTCCATTCCGTGTGCGTGCTGGACCTCCGTTTGACGCCAGCAAAGTCAAGGTATCAGGTGTTGAAGAGTCGCCTGTCACGGACGAGCCTGCGCAAGTATTATGCGACTGCACCGAAGCTGGTACAGCTCCTCTCACAGGTATGGACACTTTGTGATTGGCGTACGTAGAGCGGGTATCCACCTCATTCCCAGGGTTCCTCCTTTCCTTGCTTGTCAGGCCGTGCCGAACACCAGAAACGAAGTGCACGGCATGATGTATTCGAGTTGTCGTGGTTTGCTGTTGTTGGAGACCTTTAGATTCGAGGAAGAGAACGACTACGAGTGCGAGATTTGATTTAAACTTTTTTACTCGTATTGTCAAGAACCAGACACCCCGGAATTCTTCACTGTACTTTTTTCACCAGAAAAGTTAGCACTGTTATCGTTAATGAAGGAGGTTAAGACCTCCCCCGATTGAAAAGTGCTAAAACTTCTAACATTTGATAACTTGTTCCCGCCATTACGTCATTCTCGTTAAAAATTGTAGTAGAATGAAGACGGCTACCACGTTTTCCCGCCAAAATGACGCTGGTTCACGCGTGCACACTACTTAGTATTGAGAAAATCTTGTACTCGTAGTCGTTCTCGTTTTAGAATCTAAAGGTCTCTATTAGCTTCTATTGTACAGTGCAACCTCCATGTAACGACGGGCCAAGGGACTGGCAAAATGTATGCGCTATGACCAAGTTTCGTTGTATGTATCGAGGTTCTGGTTTGCTTTTATATATTCTACTATTACTGGGGTAAAGAAAATCGTTCGTTATATCGAGGACTTAGTTGTATAGAGGTTTGTTATATCGAGGTTCTGCTGTATAAGGAAGATGCCAATAAACAGCAAAGGAAAATAAAGGATGGGAAAAAGGATAAAGAAAAGATGAATTCTATTGTGACGCCAGGCCTTTACTTGGAAGGTCAATCATAGTTGGTTATATCATGGTTGTAAATTTTGAACCTGTTAACAAAAACCCATAACGAGACCACTGAAATGAAACCTCTTGTGTATAGGATTCGCGTAGCTATTAATTTTCCGCCAAGATTTGGAATTATTCTTGTATTTTGATTTACCTGCTGTAGGGATTTACAATTTTCTTTCATTAAAATTTATTCAGCAACGGTATCTCCGCCCAGCGGTCCTGACATACCTGTCGAAATCAAGGAGAATGGAGAAGGTTGTTATATCGTGGAGTACACTCCTGAGCGAGCAGGCCGCCACAGTATTGACGTCAAGTACGGCAACAAGAGAGTACCTAGGAGCCCGTTTAGAGTTCAGGTCAAACCGAGTGGAGACGCGTCTAAAGTAGAGGTCGATGGACTAGGCCCGAAGGATAAGTTCTTCGTAGACAAAGAGAATGACTTCACTATAGATACAAGCAAAGCTGGAAAAGGTTGGTTGTTCATCGACGTTTGGATGTTAATTTGGCCAGTGTAAATAGTTTAGTTTTCGTTTCACGATGGGTAATAGACCTCTCATAGCTTAATTAGTTTGATGCCCTGTTCAAATCATGTTACGCTTTAAAGCGAATTTGTCCTTTCATTTAATGTGCGTTCATCTACACGTCAGTAGACTGACTGAGTTAAGGTTTTGAGATGGGAAAATAAAAACCCATTTCACTCCAAAAGCTCGCCCAACGATAAAGTAAACGCCAAATCAGTCACAGCAAAAAAAGGACTTTATTCAGGGGCACCCAACGACAACTTTCGGAAAAATATCTGTTCGGAAGACGATTTGAGATCTAGAATTTTCGGAACATTTGTTGTAAAATTTCTTGCCTGCCTGCCTCTCCTAGGATTTTCGAACATCTAAAAAATGGTAAAATTGCTCATTTTCAACGGATTTTTACCCTAAAAAGGTCACCTAAAATTTTTCGGGAGCCTTTTCTCTGGCTGAAATTTTCGAACAGGTAAGTTTTGATCCCTATTATTTTCGGATCACTAGACTTTCAGCTAGGAAATCCGAACAGATGAAAAATTTATAGGGGATAAAAATATGCCCATATTCACTGTTTAAATACTAAAACACGTTTAACAATGCTATGTTTAAGTGGTTTTGAACTATATTCTCGTTGGGTGCCCCTGGCTATTTGAGTGCCAATGTATCAGTTAAGCACGAAAGTACTTATTGGGGACACTATTTAATTACCTCTCTGCTGGAGACTTCATTTCTCAGTCATTTTAAGACCCTGAGGGTTGGTCCGGTCCCGGGAATTGAATCCGCGGCCTCTCGCTCTGCAGCCAAGCGCTCTACTGACTGAGCTAATCCTGCCGCTGATATTGGACGAGGTTGATATTGGAGGGGGTTGCTCACAATCCATGGAAATAATTCAGTTAACGCCATGCACAGAATATTGTGCTCAAGTCCAGTCACAGAAACTCGGTGTCTTTTAAGCCCATTAAAATTGACCACTCCAGAAAATACCATAACATACCATAGTGCTCTTTGCTTGTCACCCCAAAATTTTGCATAAGCATTGTCTTCAATTTCTCTTGGGAGTTAAAATGGTCCCAAGAGAAACTGAAAACAATGCTTATGCAAAATTTTGGGGTGACAAAGAAAGAGCATTATGGTATATTATGGTATTTTCTGGAGTAGTCAATAATAGAGATTTCCCTTACTTCCGTGAACTTCATGTAGGTGTTCCCAAATGTACCATCAAAGGCCCCGACAGAAAAGAAGTCCCCTGTGAAGTACTCGACAATGGTGATGGCACCTATGATTGTGTCTTCACTCCTGAGGAAGTCGGACGCCATAATATCGACGTTCTTTTCGGTGGAGAGCCAGTGCCCGGAAGCCCTTTTAATATCAAGGCTGAAAAACCAGTCAAACCTGTTGCTGTGGACAAGATCAAGTGCGAGCCTAAGGTTGACAAAGAACCTCTGGTGGATGAGGAACTGGTGTACGCAGTCGACGCCCGCCCAGCTGAATCGGCCCCTGGTGAAATTCCTGAAGGGCTCTTAAACGGCTCCCTTCTCACGCCCTCTGGGGATAAGGAACCTGTCCGCATTAAGGACAATAACGATGGAACCTATGACGTGGCGTGTGTCCCCAAAGAGCCTGGACCCCACGAGCTAAGTTTGGATTACGATGGTGTACCGCTGCCGGGAAGTCCATACAAGTTTGACGCTGTGGAAGGAGGCGCAGATAAAGTCAAGGCTTATGGAAAAGGTATAAAGTCCCTCGTCCTTCCCCCTAACCCTGCCCCCTTAATCTTTCCACACACATACACACCCTTCCCAAATAGAAAAGGGAAATAAGTTTTTTTAAGTACCAAGAGCCGAGGGAATTATTATAATCTTAACCCCTCCTTTATGGTTATAGGGTAGTTTCCGTCATCAATCTGTCACTTCAGGTTTTATCAGCGATCCCTCAAAATAAACCGACATAAAAAAATCGGCTGTTTACCTTGTACAAACGTTTTCCGGAAAATCTGGTTGGAAAGTAAATGGAAAACGACTTTTTTTTATTATTCCGAGGAGAATTTCTTGGAGCAACGGAGTATCTGAAAAAAATGGTCTTTTCTTTCTGGACGGAGTGTTCCAAACGGAAATTCGTATTTCATTTCTTCAAAGCATCTAAGGTACCAGGTTTAAACCTTCGCGGCTGTTTTTCAGTAAATGGTACTGATTTGTACAAGGGCCTGTATTTTCCTTACCATTCACCATTTTCACATAGACCATAATGCACTTTGTTTATCCCGCCCCCCCCCCCCAAAAAGAAAAATAATAATAGTAATAATAACAATAATAATTAATAAATAAATTTTGCATAACGATGTTGCCAATTTCTCTTGAGTATTACAGTCGTCCCAAGAGAAATCGAAGACAATGATTCTGCAATTTTTTTTTTTTTTTTGGGGGGGGGGGGGGGGTGGTGTTTAGAAGGTACATTATGGCCTATGTGAAAATAGTAAATTTGCCCAATCCGTGAACGTACCGGTTTTCCCATGTAAATGGTAAACAACCAGTTTTCCTTCTTAAAACTGATAAGCGTATGAACCGAACGTTTGTCCCGTGTGTTTAGTCTTGGGTTGAAGTTAAATATGTGAACTTACAGGATTGGAACGTGGCCTAGCTGGAGAACCCGCTGAGTTCACCATAGTAACCAAAGATGCTGGACCAGGTGGCCTCGCCTTGGCTGTTCACGGACCCAGCAAGGCCGAGATCAAGTGCCAAGACAACGGAGATGGCACCTGCTCTGTGCAGTATGTCCCTGAAGAACCAGGTACTATTCACAGCTATCTCCTTCATAAATACCATTAGGTCCTGCAACTGTCGCCATAATGTAAAGAGGGGGTAACGAGGGTAAACATGGAGAAAATGCAACTTTTGCTGAGCCCGGATCATATTTTAGCATAGCTCTTCGCGTGATCCGTAACAAGCAGACGATAGGGACCTTATGATTTGACAACGGCGACTCTGGTGACAACGTCACCGAAAAAATGACTTCGGGTCCTTGCAAGAGTTTTGCCGATTATTCGAGCTCTTTCATCTTTTTAAAAGTTGGGAATTAAGCGGCCCTTGAAGAGAGAGGAACGCTTTCGAGCTTAGATACAGTTGCCGTTCACGTTCTCAGGAAAACAACGAATTCAAGCAAATATTTAACTGAAAAAGCAACTTAAATCCATTTTTGGTAAACAGTTGAGTTAGCCATAAAAACAAAGATTTGATTCACCTTGTTGAAGATCCACTCTTTCGTTTTGCTCCTTCTTACTTTCTCTTTTCACCTGTTTCAGCGAGTCTTGTATGGTCTTTCCAATGACGTCTTTTATTTCTTCGTGCTTTCGTTTTTTACTAGGAAGACACTGCTTTTTCCGTTTAGGGAAAAGCCCTTTCTTACATTAATTTTCTTTAAATTCAAACCTCTTAATTCGGACACTTCGTTTCTACGGACACTTTCTATGGCCCCCTTCGTGTCAGTATTAACGGGGCTTGTATGACTGTAACTGCTCCTGTTGGCTTTGTTCTAACAGCTGTGTCCTTTTGTACAGGTGATTACAACATCAGTTGTAAATTTGCGGATAAAGATATCCCTGGCAGTCCATTTACCGCACACATCTACTCCAACTATGATGATCTAGATGCCGTTTCTCCGCGCCCCACGGTTGGGAAACCCTGTGACGTGGAATTGAATATCCCAGAATCCTTCCGTCCTGAGGACGTCACAAACGGCGTCCTAGCAGCGGAGCTAGAGAGACCAGACGGACGAAAAGAACCATTGGAGCCACTTCGAGTGAACCCTGACGGTACCCTGGCGGTGACATTCATTCCCTATGAACCGGGTGAACACTTGATCCATGTCTACAAACACGGTCAGGAGGTTCAAAACAGTCCGTTCTCTGTCATGGTTCAAGCACAGCGGGTGGGAGATATCTACCCCGTTGGCCACACTTGTGAATTGGATTTTAAGATCCCTGAAGACGTCGATGTCTTAGATCTCGTGGGTACGCTGAAACGGCCGAGTGGTAAAGTGGATGAGTCGCTGACGCTGAAGCCTGGTCCCAAACCTGGAACGATCAGTGTTTCGTTTGTGCCGCGCGAAGTTGGTGAACACTTTCTGTCTGTCAAGAAGAGGAAAGACGGTTCTCCTATACCGGGAAGTCCATTCTCAATTTTGGTAGAATCGGAAGAACCCACAGAGGGAGTTGGTTGCCCAATTGACTACTGCTTTAGCTTGGATGATGTGGTTCTCCCAGATGACATCTTAAAGGAACGGGTGAAAGGCACGCTCAAGAGACCATCCAGCGACAAAGAAGAACCCATAGACTTGAAGCTCAACTCTGATAACACTCTCAGTTGTTCATTTGTTCCGCGTGAAACAGGACTTCACTACATCTACATCAGAAAGTATGGACGCCAAGTCGACGGAAGTCCGTTTGTCATCAAGGTGACCGCACCCGAGGGACTCTCCAAGGTTGGGAAACCCTACGGAATGGGTTTGGAAAGCTCCGATGTTAATCTCCCCGAAGACTACCCCAGGTTGTCTGCGACGCTGAAGAGGCCTTCCAGCCCCAAAGAAGAAGAACTTAAACTTGTATTGAATGGAGATAACACATTGGGCGTCGCGTTTACCCCGCGTGAAGAAGGAGAACATTTGATTCATCTTAGAAAGGACAATAAAGAAGTAGAGGACAGTCCATTCAGTGTGATAGTTGGAGCGAAGGAAGAAAAGGTAGAACGAGAAGCTTTATTTAATATTATAGTAGGTTGCTCTTACTTACAGTTGAACCCCGTTAATACCGCTACTAACAGACCATTTAAAACGAACAATAAGCTGGGTACGGGCATGGTCATCTTTCATGGCCTCGTTCCCCCCCTGTTTAGTGTTTTGGGAGTGCTACTGTTAAGAAAATGGCCGTTAAGAGGTGAACAGTGTTACGTTTCACAGGCATTTTCAGGGCAAATCAAAGTTGCTTGTAAGAACAAGGTAGCCGTATGGTGGAGTTCCTTTGTAGCAGGGTCTCTCCCATCTAAGCGTGATCATGATTATAGTGTTGCCTCCGCGTATTCAAGTTCCGTGACTGAGAGAAAGATAGAAGGAGCCTACGTTAAACGTACTTTTTCCAAACCTGTTTTGAACTCCCTAATGAAGCTATTGAGTACCCCCGTCTATTCACTGTCGGTTAAAATACTCTTTTGCTGTTGTGCGCAGGTTGAAGAAGTTCATCCAATGGGTCGAACGTGCGATGTCAATCTAGATATACAGGGCGTCACGCTGCCCGACGATCTCGACAAAGATTTGCTCAGAGGCTTCCTAAAAAGACCAAATAGTGAAAAAGAAGAACCGCTTGTGCTTGAAATCACGCGTGACAATTCCTTGGGCGTGTCATTTGTACCTGAAGAACCAGGTGAACACCAGATCAGCGTTAGAAAGAAGTCCCCAGATAGGAAGTGGCGTGATGTACCTGGAAGTCCCTTCTCTATTATGGTCGAAGCCGCAGAAGCTGTCAATGCTGTTGGAACACCATGCGACTGTCTTCTAGATATCCCTAACCTTCGACTCCCCGAAGACTTGAACAGGTTAACAGCCAAGCTAAAGAGGCCATCAAGCCGCCAAGAAGAAGATCTAAAGCTTAGAGTTACGTCAGATAACAAGCCGTTTGTGTCGTTCGTACCGCGGGAGCCTGGAGAGCATTTGATCAGTATTAAGAAAAACCGAGATCACGTGAAAGGCAGCCCCTTCTCTGTCATGGTGGTCGCCCCCGAAACTGGCAACGCCATTGGCAGACCGTGCGGTGTTGGACTCGAAATTCCCGGACTCAAACTCCCGGATGATTATAACGACGGTCTCTTGACTGCAAGTCTGCAGCGGCCTTCTGGGAAGCCTGAGGAACCGCTCCCTCTCGCGCTCAACTCTGACAACACTTTGAGTGTGTCGTTTACCCCGCAGGAGACTGGAGAGCACTTTGTGACAGTGAAGAAGTCCGGAAACCACGTGAATGGCAGTCCCTTCTCTGTTATGGTCAGCGGTCCTGGACCTGCTGATCCAAGCAAAGTGGTGTGCACCGGCCCAGGTAAATTATTTATCATTTATTTACACGCTGCAATATATTGAATTTACATAATTTTTGCCAAAATAATAGCATAACTTCGAAAAGTAATGCAAGAGTACCACAGGAGACTTTCGCTCAGTGGCTTTAAAAGGAAACTCAATCTGAGGGAAACTGTTCATAACTCTTCTTTTCTCGTAACCTTCCTTTTTGATTAAGCCATGATATTTTGCGAGGAAGATAATTTGATCAACGAAAACCGGAAAGCGTTTTTCGCGATAGTGTAGGAGTTTTATATAATAATTTGATCACTGAAACCTGAAAGCGTTTTTCGCGACAGTGTAGGAGTATTATATTTCGTAACATTAACAGTCTGGATTGGTTTTGTTTTATTGAGGTCTACATGACGGAGTAGCCGGGAAGCCCAGTACATTTACCATCAACACCCGCGACGCTGGCTATGGAGGACTGGGTCTATCAATTGAGGGACCCTCTAAAGCCCAGATCACGTGCACAGACAACGAGGATGGCACATGCACAGTGGAGTATCTTCCGGTTGAGCCTGGCAAGTACACTATCAATGTCAAATTCGCTGATGAGGATGTGCCCGGAAGTCCCTTCACCTCTAATGTGAGGCCTTCAGGAGATACGATACAACCCATCGAGGAGGACCTGGTAGGGAGAAAGAAACATCTAGGGACTTGTTACTATAGCTACATGTTCCAAATGATGCCCACACTAGTATAAATGTTGTATTCGGACGTGGTGAATATTTAGCATGCCTTTTGACACCACCTGATCAAATGATCAATACACACATCGAAAAAGGCTTCATTTAAATGATCAGGAGATGAAAATGGTGGTGAAGGTGATATTCATTATGACGATGAGGATGAGTAATAAGAAATGATCTATGTTACTGCAACATTTAACCCTTTCAGTGCCAAGTGTGGCCAAGGGCAAAATGCGACAAAAATTCCCAAATTTCGTTTTGTAAAATTTTGGAACAAATAGCACTATTTGAAAGTACATGCAGAGACGTTTCATTTGAATGGTCACATCATAGGATTTTGTCCACAGACTCAAAAGTTACAACTACCTTAACGGACTCCAACATTCACTCTGGCAGTGAAAGGGTTTTCAATGCAATGAACTGAAACCAGTAGGAGACAATTAACAAGCAAGGTTCGCCTTGATAACATAAGCTTGGTTGTTACAAAAACATCCAAATGTATTTATTAGTTTTGGGATCTTTTCGTGTGGTACATGTTGCTATTTTAAGGATGATACGATTTTAACCCTTCCAGGATCATAGATGGAGTCTCGTATGCTTTTTGTAGCTTTTGTGTCTGTGGAAGAAATGATTCAAATGAAAGCTACTGACAGTACTTTCATATGGCAGCATTTGTTTTCAGCATTTCACAAAGTGAAATTTGGAAGTTTGATTTTGTTTACTAAAATGTTTTTTTCTTGTTCACTAGGTGGCCTCTTCAGCTCCAGATCAGTTCTCTGAACCAACTCAGCGAGTCTCACAAGTGTTTGAGGACCTTGTGACTTTCGGTTCCACTCCTGCTCAGCCTCACGATTTCGTGTTTGATCTTAAAGGCTACAACATGGACGACCTTGAAACCATGGTGATAAGCCCCGATGGTACAGAGCTCGAATCTGACATTATCGAATCAGGACCCAAAACCTACACCATCCGGTTCGTTCCGAAGGAGAGCGGAGAACACACGATCTATGTTCGATTCAAGAGCGGAAGAAAGAAGGACATCCCCGGAAGCCCCTTCAAAGTCTTCGTTGAAGCTCCCGTGTGGGGTGGTGCAGCGAAGTGCTTGGCTGCGGGACCTGGGCTTGAAAGAGGCGTGGTCAACCATACGGGAGAGTTCACTGTCTGGACACGTGACGCTGGACCAGGAGGACTTGCGATCGCAATCGAAGGACCGGCCAAGTCAGAGATTAAGTGCACCGACAATGGAGACGGTTCATGTAACATTTCGTACTTACCTACCACCAATGGGGAATACACCGTCCATATCCGCTTTGCTGACGAGGATATCCCCGGAAGTCCATTCAAGGTGAACGTTTCGCCGGAAGTGGAAGACCGCTTCCGGGATCTCAATGTCTCCGACCTGGCAGAGAGCGGACTAAAGGTGAACCAACCTGCTTCCTTCTCAGTTCAGACCAATGCGTCTGTTGGTGACGTCACAGCTTCTGTGATCTCGCCCTCAGGAGAAGAAAAAGAAGCGCAGGTATCCAAACTGGGTGGTGGGAACTTTGCGATACGCTTCACCCCTAGGGAATTTGGTGATCATCTTGTCAACGTCCGTTTTGACGGCTCCCACATCCCCGGCAGTCCCTTCAAGATCCGTGTAGGCGGGGCAGAGGGTCACCCAGAGAAGGTGAAAGCTTATGGTTCAGGTCTTAGTAGCGGAAGAGTGGGAGAACCCGCGGAGTTCACAGTTAACGCCCTTGAGGCCGGATCAGGAGCGCTTGCCCTGTCGGTGGATGGCCCGGCGAAGGTTAAGATGAATTGCAGTGAAAATGCCGACGGCACTTACCAAGTCACGTACAACCCCGTGGTAGCAGGCGAATACACCATTAGAATAAAATTCGCCGGTCAGGATATCCCCGGAAGCCCTTACAACGTCACGATCCACCCCTCGGATGGCAAGTACAGAAGGGACGGAGATGCATCGAAGTGTACTTCACGAGGAACAGGTCTGCATAGCGCGGTACTAGGACAGCCCAACTCCTTCACTGTAAACGCCAGCAACGCTGGGCGCGGCTCACTGATGGTCGGCGTCGAGGGCCCAGCGATTCCCGCCAAAGAAATTAACGTCAAGCACACCGGAAGTAACGTGTACGCTGTCAACTACGCGCTGGAAGAGCCTGGTGTCTACATTCTTAAAGTATTATGGGCTGACAAACACATCCCAGGCAGTCCTTTCCACGTGACCGTTTGAAAGCGCGCGTTCGCGAACCTCTAGTCTTGTATTTAAGAACTTTTGAAAATTTCCAAGAAGATAGCTATTTTCAATACAGCTTAACCTGCGGTTTGCACTTAAATATTCCACTCGACAGTTATATTCAATTACTAGTTTTCTATTGCAATTATTACAATTTAAAAAAATACAAATGTGAAAGGATTCTTTTTGTATTTCTCGACTGTAGGCAGTTTTAAAAAGCGATAGCTTTTAAAAAATCGATCCTCTCTTTATCATTAAATTGTAGCTATGCCATTTCATAATCAGCCGTAATAAGTGTTTGTGTGTGATAAAAATGTATGTCAACAGCATAGCATTCAGTTATGTATGGTTGCTATGGAAAAATGAATGAACTCATTAGAAAAGGCATGTACTCCGTAATATGTTTTGCATGGTTGTAATGTATTGTTCATGTGTGTTCGTTTAGGCCTGTATATGTGAAATCTGTTTGACAGTTTAGGGATATTTTTTAAATACTGGCAATAAATTGTATAATGAAATAGCTCTGTCTCAGTAAACCGTTTTTCTTCATTGCTTACCGCCCTTAAGCCTTATATCAGCACCCATTTTCTCCACACCGTCAGCCATACTTTACTAAGAGAGAATGAGGGGAGAAAGTGAATCCCTCATACATTGCCCTCCTCCTATGAAGGTTATCTGAAATCTCTTTTTGGTTCTGTCGTGCTTCGTAGTTATTTTAAGGATGACATCTTATTGGTCGGTTAGAATGACGTCATGTAATATTAAATTTGGCGGGATTATCTTTTGAGGATTTCACGGGCCGTCACCCAGCTTTCGTCCGGTCTTTAGCGAAACAACAACTTAATCTTATAACAAAAATATTTGTTAATACACGAGACAAAGAGACTAGTCCGCGGTAGCATTTGCTAATCTGATCATTTATTGACAAAAATTTTTGGTCACTCTCACAAATGAAGGGGTTAAAATGGCCGCTGTTACCTGAAATCGGTTATGCTTGCGTAACAGGCGCTTGGAAGTAACTATAGGATAGATTTTCTTAATATATTGATATATTTTTAGCATTAGTGTAGTTTCTCTTAAAATTCTGTTATGCAAACAGCTCACTGGAAGAGCATTTTTAATGAAATGATGCCGTAAGTAAACGGGGCGCGCGCGTAGACACGCGAGGGTACTGAGAGGGAACGCCTGCCCAAAAAGCCCACGAAAATCTCCGCCCCAGTAAGGGAATGCGGGAAATTTTTGCTCTTGGAATCCGGAATCCTGGGTTTTGGCATCTAGTATAACCTTTATTTGAAGAGGGTGACACCAATTACTATGAAAAGTATTCTCCCTGGTGTCTCTGTGGGGCGCCCCGTTCTCGCAAATTGCTTCCAAGCGTCTGCTAGGCAGGCTAAGGCTATATTGAGAACCCCCCCCCCACCCTCTTGCCTGGTTACATTATTTCTCAGCACCTTCCTTCAGCCCATGGTTATGCTGACGACACAGCTGTTTAGAACCTTTCTTTATTCATTGTCACGGAAAGGAGCCATGTTTCAGATATTTCTAACCTTCGAGCTGCCGAAATTGACCTTTTCCTGCTGCTATGGTTGCGGATTTATCAGCAGAAGCTTGCAGATCGGGACAATTTCATTTATCATGCTCTGTAATGTCTTGATACTAAAGTATAAAAACACGGAACGGTTATCCAGAACTTTTTAGCTTCTCAAACTTTAGAAATTTCTAGGCAATATTTGCTCCTTCGAACAGTTATTTTACAGAATATAGTTGCTGGGTGCCCGTGAGTTTAGTAAAGATAGTCGTTTTGAGGATCACCTTATGATATAGGATCGAAACGGACCAATCATAAATTTGGATACTTCGGCCTTAGGTCTGCCAGTCGAATATTCTTATTCCATCAAAGATTCCTTTTGGCTTGAAAATATGTATTTCTTTTCTTTTCTTTTTTTTTTTCAAGAAGTGGGGGGGGGAGCTGGCCCCCCAGCCCCTCCCCCTGTGCGGGCCCTACTGCACAATCTTCTCTGTTCGCCCCTTTGCTCATTCTAGCTACCATCAACTGTCAGAACTAGTAGCAAACTCGCCATTTTTAAAAAGCAACTTAAAACATTTCTTTTTAGGAAAGCTATTAATCTGTCGGAATAGTTCTGATTGTTTAGCGATTTTGGCCTATTGCAGGTCGTATTCACGTGACCTCCCTTCCTCCCTTATGTAATAATTGTGGAATTCAACTTTTAAAACAATACCAGACATAAAAGAACATGAGATGCTATTAAATGAGGTGACTGGCACATAACCGGGTAAGATCTTGTTGGTTTAGTGGAATATCTGGAAAATCATAAGGGTGTGTATTGGAAAAATGATAATTATTTCTATTAATATCTCTGGTATTTCTTGGGTTGTATCCCATAATTTTAGTCTGAGAAAGTCACGTGACCGCGCGTCAGGTGCAAAGGGCCTGCTTACCAATGCCCTAATACCCAAATACCTGACCAAAAATCCTCTTCAGAAGTAGTTGATATGATACCATGTAGTAGATCTTTTTTCAATAGCAGCAAATATCATATAACAAGAAATTAAAACAAAACTCAATGCAGGGCTGGCACTACGGCAAAGGGCTGATTTATTATAGGGCAATATTTCGGCTAACAAAATTAGCCTTCCTCAGGGCCAGACCTATACCGAGAGATTCAAACAGTTTTTCTTATTATAATAATAATAATAATAATAATAATAATAATAATAATAATAATAATAATAATAATAATAATAATTTTATTTATATAGCGCTAAAATCCAATAATTGTCCAAAGCGCTACCTAATTACAAAATAGAATATAAAAAATCTAAATTCTAAAATACCTAAAATATACAATATAATTCAAATATAGCCTAAGTTATCTACTATATAAATCAAAAACATCTTAAAACAAAAGGAATCTCATAACCTATATGCTAACTTAAATAAAAAAGTTTTAAGGGATTGCTTAAAAGTTGCCACTGAAGCACATTTCCTAATCTCTAGAGGTAAATCGTTCCACAATTTAGGTCCTGCAATAGAGAAAGCTCTGTCTCCATATGTTTTCAATCTGCTTCTTGGAACCACTAAATATTCTTTACATGAAGAACGCAATGACCTAGAGTATGTTTTAAAGTTCAAAAGGTCAGAAATATAAGAAGGTGCAAGGCCATGAAGGGCCTTGTATACCAATAAAAGGACTTTAAAAGTTATTATAACAAGAAATAACACGCAAATGGCGGTAATAAACATCAGAAAATAAACTTATTTCTAGAACAAAATAAACTTTAACTTGACGTTTTCTATTTTCACTGATTTCTTTGACTTTAATTGGTTACTTGCATTTCAATTTTTTTCTCACACAAAACAAAGTTAAAGTTTTACTTTTTTCCCCGAACGCCGCAGTCTGCGTAATATTTCTTATAGTGCCATACTTCAGGGTATTTTTCACCAAGAAATACGGAAGTTTTTCCTCAAATTTGATTATTGTAACCGTAATTTTTGAAAGTGTAAATTTTTCCGCGATAAAGATGATCAACCGCTCTTGAGATGATCGACGACGAATGTAACCTAGCTTCAATGAAAACTCATTGTAAGGACGTTAATTATTCTTCCCATATAAATAATGGCTAGTATCCTCTGATATTGGAACTCATGAATTTAAATCACCTGGAAGAACAAATTTACTTACCGGTATATCCGATTGCCCGATTTCTTCTGGAAAATAATACAATCATAAAACCGCAAATCGATGACGGAAAAATGCTTCAATTAGCGCAATATTTGTCATAAAAATGCAGTTGAAAAGTGGCCATCAGCTTACCGCCCGGCTGATATGTCTCCATATGTGTGACATTCACTCTCTATTCCACTGAATCGCTGATAGACTCCTCAAAGCAATTACTACGTAGCCTAAGGCAAATAATGCACCAGGGCCGGAATGTTCAAAGCAGGATTAAGATAATCTAGGGTTAGTGGGAGATAGGATATGAATGCTTAAAAATCAAATTCAGTCTAGTTCTTTTTGCCTATAATTGGATGACTGGATGCTCAAAAAAGAAAAATGAAAATTATTCGAGAAAGTGCTTTTGAGCATAGCGTGAAAGCGGTTGAGTTCTCATTTCGCGAGGGAAAAACCCCACGGCGCGCGATTAAAACCCTCCTACTCGCTCCCTCCGCGCAACCTCGCGTCTCTTCCTTTCCCAAAAATGGCAAACGTTGATTGGTCGGAATGAAAATTATGCGGGAAATCTGCGTGCCATCCAGCGGTTACTCATCAACCAAATGAGCAATCGATTGATCATTTTTACGGTGGAGGTCGTTTTGTTGTTTACCTTTTAGACTTAAGTGTTTGTTGTACTCGTTGACTGTGTGTTTTCCTGTTCAGTTTGGAGAGAAATGATTGCGTCTTCGTCTGATACTGACACTGAGGATGGAGATGAACATACGCAAGAATTACTTATCATCTACCAGCGCGGAGAACAGCTTGCGAACTCTCCATCGGGTCCACAGAATAATTCACCTAGTATTAGCCCGTCGCTGCATACTCCTAGCCCAACATTTTCTGTTGTTTCCGAGGCCACGTTGCAAGAACAACAAGAAGATGACGAGAGAAAAGAGAGATTACAGCTTTACATATTTGTTTTGCGCTGCATCGCCTACCCGTTCAACGCGAGACAACCAACGGATCTTGCAAGAAGACACGCTAGAGTCAGCAAGCAAGATTTGGAGAAAATTAAGCAGCGATTTGAAGATTTCCTCCGAGGCGACACAAAGATAGCGTCAGATGAGGCATTTTACAATGCAGTACGAGCTTATTACGACGTTTTTATCTGCAGCGAAAGAGTGAAAAAGATGGTAATTAGTGGAGGTTGTTCTTCGAATGATTTCCGCGAGGTATTCAAGGCAATGATCGAGAAAAGGGTGCGAAGTTTACCAGAAATTGACGGCATTAGCAAGGAAACTGTTTTAAGCTCATGGATGGCTAAAAACGACGCAATATTTCGCGGAGAGGACGATCCGAAAAAAGGCCCAAGAATCGCTGCTTCGGCGGCGTCTGAATTGATTTTATCGAAAGAGCAGCTGTATGAGATGTTCCAGACCATTCTGGGGGTCAAAAAATACGAGCATCAAATATTGTTTAATGCCTGCCAGGTAATAATTTCAATATTACCCTACAAATAGTTTGTTAATGTGTCAAGTGCCTGATCTTATTCGGTATAAAAAGGGAGCATCTGTTTCAGCCTTAAATGTAATTATTTATATGTCGTGTTATGGTTACTATCCTTTCAGAATTAGTCTATAGTCAATTGCCTCTGCAGTGTCTAATTAAGTCTCTCTCCAATTTTTGGGCGTCAATTAGTTTTTGGATGAAATGCAATGTTGGCCTCAGTTAAAAATAGTAAATTATTGTTGTTTTGTCTTCAAAGACAATGAATGCTGTCTTTGATGCTTTCATCGATGTCTCAGGTGTCTTCGAAAAGGAAAATTCCGTTCAGGAAGTAATTACAAATTTGCATACATTCGAGAAATATTAGGCACGTTTTGTTTTGAACGCCAATGTATATGTTCCGTATGATAATATTTCATCTTTACCAGAAGAAAAGTTGAATTATTTAATTGTTGTAATTAAAGACCCATATGGATTCAACGTTATTGCAGTCATTTGGTGTTTGCTGTCAAAACTTGTTTTGATTTCAAAATAACTTTTTTATATTGTCGAGGAAAGCAATATTTATTATATCAGCTGTTTGAAATACCGCTCTAATTTACATGTTAAATATCTCCTTTTTATGTGTTGTTATTACTCTACTTTTAGAACAATTAAGATGTTTTTGTGTTAGATTTTTGCAGGAGATGTAAAGCAATAGGGAGGGAATCTTAGGCCCTGTTTACAAGGAGGGAGGGTAACCCTTGTGCTAGGGTTACTCTAGCAAGAGGGTTACCCTAGCACACGCACATTTCTTCTTGTTTTACACGACATGTATACAAGGCAGGTAGGGTTACCCTAGTGCTATGGTAACCCTACGTTGAGTGCTAGGGTTACCCTACCAAGAGGGTTACCCCGGCACTCACACATTTCTTCTTTTTTTACACAACGTGTTTGCAAGGCAAGTAGGGTTACCCTAGTGCTAGGGTAACCCTTCTGAGTGCTAGGGTTACCCTAGCAAGAGAGTTACCCTACCTGCCTTGTAAACACTGTGTTAGGGGCAACTTGTCTACCCGGAACAACGTTCCTCTGCCATGCCTGACCAGTAATCTTGACAATTTGAACAGAATTATCCAATTTCTGAGCCTAATTATAAACATCTGAACAATATAAGGTATTTTCTGTATACAATGATAAAAATTTTCCTGTTTTTCATGAATTGAATATGTTTTCCATAGAGAACTTCTAGTTTTATTTCAAATCTTGGATGTTTCAAAGAATGTCATCACTGGTAAAGTTGTCCTGGCTGATGGCGTAACCCTTCCTGTGAAATTGTGCTCATAAACTCCGGCTATCTTTAACCCACTTTCTAGGGTAACCCTCTCTCCTTGTAAACAGACCCTTACGGTGTTGGTCAGGATATGTGAATTTCACTTAAGGCGGAAGCTATTATTAGAGGTTGTAATTAAATGTAAGTCTAACTCCTGAGTCATCCACACATTTTCATCAATAATTTTGTTTAAGGTATCATTAGTCCCAAGTGCAACGGCCTCAAGGCAAACAATGTAATGTAGAATATTGTAATGACGACTCTTGAATTCTCTCTTGACTAAAAGATGCTGAATAAAAGTTTGCACACCTCTCTGGAAACAAACTTGCAATGGATTTAAGACAGAATCCACCAGGAAATTGAGTAATTTCAATTTTCAGTCCACGAAAACTTTAAACCAGAATAATTTAAAACATATTGCATTCTTTTTTACATTTTTCAAGGGCTAAAGATGTAATATTAGTCATCTGTAATAACACCAGAGAAAATTTGTTATGGGAGCCTGAGAAAATAAATGTCAAATTTCACAAAATTACTGTACATCTTATGCATGAAACTTTCAGAATTTTACCTAATAAGAAGGTTTCACAATATTCTTGTAAAATTTGGCATTCATTTTCTCGGATTCCCATGAGAAATTTTCTTGGGTGTTATTGCAGATGACTAATTACATCTTTAGCCCTTGAAATATGTTAAAAGGAATACAATATTCTTTAAATTATTCTGGTACAAGGTTTTTGTTGACTGAAAATTAAAATTACTCAATTTCCTGGTGGTTTCCATATTAAGCATTTTTAGACTAGTTAAAACTAGTCTCAAAATAAGGCTAGAATCGGAATTTCCCTCGATCTCTGTCCTATTATTTTTTTCTTGATTTCTGCTCTTTGTACAACCCTATTATAGCTTGACAGTGCAGATGAACAAGCGGCATGTATCCGAAGGGAATTGGATGGAAGGCTGAAAGCTATTGTTGACCAGAGAAAGGTACCATCAGCAGATTGAAATTTACTTTTTTTAACTTTTTCTAAAACAAAACAATATCCATTTACAATACATGTTATGAAGACCTTGGATCAATTTAGGTTTCCGGGAAACTACCCACCCACCCCTCCCCTAAGCTAACATTAGAAAACGCACTTCAAAACAAGCTTCAGCAGTGCTGATTAAAATACATACTGTATTTTATACTGTTTTTTTTTTCTAATTTATAAGCTTCAAAATGCCACAATAAATCAAATCCACTTCAATACATTATTTGAAGGGGGGCTCATATATTGGGGAGGGGGGCGTATAATATTTGGATGTATTTTTGTTTGGTTACAGGTAGACGGGCCTATAATGGCAGCGGGGGGGGTGGGGGTGGGGGTGTGGGTGTGGCTCATAAGCAGTAGTTTATGGCATTCTTTTTAATGCACACATTTTAAAATTTACAACACTTTACTGAAGCATTACATTTAATTTCACTCTTTGAATTATTTATAATTTAAATTGCACATATAGGTGTTACTGTTGTGTTAGCTTGTGAAAATTTTACACGTGCACAAAATTCAAAGATGCTACACGCTATATTACTAAAAGAGAGTAAAATATTTTGCAAAATTATATTTAAAAAAAGTATACTGGCCACATGTTTGTAACTCTTGTAGCAGAATTGTGTGAATGTTTCCTTTTTACAAATTTTAGCGCTTGCCCAGTTTTGTTCATAAGGATATGGAAGCTCTGTTTGTTGAAGAGCAGCAGGCAGCCATCAACCAGCTGCGTGCCAACTTGGAGAGTCAGCCTGTGACAAAGGGATTATCTGACTCTAAAATCTACTCATTCAACAAAAACAAGGGGTGAGTTAGAGTGGCACAGGAATACCAACATACAGAAACCCTCTCTGCCCCATTAAACAAATACAGATGACTCCTAATGACTTGATCCTTCAAGGGAAATAAAAAATGTATGAGTTATTGGGAGTTCAGCGCAAATAACTGTGGACAAGGGAAAAAAGGGTTTACAGAGAATTACATTTAATTGTGGTGGTGGCTGGCAATTGCAGGGCAGTTTAAACCTTGGGGCTGAGTTCAAGGGCAGCAAGAGATATTTTGTCATTTTGAAAAAGGGACTGATCAGTAAAAATGACACGGTTGCTATGAAATAAATTCTTTTTTTCCTGACTGCAGTACCCGGTTTTTTTTCCTACTTGTAACATGCTTAAAACATGGTTCGAATTATCAAGGGTAAAAGTATATGGAAAAATTTCTGCAGGAGGGCATGCCCCTGGACCCCCCTAGAAACTCCTGCATCCAACGCTCGCAAGTTGTGGCAGATAACCACGTATGTATCTTAACCCTTACAGCTGTAAGTCTCATGAATGAGCAGCAGCAATTTTCTCCTAAAAATATCTATCCATAGACAACAGAAAAAGGTCACAAAAATTAACAAAAATAATGATCACCTAAGGAATTAAATGCTTTGATATTTTATCGAATTCTCAACAAATTTTTGAAGGAATGTATGGAGATTAGTCGAAAGAATTTGTTTATTTTTATATAAACCCTTAAGTTCCAATAGTGACCAACATAAAATTTCTCCTAACATTATCATACATTTTCAAGAGATAAGGTTATGAGACTTAATAAAATGATCACTAAAGAGAAAATGCCTGGATCTTTCATTAAATTCTCTCAACTAATTCTTAAAGGAAATGTATGTAGATGACTTTGGAGAATTTGTACCTGTATATTAGGGCTTAAAGGGTTAAGGATAATGGAACTTAAAGGGGGAAAGGGAGTTGACTGTATTAACCTTTTAAGCCCTAAGGGTGATCAGCATCAAATTTCTCCTTGCAATATCAATGCTTTGTAAAACAGAGTGGTCATGAGAATTATGGACATGATCACACAAGATGAATTTGCTTGATTTTTTATCAACTTCTCTCCACTACTTCTGTAGGAAATGAATAGGGGCAACAAATGAGAATTCAAATGTTGATCTTAGGGTCTGAAGGGTTAAACTACTCAGACCTTCTTTTTGAAGATCATGGTAAAAACTTTTCAGGGGCCAAAACCAAATATTAAAAACAAAATCTAAAAAACTTCTGGCATGGTTCCTAGCTAAAACAAAAATTGCCCTACTTGCTGCAAGACGTGGCCATGTCAGTAAAAATGAGAAAAAATTAATATTGAGGCAGTGCTAATTGGTTTGCAGACGGATATTGTGTCTCAATATGAGCCATGCTTGTTTTAGAAGAAAATGAATTGAAATAGCCATTGCTGAAGAAATTAACTGCTAGTGCCTCGTGAAGACTGACATGAAGGCAAATATCTGTCTTATTTAAGCAATAGAAAACGTTTTCCGTGTTTGTATAGCCTGATATAAACACGAGAGGGGCTGGGAGAATTCGAGACAGTTATGCAAACCCAAGACGAAGTCGAGGGTTTGCATAACTGTAACAGTATCTATGCAAACACGGGAAAAAACTTTTCTATTGCTTTTATAAAAAAAACTTTCCTGAGAAAAAAACGCAAAACTCTTTGTATGGCACTGATTAAAAGAGAAATTCTTACCAGTCGCAAAATCTTGTCCACGAAGTCTTGCACGCGTAATCAGCTCTTGTTTTGCAAAAAGATTTTTGTTGCTTAAAATGTCAGCTTAAGCGAAGAAAAATTGACTCACCCTCTTTGTAACGATTTTCCATGTTTCAGCCGACGTTTTGAACTCGAAAACTTTTTCAAATTCGTGCTGGCATGATTAGCGTGTGAAAAGCCAAACAACTTGACGACACAACCATGTTTACATACTCTCATGCAAACACTCCTCTCGGCCAATCAGGGCGCGCATACTATCTTAGTTATTTTATAGAATGAATTATCTAATGTGTGCTTGGTTTGTAGCTCAATGCAGTTAAACTTCATAATATTCTTACAGACAAATATGCTCTGATATATGTCATTGAACACCCCTGATCATGGTCCAATATTTGCTTTGATTCAGTGATGCATGCACATGTATAATCCAGTGTTCCAGCCGGAAAATTCTGCTTTAGGGTCAAAGTGGCCCCTACAACCCATTTTTGGGGGCCAGATTTTTCAAGAAAGGGCCAATGTACCAGTATCTTTCGAACATACAAAAGAGAAGAAACAGTTCGGAAGTTAACTAGTAGTTTAAGAAAATGAAAATGATAATTTATTTGAAGCTGACATTAGGAGCGTTCCTTTTTTAACACACAATAGAGTAAATATTCGGCAATAGAGCAAACAGTTACGAACAATCAGAATGTATGCAATAAAAATAGTAATTTTATTCATTGCTGAATCATGCATCACATTACGTTGGAATTATTTTCATATGAGCTTGTTTTTGATCCAGTTCGTTTCCTCAGGTCCGCTATACCAACTGCATTTTCCACTTCACCTTCAATATCTTCTTCCTTTCACTTCTTCTGAACTGCTTCGCCACCATCCACTTTTTCGTTACTTACTGAAAAAAAACTTTCGACAGACCTCGAAGATGCATTTGTCAGGTTTAAACTTTTTTGAGATGCCATGATGGATACCCATGAGCTCCTGCGATATTACAAAAACCAATTCGAAGCTATTGGCTGATTTGAAAAGATTCATTGATTGATTTTCATGTTGTGTTAAAAGCTGCAGAATTGTCGTTCTTTAGATTAACAATTCTGTTTAATTGGAAAATTATTGTAGTTGAAGTAACAGAGACATTTTTAAGCTCGGGGAATTAAAAAAGGAAATGGCCATCTCTCAATCTCTTGCGGGATTTTTGCAATGGCGCCCTCTGGCTGGAAGACTGATAATCCTGACCTCTGTAACGTGGACACCTTTGTAATGACATCCGTTTGCACGATCTGTTCCTTTGCAGATCTGCCCTAAGGAGGGATGATCTTGGGCATGGATAAATTCTGCTTGTGAAATTGTAGCTTTTTCTGTCTGCTGGCAACACTCATAAAAATCACTTCATCTGCTTGAAACACTGCTTGGACACCTTAATTCTGCTCCAAAAAATTTTTCTGCCTTTCCATGACCTTTTGTACAATGTATTGCAACTATGAAAAGGAATCATTAGGTCTAACCCTGAATAGTTATTACATATTTATGATGAACTCATCTTTCTAGGTATAATATCTTATATTAATTAAAAGAAACCATGTGTAGCTAATTGAAAAGCTGTCACAGTTAAGTTTTTGTTTTATTTCTTAATTATAAGTATTGTGGAAATTCAAAGAAAAAATTGGTGTTGTGCAGCAAATCCAACGGTGTTTTTGGGAATAACTATTCATAATTAATTTTTCCCCTTTTTGTGAGGAAATTCAGCAAGGTCAGAACAAATCATTTTTGTACTCACTGTTATTTTTATTTTTAGACAGCACACCATTTCTATCGCTGAAGTTGCTAATGAGGAGGATTCAAATCTTTCCAAGTCTGACGTCATGCTCAATTTTACCATTGAGGTACTGTATGTCTTAACTCTTTAAGTGCCAATAGGGACCAAAAACAATTTTCTCCTAATAATATCCATACATTTTCAAGAGATAAAGTTATGAGAATTAATAAAATGATCACCAAAAAGAAAATGCCATGATCTTTTATCAAATTCTTTCAAGTAATCCTTAAGAAAATCCCGGGGGGGGACTCCCATATGAAACAGACGGGGATGCTCGTCAGAAATTTGAAATTTAACCCCTAAAGGAGACCATCTGGGCGTGGGTCAAGCTTTTTGTGACCCCTAAAGGAGACCAATCTTGGCGTGGCTTAAGCAAATTTTGACCCCTAAAAGAGACCGCTTAAAAACACACAAATACGACATGCAATGAGTTTTAATGATATAAAGACATAATCATCGAATGCTTTTATCTAAAAGTAGTTTTAAAAGCATTGTCACAGAGGTAATGCAGTAAACATAACAACTAAAAAGACAAATTGACTTCTGTTTCTCTTCGCGTAATTCTGTGTTTCTTCGCGGAACCCTAAACGAGACCTTAGCGCCTTAAAATATTGGCGCTTTGCCCGGAACACCCTAAGCGAGACCAAAATCCAAAATTTACACCCCTAAGCAAGACGACGAGCATCCCCGTCTGTTTCATATGGGAGTCCCCCCCCCGGGAGAAAGTGTATGGAGATCAGTTCGGAGAATTTGTATGTGGATATTGGGGCTTAAAGGTTTAATGTAACTGCAGGATTATCCTTGGTCTCATTGTAATGGCCCAATATCCACATACAAAATTCTCTGTACTAACCGCCATGCATTTCCTTAAAGAATTACTAGTTCAGGGAGTGGTGCTATTTATTTCTTAAGATTTTATGAAAGAAATTTAATTTTTTCACCACTATAAGGATTGAAAGGATAAATCAAGCACAAAGCTAAGACAACCTCATTCCCCTCAACTTGCTTTGTCTGTAAGGTTCCAAGAAATCATCTTGATTGGTAAACAAATTCTCCTTGTCAGTACCTCAGGAAATATATGGAGATCTGTGTGGAGAAGTGGTTAAGCAAATATCAATTTGTTTCTGGAACTCTGTTGTTGATGTTACATTTTGTACATGCTTGAATCATGCATGATAAAAATAGAAGCCAAGGTTTTTGCAAGATTCAGAGATCATTTGACGTTTGGAGATCACTTGGTTTATGATTAATTTGTTTGTTTGTTTGTTGTTTGATTTTTTTGCGTTTTAACAGGTTATTGTGGTAGAGGCAAGAGGACTACACAAGAGTCTTCCATCTGTTAAGATTGTGTACTGTACTATGGAGGTAAAACTAATGATGCAAAAATTAAGAATTATGAATAGGGGTATATTTTTTTTTCTTGGTCTTAATAAATTATTCCAAACAAGAATAATTAATTGAAATGAGCCATGAAAAACTCAACTACTGGTATGCTATAGGAACAGCTTTCCATTTCAAAAACCGCAAACCACTGGGAATGTTTCAGGTGAAAGGTCACATAAACTTGTCTGCACTTTTAGACAACTTTTAATATCTTCATATCAGAAACATTTGTTTTGTTAAAAAGCCAAATGACCAGTGAAAATTAAAATAAAATAAAGTAAAAAAAATATATAAATTTTGTATTTATGTTTTTGAGTAAAGTCTTATCCTGGAATTCATGCACAACTGACTGAACACTACATCCAGTGTGTTAACTGTTTGTTAATTAGGAAGATTTTGTATTTGTGAATGCAGGAAAAAAACCTTTCCAGGAGAAAATTAACCCCTTGGATAAAGGACCAACTTTACAGTTGGAGATAAAATTTCTTTAAGGGGGCATCCCTAACTATTTTGAGACTAAGTATTTCATGGCTGCATGGAGATACTTGTATACAGTAATTTTTAATTTTCTCTTCGAGTGTAATAATTTCATGCTAGAAAATGTTTTTCAACACTCAAACAGAAATTTTGTATCTCCAAGTGGCCCTAATAATATTTATTATGTTCTATTAATTTTTTTAATAAACACCAACGAAAGGCCAAACTATTTAACTGAAATAAATTTTTACAGCAAAAGGCACAAATTATTATGAAACCATAGCAGTGTTGATCTTTCCACACGTGTGAAAGCTCACCGGGTATTTCATTGGTGTTTATGATTATCAGGGCTGTTACCAAGATTTCAAGCTGCCGGGTAAATACAACAAGTAGGTGGGGAATCAAACAGCTAGGGATTCCTGTTGGTTCTATTTTTCTTCTGCAGGTGTATTTTCCTATGAAAGTAGCCAGAGGCCATGTTCATAGTAGCTGGGGGAAATCCCCGGCCCCCTCCTCTTAATGACAACCCTGATTATCATTTTTGTTTCTTTGTAAGGTGGAAGGTGGTGAGAAATTTCGAACTGAATATGCTGAGGCTGGGAAACCTGTGTAAGTAACTTGTAAAAGAGAGAAGTACAGCTGTACCTGAGTTTGGTCAATAATTAGTTCGTAAAAAATTGTAATACACAGTGTTCTCACCAGGATTTTGCCTTGGGGAGTCCCAGGGCCCCCTCTTCTGAGAAATAGGGGCCCTGTAAGAAAATTAGGGGGACAAAGTTACAAAAAACACGCGGTACGAAGAACCTGAGCCCGCACTCCAAATTGTCTGTTACATGAAGTACCTACCTGATCCAATATGGCGGAAGAGGTGTTTACGATTCGGAGGAGGAGTTTACGATGTAGTGGGACGTGCGTGGGACCAATGAAAGTAAAGGCAACAAAATTAAAGACTTTGACTCATTTGATACCATGTTTTTTATTTATTCAAACAAACAGAATGCTTTAGTGGTAGGTTGACCATTAAAACTACTTAAGTCCGTTTGACTCGTAGCTTGCCCCTGCGCCCCAACGGGCACATCTTCTTGGTTTTAATGCGCCATTTCAGTTTTTCTTGCGGGAATCCCGCAAGGCCGCGGCCTGGTGAGAACACTGAATACATGTTTCTTTTACAACGGTAATGGTGACAATAAATAAAGAAATATATTATTCCTTTATTTAAACTTAGCAGACTGTGTATTCGGCACTATGTTTGTTGGGCTAAGAGAATGGCCAAAAGAAATGATTTATGTGAAACACAAACAAGGTTAAAGAAAGCGAACTAGCCAGAGCAAAAACCGTTGGCTGTAGTCAATGATTTGAACTCTGAACTGCCAAGAAAAAACTTCAGCTCATGGTCAGAGCAGGTATGAACTTGGGACCTGCAGATTGCTCTCGATCACTTAGCCTCTAACTAAATTAAAATAAAATAATAAAAGTAAACAATGATTTAGAGACAGTGCTTCCACTTGTTGTTCTTCATCTGCCTGATCCATGTCAGATTGCAATTTGGAAATTTTAGTTTATGAGGAGAAAGTACCTGAAAAAAACCTCTCGGAGCAAAGGGGAGAACCAACAACAAACTCTACCCACATACACTTCCATAGGTAATATAGGGGTTGACGTTGTGATGTGAATCAGAGCCACTTGGTGGGAGGCACTTGCTCTAACCTCTGAGCCACCCTTGCTGCCTCTACATAATTTATACTTACAAGCAATAATTGCTTGTGATTACTCTGTATCTGTTACTATATATTTTGGTTATAACTATTATTGTTATTATTATTTTAAAAATAATTACCATTGATATAATAGTAATAATAATAATAATTATAATAATACTACTAATAATAGTAATAATAATGTAATAACAATAATATAATTTACATGTATTCTTTGCACAATGGTCAGCTGCTGTATTTTTTATCTGCTGTAGCTGGGAATCCCAGGGAGATTTTACTACTTGTCATCCCCGTCCTGTTGTTAAAGTCAAACTCTATGCTGAGAACACAGGAATTCTTGCTCTTGATGATAAAGAGCTAGGAAAGGTAATAAGGATAACAACTGCATTGTGACTTGGCAATCATCTTTGTTCAGTATAAAAACTAAGTGTAGGGTGCACAAGTTTAATATTATTAATATTACCAATATTATTATTATTATTATTATTATTATTATTATTATTAAACTCTTCTCAAATTGAAAATTAAGTACAAATTTAGTATAACTATAGTTAAAAAAAGACTTCTTGGTGGTCTGGTGGTTTTCAACAGAGCAAATGTAAACAACTGTCTATAAACTAAAAAAAAAGAAAATTTCTATGTTCATCCCAATGATAAATATAATAATTATTAAATTTTACTATTTACAGACTCAAGAATATGAAATATTAAAATATATACCCTATGTACATTCTTCTTGTGTACGAAAGAGAATCATCGTAAAATCACTATCTAAAGACTACTAATAACAATTATAGAAAGCATCAAAAAGTTAATAAAAAAAAAAAATTATTATTATTATTATTATGTCATTATACAGCTGTATGTCATTATTATTATGTTATTGTTATAAAAATAAATTAAAAATAAAATTTCTTGAACACCTCATTGCCTTTAATTAAAAAAAAAGATTATTACAACAAATTATATCATGGTGTTCCTGTCCGAGAATTTTGCAATGCTTGTGAGCATAAATAATTATACCAGTGGTTCTGCATACTGCCACTTAATCTATCTTTTATTAGTACAACTTTATTTTATCTCTTTGAAATTCCTGGTGTGAAATCTAAACTCTCTAATGAAAAATGATAAATTAAAATAATATTAAAGTATTCTTTTAATACAATCGTTCTCATTATCATCGGCATTAGCATCTTCAATGTGGTCGTAATAATAATGTGACATTTCATGCCAAAATTAAGGAGTATGTACATGTTTGATTTGTCGCCCATGACATTATATTGTTGTTAATAATTTCTGCCAGGTAATAATAAAGCCAACACCTGGTGGTTCTGAGCTTCCAGAACTGTACGATGTTGTGACACCAAAAGGTGCTACTGGAGACAAAATTAAGCTAAAAATTGCCGTCAAGATGGACAAGCCTGGAAATCTCAAAAAATGTGGGTAAGTTATTGATGGAGCAAAGAGAGAATAGTAAGGTTGTTCAGGGTGCAAAGAGAACCATTTTTACAGCTTGCCATTCGGGTAAGCTGAAGCTGCCATTTACTAGCCCAGATGTCATTTCAACTAGCCCAAAAACTTTTTGACTAGCAGAACTGATTTCATAGTTCTTCTGTTATTCATATTCCACAAAAAACATCACTTGCCCGTCGGGCAAGTTAAAAACAGAATTCACTAGCCCGATAGCAAAATCAACTAGCCCGGGCTATCGGACATGTACTTTCTTTGCACAAAATCTCAGTGACAGACAATATAGTAAGATTTATTTTAGTATTGGCCTTTTTAGATTATCCATCGGTAAAAATAAAGAAGGCAATAAGCAGTTGTGCAAATTTCAGTGCAAGAATGTAGTAAATGTGGATGGACGTGTTTTTATCGTAGAGCAATAATAAGCAATGTATGCATGTATGTGTTTTTGTAAACCCTAATTATTTAGTCTTACATGATCACAAATGATATAATTATTCATAACCCTAATTTAATATTATTATTATGGTTAGGGGACAAAGGTAATCAGGAATCTAACTAGTTTGAAACCATAATAAATTGATTAATAAATTAATCAATTATTGACCTGAATATTATGTCATTTTGAATCACATCATATGAAAGAAACTGTTGCTACCATGCATCTACAAACGTCTCTTGAATTTTTGCCACTGAGACGTTGTCTTATTTCTGCACCTCTAAGCAAAGGTGTCCTCTAAGAAAACGTTCAGGGAGCTCTAAAGTGCAAAACCTATGCAATCTAAGGTGCCCAGCATCAAAGATTGGTTCAAGAACAAAGATTGCTTTGTCACGTAATTTTCCATACCTGAAAAAGTCTTGAAAAGCTAAAGCAAGTGCTTGGTAAATGAATTTCTTCCCTTTGGTAAAATAATTATTCCATCTCTTTTCACCTGTGGCCAATTAAGACATTCATTACAGAATGAGAAGTTTCAGAAGTCTCTTAAGTCCGCATTATTGGGGAGGGATGCTTACTGTACATACATTTGCAGTGCACCATGAAAAAAGCTTGGTTCCAATGATTTCACTTGCGTGTATTTGTTAACCTTTAGTCTGCAAAAATAAATTTTTTTTGTTGTGAAAAAAAGTCTGGAGAAAGACTTAAATTATTTTTGGATCCATAAGTGTGTATGAGTCTTCCAAGATCACAGTTTCCAAATATGTTTTTGTACAATTATACAGATTTAAGCTTAATTGATTCATAATTGCCTTGAGAGAAAAGCAGATTTAAACGCCTATAAGAGCAACACCCACAATTTTGCTTGAGAGATACTAGGATTTAGATCAGATTTACAGAATTATTGTCTAATTGAAGATTAGGTTTCTTCTTGTTGTTTCAAGGACTTATCTTTATCTCTGCTAATATTTTCATGTTATTTTATTAATTTTTGCTTTATTTAGGAAAATCTATGCAAAGGGAAGAAGTGTGTGGAAGAAATGGAAAGAGCGTTTCTTTGCTCTTGTTCAGGTATTTTTTAGTTGTGGTTTTAGAAGTTTTAATCACTTACTAATCACTAAGTACAGGCTTTTGTTACCTTTTGGGTGTGTTGTTAAAAATATCTTTGAGTCTGTGGATGAAACCCTAAAGTGTTACCATTCAAATCAAAGCTACTGAGCAGTACTTTCTTGTGGTACTGTTTATTATGCTGTACAAGGTGATTCTAACTTTTGAGTATTATGCTGTATAAGGTGGTTTTACCCTTTTAGTCTGTGGATGATCATTAAAGCCTAGAGTGTGACCATTCAAATGAAAGCCACTGAGCAGTATTATACTGTGGTATTGGTTATTATGCTGTACAAAGGTGGCTCTAACTTTTGAGTCTGTGGGTGAAATCCTTCAGTGTGACCATTCAAATGAAAGGTTACTGAGCAGTTCTTTCCTGTGGTACTGTTTATTATGCATCATTTGATTCATCTCAAAATTAGTAAGATTTTTTTCCATTTATGCCATATTTCTTTTATATTCAGGTCAGCCATTACACATTTGCAATATGCAGTTATCGTGAAAAGCAAGCTGAACCAACAGAAATGATGGAACTAGTCGGTTACACTGTGGACTATTGTGAGGCAATCAATGGTACGTAATCAAAATCCACATAGAAACTCTCCAGACTGCTCTCCATACATTTCTTTTAAGAATAGTTGAGAGAATTTGGTTTGAGATCAAAGTATTCTCCCTTTGGTCATCAATTTAGTAATTCTCATAACCTTTACTCTCGTTGATCTGCTGATGTTGTTAGGAGAAAATTGATGTTGGTCACTCTTGGACCTAAAGGGTTAATGGAGAAGGGGGAAACATTTAAGTACATGGGTGGGCAGGGTTCCATCTATGGTATTTGAGGGGTAGAAGCTTCCCCCCCTCCAAATGCCTATCGTCCCCCCAGGTATATTGTTATCATTACAGTATATAAGTAGCTATATTGGAAAAATCATCCAGATGCAACGAGGTCAGTGCATGTGAAGTAATTATAGTATTCCCTGTCTAAGGACACTATGTGACGAGGAACATGATCACGACTACAAAAATTAAAATAAAATACCACTGTAACATTTCTCAAAATTGTCTCAAAATGCACCAGTACATATTCATTTCATCATACTACTACATGAGAAATTTCTGCAATTTGATTGGCTTAGAGCAGTGGTATTTCAGCTTAATTTGAAATACCTACAGGTGAAAATTACAACCTTTTGCTGGGGTTAATTTAAACAAGTAATAGCATGATTTGTACGTGATATTTGGCATAAATACCACTCGTGATATTTCAAAATTGTCTCAAATTTCACTCGCCTAACAGCTCGTGAAATTACGTATAACAATTTTGAAATATCACTCGTGGTATATAGCCAAATACACTACTAATCATGCTATTACCTATACAAAAATTTCCAGGTGCATGCCATCAGATCCCGCTAGGAAGCTCGTGGCTTTCGGCCACTCGGGACTTCTCTCCCAAACGATAAATCCTAGATAGAACCCTGGTATGCGTCAAAGAAAAGTGGTTACGTGTGCAGGTTGGGTTTAAAAGGAGATTTAACCCCCCTCCATAGGAAGAGGCTGAAGGCCCCCTTGGGAAAAATTTAGTTTTAGGTCGCCTGATTAGTGCAGTGCGGTGCATTTTGAGTGACCAGGGAAAGAATTTGAGGTGCAAGAATAGCACTCTTTCTTATGTGCATTTAGTCTATTAAATAGAGTTGTTGTCATCCAATGAAGTTTAGTTAAGGAACAAATACATGTACCACAGATTCATTTTTCTCCATAAAATTGAAAAAATTATTTTCTGCAAGTATGTGGAGCTTCCGTGTTTCCCATGTATAAAGGGAATCCAAGCTAGACAGTCTTGGATTCTGTATTCCATGGCGAGGATTCCAGGTTCCATTTGCTGGATGCCAGTTTTTTTTTCAGTGGAACTTGGATTCTGGATTTCAATCATTAGTGGTTTTCTGGATTCCTTGAGCCGTATTCCAGATTCCATGGTCCAGGATTCCGGATCCAACAAGCATAAATTTCCCGGATTCTGGAATCTGGGTTCCCTTACAGACTGTACATGAGGCAATCCGGGACAACTAGACAGCATTTATCACTGGTCGCTGCGGCTTCCAGAGAAATCTGGATATTTTCTTCTTTGGCTTAATAAATATTGTGATCATTTTTGTAGATGAGGAGCACAGGGGAGGAAGATTTTTCTTCAAAGCAGTTAAAGAGGGAGACCAAGTCTTGTTTGCAACAGAAGAAGAACTTGAACGTCAGATTTGGGTCAATAAACTCTACACGGCAACAGGACAGTCACACAAGCCTGTTGCTCCAAATCTCTCTGCCGTCAGTGTTCAACCACATGTTAGTAACACACTGACAAGGCTTCAAGGAGGTTGGTCGCGTTATCATTGCTTTTTTAGAAACATTTATTATTTATTCAAAATTGTTCACCGTTTCTTACTGGCTCCAATCCCCAGTTAATTATTATATTCTTCATGACTAACTGGCGCTTGCTATAATTTTTTTTTTGTTATTTGAAAGAATGCCAGCAATATACATCGTATCATATTGAAAACAAGGTTGATCGATGGTATATTTGCCTGGAAACGAGGCTGCTCGGGCAATAATGAATTGAAACAAATGGCGCTCTCAGTTATGATCCTATCCAGAGACAAAAAAGCTGAATTTATGACTAAATCTGAACAGAAGAAATGCAAGAATGTACAAAACATACTTATGCCTTGATGGACGTTACATCTATCTACTTTTTGAGGAGTGTCATCAAGAAAAAAAAACATCTGTTTATATACTGAAATAGGCCAAAGTTCTGAAGAAAGTACAAGAGGAGATAAGCTTGTCAAGTACTTAGATATATTTATTGAGTTCGGCTTTTGTATGATGTGAAGAATAATCTTGGAGGCTGTTATCCACCTCTGCCTGATTATTAACATACTCCTCGATCTGCATTATTCTTCACATCATAAACAGTTCAGTTAAATCCAGTGTTTTTTTGCTAAATATTCACTGGTTTTTTTTTTAAGATCATGATCGTGCCAGAAAGCATGGACTTGATGATCTGATTCAAGCTGAACCCAGCACCTTTAATCACCACGTGCTGTTTGAGAAGCTTCAATATCTTACACTGACGCACAGACTCAGTGACTCTTACTCCTGCCTGGTATGACATGTTGCACTTCTGTTACAGCAATGCACTGCTCAGTAGCTTTCACTATAACTGTAGAATTCCCTTTACCGACGAGAAAGTTAGAACGTGATTGCTCTGCAAAGTAAACAGTACCACAAGACAGTTCTGCTCAGTAGCTTTCATTTGAATGGTCACACTTACTTTAAGTATTACATCCACAGACTCAAAAGTTAGAACTACCTTGTACTCCATAATAAACAGTACCACGGGAAAGTACTGCTCAGTAGCTTTCATTTGAATGGTCTCACTTAAGGATTTCATCCACAGACTCAAAAGTTAGAACCACCTTGTACACCATAATAAACAGTACCACGGGAAAGTACTGCTCCGTAACTTTCATTTGAATGGTCACACTTTAGGATTTCATCCACAGACTCATCCACAGACTCACTGCCCATTAACACAACAAACATCCTTAAAAAGACATTCAAGCTACATCGAGACCCCGCAATCGAAGAACAATGGGGAGCTTAAGCAATAAGGACAGCGACGGTTACGAAAACGTCAGTCAAAAAGTGTGTTCGCGCTGCTTTAAACTGTGTCGCGCTTATTCCATCTCGTTGTTTACATCAGATGTTGGCGAATTTTTCTGGAGTTGAATTCTAAAGAACTGTATTACAGTCAAACCATATGGGCTATATAGGTATGTGCCGCTGTGAAGGGTATGGTTTGCAAGCAGTTTACTCTAGGATAGGGTATATAAATCAGAGGGTTTGGGTCTAGAATAGGGTATCATTTTTCAGGAAACTGATCAGTTGGTTGAAGATTTTATGTAGACTAGGGATTGTGGTATAAGGTTTTGTTTTGGCTAGACTACTGTGCTAGTGACCTCAGTAGTTTCTGGAAAACACTACTCTAGGATAGGGGGGATTTGGGCAGTTTACTCTAGTATAGGGTAGCAAAATTCAGCTGAACTAGCTCTGGCCAGGGTCCCAGCGGCACATCCCCACCCAGAAATTCCTAAAGTACCTGCCCGGGAACGACGGCAATGAAAAGTACAAAAAAGCGTGATGCACGTGCAAAGTTGTGTTTTTGCCAATCTAATCCTAATGCTTTTTTTGCCGTCCTCGTTGCCGACGCCGTCGTCGTTGCTTAAACTCCCTATTGAGTTCCACCACAGTACGGGATATTCGTTTGTTGAATAGAGGAAGAATGGAGATTTTAAAGGGGTAATGACACGCTATTTGCTATCAGTTTTAAAACTATTCAACTCATATCTTCGCATTACTTTAAGTCCAAAAATAATGGTCCAGTGTTGTTCTTTAAGAATATATTTTGGCATAAAAACTGTTCCCTGTCTTCTGTTGCAACAGATGACAAGGATAGACGTGGATTTAAACTTGAAAAATTGGGCCAACTTTTTCAAGTTTTAATGCTATGCATGCAAAAACCACTAAAAAAAAATATTATGATTAGTGCTTCCTGATGAAGTTTGTTCGATATAATGTTATTCATAACTCTACAGAGTAATGCCCTTTGCACAGAATTGACCTAAAACAGCAAAATCCTTTTGATATACTCCTCTAAGCAAAACTCAAATGCGCCTTTTTTGTTGTTGTTGTTTCTGTACAATTAGGGCTGGTTTTCTCCGGGCCAAGTGTTCGTACTGGACGAGTACTGCGCGCGTTACGGCGTACGTGGCTGCCATCGGCATCTAAGCTACTTGACGGACTTATTAGACAGAGCAGAAGCTGGGATCATGATCGACCCCACCCTTCTTCATTACAGTTTTGCGTTTTGTGCGTCGCATGTTCATGGGAACAGGTTTGTAGCTTTGACCGCAAATTGTACTTTAAAAACGAGGGGGAGATTGGGCCGAATAAACTTTTGCAAAGACTTCTGGATATGTTGCCAGGGACAGGAAAAAAATGGCCAATAGCTGACCGTCGCGTCTCCAGTGACAATCCCAGAAACAATTTCGGGACGCATTTCGGTTCCAGTTCCCTTCTCGGTTTTAAAGCGGCGAATTCTGTCCTCGTACATCTACTACAATTTACGTTTAACCAGTTTTGCAGGTAGTTTTACTTTCACACGTCTTAGTTTTGTGTGGTTGTGTCACTTTTGAGACGTTGAACTTCAAGGCCTAGTAAGTTATCAGCACTTTTGCTAGCGCGATACTTGCATTTTTTGCTCACGTGTTATCCAGGTTTTCAGGGAGTGCAATGGAGAGTAGTGTGACGTCACGTTACCATGGTAGCAAAATTTCTGGATCTCAGCATTACTTCTTGAGATAGACGGCCATTTGCATCGTTGGACGATGGACGAAAAGTATTGGCTACAGTTTTGTTCCTGAGTGCAATACTGCACGAGAAAGTCATAAATTTCATTTTTTTTTAGTTCTTCTTGAGTTTTCTGCCATATTTGCAGGAGCACGGTTTGTTGAGATCCAGAAGTTTTACTGCCATGGCAACGAGACGTAACGACGGCGTCTCTTTGTACAGTGAAAGCAACGCGTGACAACCAACGATTAGACCCAAGATTAAGATTTTAGATGCTTCATGGATTTTCATACTTTCTCGCTCCGTTTCGTAACGTGAATTATTTTTCTCTTTCCGAGTTGGTATACGGTGTGTTTTGTTGAATTGGAATCGTTCAATTTCCTCTTTAGGCCTGATGGCATTGGGACTATTACTTCTGATGAAAAAACTTGGTTTGAGGAAATTAAAGTTCGTCTGTGGAATCTACTGGCTTATCAAATAACTCATTACAGGTGAGTGAGAAGACTGAGTTCATTTACTTGTGTGTGGGTTCCTTGTGGCGGTATGCATTTTCACCTACATTTATACCATTTTGAAATATGCCCAAATTTTCATTTTGAAAAATAATGCAAAACTAACAGAATCATGTAAAAGTATTGCCTATTGTTCATTTAAATGGGCACACCATACGATGTTATCCTCGTACTGAAAGGTCAGAATCACCTTGTACAGCATAGTAAACAGCACCACAGGAAAAACGTACTGCTGAGTTGCCTCAATTATCACATTTTAGGATTTCATCCACAAACTTTTCGGGTGAAGACCGCAGCATAGATCTCATTTTTTTCTGTTCCGTTTCCTTCCAGATATTCTTTTCCATTTGGACGTCCTGAAGGAGCCTTGAAAGCAACGCTTTCTTTATTTGAAAGGGTAATCCGAGTTTTCAGTTTCACTGCTGTTTTACTGGAGCGTAGTGGTATATTGCGGGGGGGGGGGGTCTGCCACTAGCATATGGACTTTGTTGGTATGTGTCGCTCTAAACTGTATGGGGGGATAGGGTATATGAGAGTTTTGGCCTAGGATAGGGTACCATTTTCCAGGAAACGGATTAGTTCATTGAGGATTTTAGTCTAAACTAGCGAAACTGGAAATTGACACTAAAAATTAAATCGGCAAATTTAAATTAACCCGCAACAAAGTTTAATAGCAAATAATTCAGGGTTGTCATTAAGAGCCGGGGGCCGGGGATTTTCCCCGGCTACTAAGAGAGTGGCCCCCGGCTACTTTTAATGGAAAATAGAAGAAAAATAGAACCAAAACAAATCCCTAGCCGTTTGATTCCCCGCCTAGTTGTTGTATTTACGCGGCAACTTGAAATCTTAGTGACAACCCTGAGCAAAGAAAGCATCGCTAGATGGTTATCATTAAGAACACTACTGGATATTATTTACTGCGACTCTGGGATACGGAGGGATTTTGGGAGTTCAGACTTGAACTAGGTCTTGTATAGGCTAAGGTTTCTTGTTTTCCAGTGGCACATCCCCACCAAAAAGTTCCTTATTGTACTCCCGCTCCCCGTCCCTACAAAGTTAAGCCAAATCTGCTTTATGCTTACGGGCTGTAAAAGGTTTTGCCCTGTTCTTTTTCCCTATAGGTTATGATGAAAGATATTTCCACGCCAGTTCCACCCGACGAATTTAGGAAAGAAATTAGAAATTGTCTTCATCAGGCTGCTCTGGTGAACTACACGCGAGTGTCGGCATATGCAAAAATCGAAGGTGGGTCTTTAAGCGTGAAAGAATAGTTCCTGCCTTTTTCTCTCGTTAGTGTTATTGAACCACCATGTCCAACTTTTCATGTACCGAAATTGAGGAGGCAAAGCTCCTTAAAGCTCCTTGATAAGAGGTGTTCGCCGACCGTAATGTCCAATCTTTTTTATATTTTAAGAATCCGCTGGGGATCACGTTCCACCTGACACTAAACTGAATGACATCATGCACTTGGCAGAGCTGTGTATTGATTTACTGCATCAGAATGAGGAACATCACGCCGAGGTAAACAAGAGTTTTAGCAAGGCTTATCGTACACTGTTTTTGGGACGCCGTCAATTATCATAGGGACTTTAAGATCCAACGACGCGACGGCAATGAGAACGTCGCTTTAAAAGTGAATTTGCTTTCTTTCTGCCTTTATCGCAATTATTCCTGCCCTCTTACTTTGACATATGTAGGTGAACCCTCCTGGAGTTGAATTCCTAGGGACCATATCCGAGTACAGAAAGAGAAATTCGATTTCGTCGTTGCTTGTTTACGTCCCCATAAAACACTAAATTAGGCATTTTTCCGTCGTAGTTGTGCAAAAACAGGCAAAGAAATGTACAAAAAAGCGTGATGCACGTGCAAAGTTGTTGTTTTGCTTGTAAAACCTATTGTTTTTTTTTTGACGTTCTTTTTGCCGTCCGCGTCGTTGGATCTTAAAGTCCCTAATAGGTAGCTTAAGCAACGAAAACGGCAAAAAAGCAATAGGTTTACATTAGCAAAACAACGACTCTGCACGTGCGTCACGCTTTTTTGTACCTTTCTTTGCCGTCGCTGCACGACTACGACGACGTGAAAATGCCCATGGAAATATACCTTTAGTGGGGAACATGAAAAAATGAACACAAGATAATGAATTTGTTTTTTTTCACCTGATTTTCGATGCAGTCTTTAAGAATTCAACTCCAGAAAAAATTGGCAACATTTGACGAATTGAACGAGATGGAATACGCGTAAAGTTTGAAGCAGCGCCAGTTAATTTTTTTTTTAGTGACGTTTTCGTAGCCGTCGCCTTCGTTGGTGCCTAAGCTCCAGGTTCTTGGTACAGCGTTTCGTGGCGGCGACTCTTCGTTTAGCCTTTGGATCATTCATTTACCCCTACCGCTCCCCATTTTATTTTTCCACTGATATATCAGTGTGACAGGTGCCTGGTTCCATTGGAGTGGGAGCTCATGGTTGGAAGGCGCGGGTTTGCTAGCCGTGGCGTATAACTCTAGTTTCTCTAGGGACAGACTTTGCCAAAAGAAGAACCTCTAGACATCCTAGGCACCCGCCTCCACTAAGCGACACAGTTGTTAACTGGATATTAACCAGATTTTTTTTGTTGTTGTTTTTTTTTTTGACTTGCTTTTTTTGCAGGCACTTGCGTGGGTGTCGGATCTAATGATCGAGCACCAGGAAATCTTCTGGTCTCTGTTCACTGTTGATATGGACGCCACACTAATTGCTCAACCGCCGGACACTTGGCAGAGTTTTCAGTTGTTTCAGCTGTTGAACGAATATCTGTCTAATGATCGTAAGTGCTTAAAACTATCTTGCTAAAAAGAACTGGGGGTCAACATTCGCTTCCATTATTACTTGGCTTCACACTAGAGCTTCATGTATACTGTAAGTGTACTTTGAACCTACTTTGAGTCTGAAGGGGTTAAAATGTACCCACTTAAACTTCACTTGGTGACCAGGGAAACGTTCGTAGTTCAAAGACGCCGAATTTCGCCGCCAAGTATGGGCTACACCACAGTTAAGAACACACTTGATCAATAGGAAATGGAAGCCACGTGCACGCCACGTGCATGTGCACGTGCAGCGGTTTCAAGATTCTAACGAACGGAGAGTTGACAGCTTTTCCTTTAAGTTACATACTTTGTCAACAAGAGTGAAGCCATGTTCATTTCTACACAGCAACGTAGGATTTCCAAGTGCACTTCAATCAAGTGCTTACTTAAAACAAACTTAGGTTCTAGTGTGAAGCCAAGTATTATCTCAAACTTAATTTCAACGTTTACTTAGAATTTTAAGTGGCTATGTCACGAGGACGTTTTTTTACCGGTCCATTCTGTGACAGAGCCTGTCCTTAGTGTCTTTGCCAGAGTTATGAAGAAGATATCAAACAAAGAGTACAAGCCATAATTTTTTTTGGTGATTTTTTGCCGGCATAACATTGAAACGTGAAAAAATTGGACCCAATTTTTTCAAGTTTCAGTCCATGTTCATCCTTGCCATCCCCAGCAACGGACGACAGGAAACAGTTTCAATGCCTAAGTATAAGCTTAAATGACAAAACTGGACCACTATTTTTGGAATACAATTGATGTGAAGACACGTTTAAGCTTTTTTTTTAAAAAAAAAAAAGAGAGGAAGCAGCGTGACATAGACCCTTTAAACTACTGCTCGTAGCCGAGTGTTTTAAAAATTATTAGCACCACAATTTATTGAAATTGCAAGGCTGAGAATCCTTAGATTCAAACCATGTTTACATAATGGTTCAGTTTTGTCCTTGGTTTGAAATAAAATGTCTTTTGTTTTTGTAAATGATAATGTCTCATGATAAAATTGAAACAAAGGAAAATAAAGTTTAAACCAAGGATAAAATTGAACCGCAACACCTGTATGAAACATTCAGATACACTTTTGCATTTTCTTTTTGCATGTAGTTTTAATTTAAAAGTAAGTCGCTATTTAGGTGTGACTGAGTAAAACTTATATTTAGATTCATTCATTTGTTCACCACGGAATAGGATTTCCGAGTTCAAAAAAACTATCGAGGTTAAGTGAAAACCTTTCTGTGAAAATGAGTTTTATTTCCTTGACAACAAAAAAAGTTATTATCTTATCAATGGCTTTGCACTTAGCCTCGCTTTGAAACAGAGGTTTGGAGCAACTCGCAAACGGCGTATTGTTTTGCTCTTGTTTTCAGCTAACCTCAATCGAGGTAAATTCCATCATCACTTACGAGATGTTTTCGCGCCGTTGGTGATTCGTTACATTGACCTCATGGAGTCATCGATCGCCCAGTCTCTTCACAAAGAATTTCAAAAGGAAAACTGGAATCCTGTTAGGTGAGTTAATCTCGTGACAGTGAACAATTGGGACCTTAAGATCCGAAGACGGCAACGGCAACTAGAACGTTAAAAAAGCAATAGATTTAGGGCCTACTTACATGGAGTTCGGGGACCCCAGGTAGGTGAAGTAACCCGCTAAGGTGGGGTAACCAGCCTGTCCATATAATCTCTCATTTTAATTTGATAACGTTTACATGATAGGTGGGGTGACCCGCCGTATGTTACCTCACCTATCTGGGGTCCCCCACCTCCGTGTAAACAGGCCCTTAATGAGCAAAACAAACGTGCAGCACACTTTCTTGTACATTTATTGCACGATTACGACGTGAAAATGTCTAATTTCTCGTTTCTTGAAGGACGTAAATAGGCCGCCACGAAGAAATTCTCCTTTTCTTTCTGAACTTGGATGTCATCCTTAGGAATTCAACTCTAGGAGAGTTCGCCCACATTTGACAAAGTAAGCGAGTTGGAATAATCGTGATGAAGATTGAAAGAACGCGAGATCGCTTTTTGAACGACGTTTTGGCTGCTGTCACCACCATCGGATCTTAAGATCCCTAATGATTGAGTCGACCATATTTAAATCGAAATACGTTTTACGGCAAACGCCAGATTCAAGTTGAGAATTTCGGAAAATAGAAAATAAGCAGATAAAACAGCTCAAAACAATTCTTATGGATAAAACTGGCGAGAAACAACTAATCTTTAAGTAGAGGTAATGAACAGTAAACGGCAAAGAAAGGAAAAACTTGGTCACGTGGTTTGTCATAAGCGTGACTCTAAATCTCTCTATTTCTTTTCAGAGATGGCTGTCGGGCGTCCGAAGAACTTTTCTGGAAGCTCACGGTGTTACAGCAGTTCATTGCAGAATTAAATTGGCCTGATGAGGTGTTGGCTTCTCATCTCATGAAAAGACTCAAACTGATGGCCTCTGACATGGTGCAGTCGTGTGTCAAGAGGTGTGTAATTAAAAAATGACAGGTATTCGGGTATTTTCACTGTGTCTACTCCAGGAAAATTCGAGCTGAAGCAATGTACCGGTCAAAAAACATTTAGGAATCAAGCGCGGGAAAACCTTGAGCCCGTTGCCAAGCGCGGGAAAGATGGCCTCTGTCAAATTTGCAAGCCCACTAATTTAAGAAAGCTGCTGTTTTTACATTCAAGATCGAGGTCTCCGCCCAGTAAATTTGCAGGCAATGTAACTATCTGTTAACAAAAGAAAATTGACTGGTTTGTTAGCTGAGACCCGCGGTTTTATTTAGTAGACTTCAGGATTCTAATATTTGGCCTGAGGCCCGAAAACGTACCGGCACTTTCAAGAACCGGGCCCCTGTACACGTGAAACGTAGGGTTACCCTAAGGGTTCTTTAGGCTACCCTATCTGCTTACTAGGGTGACGCTCCGAGTAGGGATGAACTATTAGCCATGTAAGTGATAGATACCCCTCCTTGATTGGTCAATACCGGCGGGATCTGTTTAAGTTAAATTAGCACTAAAATAAAAGATTAGCGGTCATCCAATTAACAGATGGGAAAGAAAGCGCTGTAAAGCCACAGAAAAGACTCTAGGGTCACCTGTTAATCCTTTAAGAGTTGAACCTCCCTCCATGTATACAGTAGGCGTATTTTGAGCCGGCAAAAGCTGTTTGTTTATGTTCGTCTCGCTGTACTCACCTTCTTGGATTTTATGCGAAAGAACTCCTCCTCTTTTTTGGAGTATCAACTTTGCGCTTACGCGAGCAAGTAAAATTGGTACGGTTTCATTAATGAAGTACGTTTTTTAATTAAAAATTGAGACGGAGTCTTCTCAAAAATGTTACTTTGATACAGGGTTCGCACGCACCTTGAAAGTCCTTGAAAACTGCAATCAGTGCTGGAAAGTCCTTGAATTTAGATGCTAACATTATAGTTTAAGGAGAACTGCAAAGGAAAAGGAGCAGACACAGAAAAATTACTCGCGTTGTGGAAAAACCAAAAAAGAAATAGACTCAAGGCTCTTTTTTGCATTGAATGGAGTCCTTGAAAAATGGAAAATACGTCCTTGAAAGTCCTTGAAACGTCTATGAATTTTTTGTTCAAAATAGGGTACGAACCCAGTTGGTACTACTTTCAGAACCTTAGTAAATGCTTGTTACCCTTATCTCGCAGAACAAAGGGGTCTTTTGAAAACTGGCTGAAAAGAACACGATTTAGCGTGGAACTAAGGGTTCCCAGGACTGTGTGCGTCATGCTGAATGTTGTCATACACGCTAAAAAACAGGTGAGTGCTGGAAAGAGTTCCTTTTGAGAAGTTAGTCCATATACGTACAAATGTGTGATCCAGTGAAAACCCACGTCTAAGTACCTGGGCCGGGTTGTTCGAAGCTGGGTTAAGGTAACCCAGGGTTAGTGCGAAATTTGAACTCAGATATGAGGGCTTAAAAAGCAAATTCAGTTAAATTCTCTTTGCCTACAATTTGATGATTGGATACTCTAAAGAGAATAGAGAAAATCATCCGAGAGAGTGCTTTTGATAAAAAGAAAACGAACCCCGGGTTAAAATTTAACGGCGTTCGAACAACTGGGCCCTGACTGTTAGTCGAAAATTCGCCAGTTAAGCCCCCTCTATACAAGAACCTGTTTAGCTTAAAAATTGAAATTCTGTGCTGATAAGTCAAAATTCAGGATCCTCTTTGGGGACATAGGTGCCTTATCACTCCAACTGCAATGCAATGGTGTGCAGATTTTAATCTAATACCACAAAATGCTTTTAGCTGCAATTTTTTTTTCATCATTTAATAGACCTCTTTAGCTTGTATGCTTTGTTGTATGCACGTAATTTAAATGAAAGAGTTCTTTAGAATATTATCTTATGACCTACATTGAAAAAAACAAAACTTGCAAGCTAACGTGGCCTGTTGCCGAGCTAATTCCGTTTTCATCTTTTCTACAGTCTCGGTTCCTTTGCGCCAGGGAAGAATCAGAGAATTCAGAAGTAAGTGAAACCTACTGAAAGCTACTCGTTCAATATTTTTCTTCACCTTCATGTCGGGTGCCAAGCTTGTTTATAACTCTTGAGTGGGAAGGAGAAAAGGAGGTCCCGCCTGAATCACGTTAAACCTTTGAGGTCGCCGCAGCCCGAACTTCTGGTCTAGTCAATCTTGTTCTCTCTCGTCAAACTGGTTTTTTCGAGTGCGAGAATCCGTTGATTGATGAACCGATGGTCATTAAAGAACCCGCTGTAGCAAGCACATGGCTATTAGGCCTGGGTTCGAAACTATATCCTCGCAACATGTCGCGCATGCTCAGCAAAGACCTTACTCGATTCATGCCGAGTTGAGTACGCCAATATCGAGCACGTTAGCAGAGTGGTATATTAGGGAGCTTAAGCGGAGGTGTTTTAGACGCTGTTTTAAACGTGAGGCGTTTTCCAGTCTATTTAAAAATGCCTTGACGCTAGCAAAGATGAACTGTTTAGCGTCTTTACTCTACAAGAGACGATTTGCCCCATGGTCAAAACCACTGCCCAACAATGCCAAAAGTCCATTTCCAGTTGATGTGCTTCTTTCAAAAACGCCTTTGCTTAAGTTCCCTATGTTCTCTGTGTATAGCCCTTCCTTCTCAACAACGAGTGTTAAAGTGGAAATACAATCAAAACTTTCGTACCCTGCGAGGTGTGGCGTAGTTTGTCGTTGAGTCCTTATTGTCATAAATCTTCAATTTTAAAATATTTTATTGCCGGAGTTTTATGGAATTCAGTGTAAAAGGGAACCTCCATGACGTGCTTCTGTCTTGTTTATGTACGTTGTAGCGATTTTATTTGGTTAAATTTTATCTACGCTATATGCATTCATCTCTTCTTCTTGTTCCAGTATCGCTATCATTCAGATGTCTACATCTTTCTCAAAGATGTCGTTCAGGAGATGACCTCATCCTTTATCGCCAAGGTAACTATTACTTAAACATTCGTTAGCGGTAGGTTCGAGCTATCGAGGGTTCGAGTTACCGAGGGTAAAATTACAGTAAGTGTAAGAAGGAAATCCAGGGGAAATCGATTTAGGGTTAGCGCGAGGTTCGAGTTAGCAAGGGTTCGAGTTATCGGAAGTCAACTGTATATGATGAAGGAAACTACAGTCTGAGACAGAAGTTCAGTTATACCTCCCCTGCGGCGTATTAATTTCAAAATAAGGTGATGTTTTTGCTAACGATTTTCATAATTCTCGACGAACCTCTTTTGAGCGGCCAACTTCACGTAACCTCCATCAAGCGACCACTTGTTGGTGGCCCAAGGGTGACCCGTTTATGGCGGTTAAACTGTATTTACTCGTGAGATCACTCATTCGCGCACGACGAGCTGAAGTGTTACGTTGTTTTTCAGCTCAACAGTGTGTTGGAGTCGCTGTTGTCCAAAGTAGCTCGATATGATCAGGGATCCATCTTGGCCCCCATGTTTTCACTTATGGTATGTATTGGACTGCGTGGCAGGCGTCAGAAGGAGAGGGAGAGGAGGAGGGGAGGAGAGGGAGAGGGAGAGAGGAAGAGAAAAAGGGAGAGGGGAATGCGCTTTTCTCCCCCTCCCCCTCCCCCTCCCCCTCCCCTCCCCCGCTCTCTCCCGTCTATTTGCCTGCCACTTCCTTCACATTTTCAATAGGTTTGTCTCCTGAGAAATTATAATCCCCCCACACTTCCAAACCCCATTTCAGAGGAACCTTTTAACATCGAGTGGAATCCCTCGTCGCGAAATTTCCAGAGAGCAATTGCCCACTCCAGAACTCTTGGAAGAATAGCTACAGCCTTTGGGCGCAGTGATTTCTTGGATAGTTTGGGTGATCAGGGAGTAGTTATTATTATGGGATGGTTGGTATAAAGGCAACCATTGGCCAATCATAGGTAAAGTTTTTCCATCCAAACTATCCCAGAAACTGTTGCGCCGAAAGCTTGTACCCTACCCTTAAAGTTTCTGAAATGGGGAATAGCCCACGTTCGATATATTAGGCTGATTTAGCAACAGAACGGGTACGTCAGTTGACGACGGCGCCCGCAAATCAAACAGCTGGTTTGACCAATGGCAGAGCGGCAAATTGGACTCCGGAAGTCGAGTGTAGTCCTTACCGCGTGCTTTCCCGCCGTCAAATGACGTTCCCGTTGTGTTGCTAAATCAGCCTATTAAAATTCTAACATGACTCCGAGGCTTTAGGCACAAAATTGCAACTTTTTCACGACTGTATTGTCTCGCAGTTCCCAGAAGAGACTTGAGCACAAAGAAACCAAACCAAATATAGAAAAATGACCAGAAAGCCTCGGAGTCGTGTTAGAATTTTAATATATCGAAAGTGGTCCATTAGTATCCTACGAAATGCGGATAATCTACATGTTGAGATCGGGGCTTTTACAAAAAGCCATATCCTGATGGCTCGGCTGTGTAGATTAGAAGTTGGGTACGAGCATACTTTTTCTTGGGTTAAGCAAAAGAAAACCTAACTTTCTTAACGTTTTTTTTTTCTGACTTGTTTTTACAGAATCCTGGAACAGAACTTGAGGATTCATACCTGACTTTCTTCAACTCAAACTTGAAGGAACTTCGAGTTCACTTAAACGACGAGAAAGTGAAGAGACAGGTAATTAAGGTAAGGTTTGGAAATTTAGAGTAAGGTGGGGGCAAAATTAAATTCTTACTCCACTAACACGAGAATAGTGAAAAGTTTATTTAGGGTGCGTCAGTCAGTCATCTGATGCAGATGTATCCTCGTTAAGAAAAAGTCTTTTGTTTGTCCTAGGCTAGAACGTGTTCCACGCCAGATACGAAAAACTTCTAACTAACCACCCTTGAGAAGTGGCCTAAAGAATGTGTGGAAACTTATTCTCCGACTAATGCAGTAGAAAGAAAACCCAGGGAAAGGGTTTAAGCGAAAGACTTAAAACGGTGAATACCTTGTGACAAAGACTACTCAAGAAGGGGTTCTTTTCAAAGAATGCAGGTCCAGATACTTAAATACAGAAACTATATACGGAAATAATAACACCAAAACATATACAGATCTGAACACGTAAGAATATGAACTTTCGGAAAAGAAACTTTGCAAAACAAGGCGAAAGCGAACACGACGACTGACCTGACGTAGAATGCCACAGATCCCTTGCCAAAAACATAAATAGTCCGAAACCATCCCACGGGCCTCCGCGCGCCTCTAAACCTTGCAGTCAGAATATTTATTTCTGGCTAATTCGTTCCCATGTCTCTCAATCGTCAGAAGTTACATCTTTACACATAATTCTTTCACTCTCTGTTGAGTCTTTGGGAGATGTTCAAGATGTATTCATCCTCCTTTAGCTTTTTTGCTCAGTTCTCGGCTCCTGTCCTTCTGAAAAAGTTCGGGAGAATTACACTGTTGTCTCTGAACTTTTCTATTGTTGTTGTTACAATCTGGCGCTCTAGAAGGGTTCTGAGTATTTTACTTTATTCTTAATTGAACTAATGGCTATCCTTTCTTGTAGGAGTGGTACACGTCTGTAATAACGAAGATTTGTGACTGGTTGTCAGATCGGATGAGTATGGCGTTACATCAGTACCAAGTCCAAACTCTACTTGCGCTCGCGGCGGTAAGTTTGTCACGCAATGAATATGCGTAGTTCTATATCCGAAGAAAAGCGAAAACAGCCGACATTTCGCGACGTCAACACGAAATGTCAAAATGTCGGCTGTTTTCTCAGGATAGGCATGACATGACATGACTACCAGTGTTTTTATCTGCTATCGTGTGAACTGCGGGGATGTGTCAGGGTAAGCATGTGAATCCCCAAATTGAAAGGTGGGTTATTCTACCCCGGACTACTCCGTGGAGAGGGTTTTTTTTTTGGTATAATTTGCCTCCACCCTAGTGTATGAGTCAGTACTGGAGTCATAATACGTACTCTTCTTCGCAGCTGGTTTTTGTGTCGTCACGCAACGCCTTTCTTTTCAAGAGAGGAGGAGGGGAGGAGCGCTGCGTGACAACACAAAAACGGCTGTGCAAGAGAGTGAAGACACTATAAAACACTGGGGTAACCGTGCGATGGACTAGCATCACTGGCATGGGATAGTTAGTAAACAACCGGAGCTACGTGCGGGGGGGATTAATTACTCTTAAAACCCTAGGGGGCTTCAACAAGCCTCCTTCCGTAGGGGAGAAACTTGTGTGTACGTTCGGGACCGGATTAAAGATGCCCCCTATAAATTTCCTAGGAACTTCCACAATTTGTCAGTGATGACCAGTTGCCGTCCCGTACTATTTACTCCGCAACCTACAACACAATGTTCTCCCGCCTTCGCATGGAGGACGCCATGCACAAGGGACAGAGCATTTACGACATTGAGGAACAACCCTACCCGGGTGGGGATAGAGATGACGAGGATGAGGAGACGGAGTCGAGTGATGAAGAGGCGTTTATTAAATTGGAGAATAGGACCTAGGATTGCTACAATAATGGCGCGAGTTAAAATAATGGCGGGAATTTTTGGCGGGAAATGCTACCTGCCTTTTCTGCGCTCATACGATGACATACATTCGAAAAACCTAAGTTAATATAAAATTTATTAAACATGCCAGTAATTTATTAACAATGGCCTCTAATGTACAAGAAAAGGAAAGTAAGATAAAGAGACGCAATAAATTTTAGCGAAATGTTTAGTTAGGAAAGTCAATGTTGTATCGAGCTAAGAGAAAACTTCAAACTAGCAAATATTTCCAGCTACAAATGACTATGTAGTCGTTGTACACTAGGCAGATCATACAAATGAAGTCTTACTGCAAGTGTAAAAAGAAAACAACAGTTATAGAGAACGATAGTAGTAAAATGTTAGAAGTTCGTTTCATATTTTCTACGAAGAGTAAACGTCGGGTAGTTTTGTGGGTTTTGTTTTAAAAGATCGTATTCTTTACTTTAGAGAAATCTTTTAAAGAAAAGAAAAATTATTGGTAAATGAGAGACTTAATACGGAAAGCTTATGGTTAAAATGTCGCCTGTGACGACGAGGCTGCTTGTAGTCTAAAACAACTTGAACCAAAGCTGACGTACTTCTACCAGTCAAACACTATTTTTAAACTTCTCGATTGTCGGGCCAAACCACTTTTCTCCAGGAAGTTGGGAAAATCGGGATTCCTCTGTAGTTTAGCCTGTCCAGGCAGTAGTTCGTTTCGTAAGTTTGTTATGAAAGGTTGAAAGGTGTAAAATCTTCACCATTACTGGCAATGGAGCGTTTAAGGGCCTGTTTACGTGGAGTTGAGGGACCTCAGGTAGGTGGGGTAGCCCGCCTGTCCTATCTCTCCCCACCTATCATGTAAACGTGATCAAATTGAAATGAGAGATCATATGGACAGGCCGGTTACCTGACCTAAGCGGGTTACCTCAACTACCTGAGGTCCTCCACCTCCATGTAAACAGGCCCATAGCTTGTATGTTTTGTTTTCCCAATTCAGACCAGAGGCCCCCAAGAGAATTTTCCGTAAATCTTTTTCATGAATTATGCATATATATGCTCTTCGACAGGACAACATTTGAAAGAAACAGTTCTCTGGGGTAACATAACTGTTTTTTTGTTATAAAGCTGGAAATTTTTTCCCAACAGCGCGCGCTCTCATTGGTTACTTCGAGGTCACATGACATATATCAATAAAACTGTTTCCCGTCAAAATCTCTGAGCGGGCAACATTTTGGAATCTATGACGTCAGAGGGTAACAGTGCACTGTTACTCGCGAATGTTGACCGACGACCGCTGTTACAGCGAGGTTTGATGAATTTCCAGGGTCAAAATTTACAGCTTTATAACAAATCACTTACAGACTGGTCCCTCGGGAAACAGTTGATTTTGTTTCCCTCGAATCTCAAAAACAAAATTAACTGTCTCCTTCGCGACCAGTCATTTTAGTGTTTAATACAAGCTAGAAAGGTCTATTGGTGCCTTTCATGTTGAAGAATAGGACGGTTTTTACAGCTCATCCTCAAGCTCGGCTCGTACTCGGCTCTGTCTAAACTGGACCCTACTTTGAGCTGTGACGTCTCCGAGAGAATCTCACGGTTCGTACGGACAACAGGGCAAAAAAATAGGCTGCGGTTTTAATCTACTGTCATGGAACAATCATCAAATTTAGTACGTGCAGCCGCGTAGTTCGAGCGGGAAAGTTAACACCGATCTGATTGGTCGAGATAGTGGCGTGAGATGTTAAAACCAATCATAGAGTATAACAATGTGTAAAGGAGATTTGAAAACTAGCTTATGTCGCCTTGTATCACATTTTTCTTAAAAAACTATTTAACAAAAAATAAAGTTTTACAAAAGAGGATATCAAACTTTCTTTACTTCATATATCAATTTTTTTTGTGTATCAAATATAAGGAACCTAGGTTGGGGCACCATCTGATCTTTAACTTGGGTATATATTTGAATTAATTTCTTAATTTTCACCCTTGTTTATTTGTTGGTTTGTTTTTTTCGCGAAAAGTGCTTTCCATTTTTAAGTTATAGTAAAATTGTTGCAAAAGTGAGATGAACGGTAAGGTTAATGCCAAATTTTGAAAAGGTAAGTCATCCCATGTAAGAGAATCCAAGACAGTCATGGATTCTGGACTCTGGGTTCTTTGTCAGTAAAAATTGGATTTCGGGCTCCGAACTTCAGTGGGATTCCGGATTCATTAAGTTGTAATGTGGATTCTCAAGCGCAGGATTCCGGATTCCCTTGCCTGGTGCGAGATAAGCAAGAGTCCCTTTCCATTCCACACTGTAAACAGAGCCTCCTTTTGTCTTCTTGAGTAAGCAGGGGAAAGGAGTTTCTCCCTGAATCACTCACGTCAAGCCTTTGACGTCACCGAACTTCGTTTCTTCTTTTCTGCTCATATTGGCATTTGCAATTTACGCGTGCTTTTCGCCCTTTGCGGGGGCGAATTTTGGTTTCTAAACAGGTCGCTAAGGTAAGATGCTGGGGAAAGCTACTTTCAAAGTAATCCACCTCTACACATCTGGGAACTTGGATTTTTAGTGAACTAAGTAACCCAGCACAACCTATGCGATCAGGTGTTCATTTTGGATGGGTTGAGTGCAAAAGTCGGCGGACGGGAAAAAGCGAAGAAAGATTGTCGGGTTAGAAATTACGCTGCGACAGCATTTTCCCAATTTTCCTCTGCTATGCGTTGTGCTGTTGTAGAAATCTGACAAAACTGAAAATAATTAAAGAACGAGAACTGTAAACACTCATCTTTGGTTTTCTTTTAACAAAACTGATATCCGAGATGCAAATTTTATCCGGATTTTACTGCCAGTTTGAATGGTTTTCTCTGTATTTTATAGCATCTTCAGATTAAAGGTTAGAACCACCTTGTTCTATGGAGACAAAGGAGGAGGAAATTGCTGTAAATCTGACAATTTTATGCAGATTTAGAATCGCTTTGAAAAACTGATTATGTAAATCTACATAGGGAGAAACACTGTTGATGAAGCGAAGAGAGCATCAGATTGGTTTTTCTTCGGTACTTCCGTTGAAATTTCCTAACATTGTTTGATGCAAGTAGATTTCCTATCCCTTTGTTGTGTTCTCAGAATGGTCGAATGAGCTGGCCAGAGTAGACTCTAATGAACTCTACGCTTTCGTCGTTATTTCAATGCTCTTGTGTCTAGCTTTTGTCGCTCAATTTGTACAGAAATATCGAGTCAAAACAGGGTCGCTGTGAAACGTTTTAACGTGAAGAATTTAAAGCAAGACGAGATTTGAAGCGAGTTAACGCAACTATGGTAACACAAATAGTTACGACACCCTTGTGCAAGGACACAGGTACAACTATTTGGGACCTGCAAAACCTGTTTGCCTGGCTGGAGATATTTGCACTGGTGCTTGTTGTGGCGAAGGTGTCCTTCGTGATCGCGAATTTATGGTGCTTTATGTGGGTGTTATATACCAGCGGGCAGGATAGTGTTCCACCAGCAAGGATGCCGGGATACCACGCACGTTTTGGAACAGATAGAAGTGATTTGAAGTCGCGTCTATTGAAGGTTGGAAGAAATTTATGTGTACAGCTGTTGTATCGGAGAACTTTATTTCAAAGGAGTTTGAGCTTTTTTAAAGAAACAAATAGCTTTTTTGACTTAGAAGCAAATGAAAAATCTACTCTTAACGAAAACGATTTTTCGTACAACTTTTGCTGAGGTCTTTCATGGGAATGATGTCAAATTGCGCGTAAGAATGGCCATTTGTCGCTTCGAAATCGCCGTTGTTTTGAGCCGGCTATATTTTTTATACGATTTATTATTGCCGGCTTTCTATGGTGTTACTGAAATGGATAACGGGGAACGGGAAAATGAAAATGACAACAAAACAGAGAGAACGGGTAATGAAGTTACATTTAGACCAACGCCACGGAATTACTGCAAAAATTGCACGAAAATCGGCCAACGTAAACTCGCGTTAGTTTTGTTGAACTGCTTCAGAAACCGCCGACATTTAGATTTTTGTTCAAAAGTAATAGCCATCTTGAACAAGAAAACCCTGCCCAACAGAAGCTGACTCAGGTAATCATAGATTCAGCGGATAAGCCAATATTTTTACCCAGCCCAAATTATATCAATATTGTCGAAATGTATTTCCTCTGTGTTTGACAGATTGTTTTTTTCATTACTCAGACACTTATTTTTTAATCTTCCCACAGAATCATGGATCTATTTACAAACAGTTGACCGGACATCCGTGAATTTCCAGTTGGAATCCCGAAATAACTTGCGCTTTTGCCGATGTGTACATTACTTAAAATTTTACAGAATTGTAGAGTAGCCTTGTCGCTACGATCCTCTGAGATTAAGCCTTTGTTCTAAGATTTGTTTCAAATCTTTTTTTTAAACAGAGTTCAAAAAGCTCCGTTCTTGGAGAAGGGAGTTCGTTTCAAAGTCTAAATCGAAAAGACTTCGCACTCTGTTCCGTTTTTTTCTTTAGTGGAAAAGGCTCCTCACTGCATATTGCGGTGGCAGGTCTTCATGTTTTTATTTCTGCGTTTAGGTCGGAAAGGCTCCCACTGCAGATTGTGGTGGGGTCTTTTCACTTTTTTTATTTCTGGGCTGAAGTCGAAATCCCCACGGAAAATTCTAGTTGGAGTCTTCTCTTTTGAGCTTATAGACGAGGGGAATTATAACCGAATTAAAAAAGCGTTTCAAAACAAGCTAAATAGCAGTGGTGATCAATAAACTTGTTGAATTTATCCGCTATTTAAACCTTCGAAACGATGTAAAACATAAAATTCTCAAGCTGGAGGGAGGCTTGTAACTAGATGGATTTTTTTGTTTACAGGCAGATGGGCCTATCACTTGTTTAGGGAGGGGGGGTGGGTATAAGCGGAAGTTTACGCTATTTTCTTTTAGAGTGTGGCGTCATAATTCTTCTCGGGGTTTTATTGGGTGTGTTGCGTCATAATAAGAGTTGTCCATCTTCTAAAACCAAAGTAAATATGGTTTAGCCCCATTCGCTGGCCCAAACATTTAATTTTGAACGGTCACATATTTCCTCAGTTTGTTCTGGACATATCGTTCCTCAAAATTGATTCAAAATGCAGACATGCCAGCATTAGATATCCATTCGGAATTTCAACTAGGAGCTCCAATTTTTCCACTTCAAGCCAGATCCTCCGAAGATTTTCAGTGTCAAATTCCGATATGGCATTTAGAAAAGAGAAAAATAAAATAAAATGGTTGAAGACATTCATAGTAACCTGAAATTTGAAGAACCTTAATGTTAAAGGTTTTTCACGTAAAAATTATTTAGTTAGATTGGGTTGAATGAAGAATATTTGATGCCATTCTGAGTCTACCGACTTTAATTTTCTTTTGTAAATGAGGTCATTTTTTTTCTCTCCGGTTACTTTTGTCGGTTAAAAACAAGGAATTTTGAAATATTGTCTTTCTTAACTAAAGTGAAAATAGCTTTCTGAAACAAGCTGTAATGCTTGCAAGGGGTTCAAAAGATTTTGGGGGGGTAATTTTTATTTTGTATACCGCACGTGCAAACTCACGCCCCGCGTGTGAATCGTGAGCGTTTGCGCGTGCCTGGGATGAGAACGCGTGCGTGTGAAGTATCATTATGAATAACGCCCCGATGCACGTAACAAGCGGAAAATATACAGCTGTGGAAAATGCGTTTTTATTCATTGTTTTTTATTCATTGTTATGTCCGGAACCTATACCTCGCGTCAGGTGACGTTTGTAGGCCACAACACAAAAACGTCCAACCAAAACTGAGACAGAATACCGACCCGATTATTTCCCCCTGTTTTTCTTTCCTGTGGCAGATCAATATCCTGGATTTGCTGATGTTTTATACATTCTCTTCATTGACTGTATCAAAAGTTCATTGTTCATTTATCGAGCGACTGATGTTAAAAGAACACCTCATTAAATGCTTCATTGTAAGGTGTTATCGAAAATAGTATTTTTGACGTTATGAAACTAGCATTATTTTTTTTATCGAGAATCTCCATTTTTGTCTCGTCTCGGGGAACATTACGTTTCAAAAGAATTTTGATTTTTAATTTTGTTCTCAGAAAAAAAAATGAAATTCCAGAGGGGTTTTATTTCAGAGGAGAAAATAATATGTTTGTGTTTCAGAATCGAATGGGCTTGCAAATTGGGAAAAACTTTTGTGAGCAATTCTTTCAATATGCAAATGACAATAGTCAGGAGCTGGCAACAGTTCAAACTGTAGGTGATGCTCCAATCCATGCTTTACTTGATGTCTGTTTAGACTTTCACAGTGTAAGATCGTCGAGAACGAGCCCTTCAGGCGGCCATTTTGACCGAGCCGTCTAGCATGAAGTAGACTATCTCGTCTACTTAGGGGGAGGAGGACAGTTAACCCTAACCCCACCGCTGTAAACCCCGACGCCCACCCCCTCGGGACATTAGAAACCAATTACATAGACGGTGAGCGCTAGATCTCAACGATCTTGCGTACTTTTCTTGAGAAAAGCAACGCGCATCGTGCCCTGAAAAGAAATCTGTCACGTGTTTCATTA